GCCATTTTAAGAGACAATTAGGTAGCAATGCTGAAGAGGTTCTCACCTAAAAAGCATTATCAGGATGGGCTTTGCTGGCTGGTAACTAGTTAGATTACCAGTTAGAAGGTATGACTTCTTTTATTCTAAAAAGAGGGGTGCCTTTATCTCCTGATTTTCTATTCTTTACCACCTGCTGGCTTTCCATTACAAGTAGAATTCCTTATCAGAGAAGCTGACCTTGAAAATCAAAGTAGGAAAGTCGAAGAACAATACCTTGGAGCCTATTAAAGCATTTTTTAAATTTTAAATTTCCTGGCCAATCTATGACACCCATTCCCACCTGCTAACATCATAGGATAATATCAGTTATAAGGAAGTGTTGGCTTAATTTGGGCTGACCATAGTAAGTGACACTTGCTCCTCTTTCCAACATGGGCAAGCTGCATTTTGGATGAGGACTTTCTACGCTTATATCTAATCAAGGGATGCCCCACAACATATTTGTTTCTGCCTTGCCCCACAATGTTGGTTTCACCTTGTCCTTAGCCCTGAAAGCCAATCTTAGGTTGTCCTTAGCTACATCACTGCTAACATTTTCCCCTGTGAATAAAAAAGTGAATAAAAAATACTACTTTTTGTCCATTATCATCTTCGACAAATGTGGGGGATTTGCAGTAGCTGAGAACAGAGGCAATTGTTATTGTTCAGTCCCTTCCAACTCTTCATGACCTGATGGACATACTTTGACCAATTTATTGTGGTTACACCTCAAAAGCTTTGAATCTTGCATAAAGCAAATATAGATTTCTTTCTGAAACTTCCTTTTTTCCCCTCATTGTCCACTGGATGTTAGCAATGCGATCTCAGGAACCTGATTCTTCTGAATCCAATTTGTACACCTGGCATTTCTCATTCCATGTGCTGTTGAGATCTAGACTGCAAAATCTTGAGCATTGTCTTACTAAAATGTGAACTAAACACATTTCATGCAGGTACAGTTTTCTGCTAATTCAAGGATGTGTTGAGAGCTCTTACAGTGGAGAAAACCATTAGATGAGTAAAGGAAACTGTTTAATGTGGAACCTATTGTGGTCCCTAACACATTGATTTGCCTTCTCACATTCACATAGAATGATTTCATATTAGTTGCAAACGTAAGATTATTTTTAGATTCCACTGCTGCAGTAACACCTACTTACTATACTATGTTGACAGATGATGAGAAACAGAACTGCAGGAGCAAGGAGGGGAGCTGTGTATAATTCCGAGACTGGAATGTAAATGCATCATTAAATTCTCCCAGAGAAAAGATGACATGGATGATTTTACTGGGATTCTCCCAAATGTATTTGCAAAGAAGGTTGCTGGTGCTCTGATTGTGAGGAATGATTTTAAAATATTAATCCTTACATTTTAACTGTTCTAGTCATCTAGTGCAGATACAAAGAAAGCAAGAAAAGGCAAGCATCTTTTTGCGCTGTTGCAGCAAAGAATCCTACAGCAACTTGGAAGAGAGTTTATTGCTGCAGCTTTTGGACGCCAAGCAAACCCCAATGTATCTGATGAAATATTCAAGTGCTAGTTTCCCAGAATTCATGCTGCTCTGACAATCTGCACAATTTCTGCTTCATTACTTTGAAATAAACCCCACTGGGATTTACTCTGATGGCCCAGGATTCTCTTTCCTTTGAAGTACTTTAAGAATGGTCCAGTAAAACTTTAGACTTATCAATTGTTAGAAGTAAGGTCTTCATCCTGGTTCATCCAAGCCGGGAATAAATAAGCAAACATGGTGACTGCTTTGGGAAGAAGGTTACAGTTTATTGCAGAAAGATGGTTCTTCAGGAAAGTGCAGAGGAGAGAGAAGAGGGCAGGAGAGAAGAAGAGAGAGATTGAGCACATGGGCAGTAGGTTTTTATACCCCCTCTAGCCTTGTTTGGAATAGTTTCCTGTTCCTGTGGCATGAACCTTGAGGCTGTTTCTGAGTGTTTGTCTAGGCCTTGATATCTGTGGTTTAATTCTATTATCATATCCTGCTTCCCAGGTGATGGGGCTGATTCCTAGAGTTTGGGTGGGGTATGCAGATCTTCTCTTCTGTCTTCTTGACTGCTCTGGCTCCAACTCTCTGATGGTTCCACATCTGCACCTGCATGGGGCCAAAGTCTTGCCTGGGGCAGAGAGATAGACTTGGAGCCAGGTCCGGTTCCAAAAAGTCCTTTTGAGGAAAAATACACCTTTCTGCCCTTTTTAATATTTCTTCTCTGGGCTAACTTTCATCACAAGTTTTTAAGGAAACCAGCAATTTTCTGAAGTTTTTATTGCCATTTTCTCCCTTGCTGTATTTTACTTGTTTTTTGTTTAAAAAAGCTTGTCTTATATAACTTTTCCTGCATATACATTTAACTTTTCCAAATGGACATTATATCCACATATTTATCTCTTCCTATAAAGTTTAAATAGCTTCCTTATTGTTCACTATATCCTTATTGCTTTTAATTACAAGGAAGTAACACATTTATCTGCCTGCCTATGAAACTCATTTCAGCCAAATGTTTGTATATAATAATATTATAATATACAGATGAGTATAACAACCCAAATAAGAACAAAAATTGAATTACCGTTAGATTAATAATCTATTTCTCGTAAATCAGTGGAAGGCATTCATTAAATAAAACCATAGTCATTGTGGGCTAAAAGCATGGCATTTCTGTTTAATTTTTAGTGCTCTTTATGAATGATAGTAAGAGATAGGGGTAAAGACATATCGTATAATTCATTTCTGAACTCATGTTTAAGGAAATATTTCACAAACAAGTCTTTATAAAATCTTGCATAAAAGACAGGATATACTCATTATTGGTAACATAATTTTTAAAAATATAAATCATAGGATAAAATTAATAGATTGTTCTTGCAATAAAAAAATTGCACTACTCACCCTGGATTAGTATTGTAAGCTAAAATGGAATAATGGCTGAGAAACAACATAGTCAGATTTATAAATTACAGCCGAGCAATGTTCAAAAATTCAAACATTTCTCAAAAATTAGAGCTAAAGCCAAAGTATGACAAATGAAATTCAATAAATGTCAGATACATTGGAGAAAAATTATAATTTCACATTGATAATGATAGGTCTTTATGGATGATAAACAAGAAGTGATCTTGAATTCATGGTAGAAAACCTAATGAAAACCTGAGTTTAACTGAATCTATAAAAATTCATTTATACCGTATATAATTTCTGTTAAAACTTTTAAACAAGAAGATTAAAAATGAACACAAAGTAATTGTAGTAAAACTACCTACTAAATCTAAGGAAGGAAAAAGAACAAAAGAACAACAAAACAAAAAGTGCAAAAGAAGAAAAAAGTTGAAGAAAAAATAGAAAAGAAAAAAGATATAAAGAAGAGGTTTCCAATATTCTTCACAGAAGTTATAAGCATAAATATATTTTAATTTCTCTCTCTAATGTCATATCATATTACTTTTTTCCTATAATCTATTTTGTCTAATTATCAAAACCATAAATCACAAATTCGCTTTTTTTATTTTTCACTTATGATGTAGTGGTTAAGACACCAGGCTAGAAAGAGGGGGACTGTGAGTTCAAGTTCTGCCTTACCCATAAAAGCCAGCTGGGTAAGTTTGGGTCAGGCACTCTCTCTCTCAGCTCAACCTACCTCTCAGGGTTGTTGTGGAGAAAATAGGAGGAGGAAGGTATGTTGGATATATTTGCCACCTTGATTTATTTGTAAAAATAATAAAAAAATAATAAAGACAGAATATAAATAAATAAATAAAAGGCTTCCAGTCACTAATCAATAATGTCTTTTCTCTATTCAAAAAAGTCAATTTATCAAAAAAATAAATAAAATTTGCAACTGCTCATTATTAAAACAAGAGGAGGACACAGAAACTTGACATTGTAATAACCTTGGATTTGGAGTACTGTGATATCAGTTGGAGATGCTACCTAATAATCTATGATAGCAAAAAGCTAGGATTAATCCACTTATATTCACTTTCGATGTAATGGTTAATCCATTTGTATACTCTTCTTATGGTAAAAGAGCCTGATCCCTGTTACTACGGATTGGTTATATCAGGGGTATCAAACTCAATTTCATTGAGGGCCGCATCAGCATTTTGGTTGCCCTTGGGGGGGCTGGGTGGGTGTGGCCAGGATGGGTGCAGCCTACTGGGTGGGTATGGATGGAGTGGATGTGGCCTACTGGGTGGGCATGGTCTGCTCTACATTGTTTGCATCAAGGGTGCCTGTGGGGGCCTGGGCAGGAGTGGGACAGTTCTGAGGGTCTCTGGCAGAAGGGGGTGGGACCAGGGCAAGCACCAAGGCATGGTCCATTTTGTCATTCCTTACAAAGGGTGACACCTCCCCAGCATGCACCCAGGGGACAGGGCCAACGCAGCAGAGGCTGGTTCCTCCCTGTTTCTAGACGGCCTTGTGGAGCTAAGACTGAATGCGTTTCAGCATAGATGGCCACCACAAAATTGTACATTGGCTCCCCGCTGGCCTGGGCCAGGGCCAAAGCAGCGGGGGCTGTTCCCTCACTGTTTCCAGGATGGCTTCATGGGCCACATGAAACCACTTCACGGGCCGCATCCGGTCCCCGGGCCTTGTGTTTGACATGTCTGGGTTATATCCTCAGAGCAAATCAGCCACCGATATGGGAAGAGAGCTTGTAAAAAAGTGGCTGTTATAATGATTATCTCTCCAGCGCTTGAAGACTGAACACTGGAAACAAAGGCATGTTTATTAAACTACAGTGAAAGGCAACTCTTGTTACTACATCTAGTGTTCCAAAATTTAAAAACAATGTAATAAATAAAGTATTATGCTACATATCAAAATCCAAAAAAACTCCACCCCTATTTCCAGATCTGTATAAGTACACTGTATTTCAGCTCACAACAGAAATTCAAACAAAAAATCAAAATTTTATACAAAGTTTATTCTTACAAGGAATAAGAATATAAATGTCATTTTATTATAATCTCTAAGAAAAGTGGAGTTGTGATTTCCTTCCATTCATGTTGACAAGAAGAGATGTCTATTAGATTGGATCTGGACTCATCCATACATAGAACAGATCTATTGCAATTCTGAGCAATAATTATTACAAGCTTACATCTCATTTATTTCACTGGATCTAAGACATAGACAATAAATTTTTGTATGTTTTACACTTTATGTTTAAAAAAAATTATTAGGGAAATTTTATGAACTACTTAGAACTATTATGCATGCCATGTAAAGGTATATTGGTACATTACCAAGAGGAAATATTGGCTGTAGGCTGGGAGTATTTTGGCCGAGGCCTTATAGAATGCAGAATTATTTTTATATTTTTTATTCTTCTGATTGATATTAATGGAAGGCAGTAAAACCAAACCTGAGCTACAATGAATGTAAAACTGGCAACTTCCTCATCAAGTTGCTCTATCCATTGTTATAGTAGTGCTCAGGCCAGATTTTATATTGTTCACATAATTTTAACATGCCATCCAGCTCAATGTGATTTACAATGCAAAAAAAGGCTTAACTTGACCCACTTTCACAGCCAGTTATAGTCAGGTGCCTAACAAGTTATATTTAGAAATGTGCAAAAAAAGAGTCTTGCTGGGTTAGATCAAAGCCCTAGCTAGACTACAGCAATTTTTCCCACTGTGGCTAACCAGATGCCTCTGGAAATATTCCTGTAGATACTATAAAAGCTATTATACAGCAAATGATTTATACTTGTTGTTTACACATACTTAGTTGTTTAATCCGAAGAAAAGGTGAACTGCTATGCTCCACGTATCCTGTTTCATATTGTAGAGCTGTTCCACGTCATCATTTACTCAACTGATGCAGAATCAATTCATCTGAAGCTCATGCAGAGTTGGTTTGCTTTTCCAAAGTCCTAAAAAAGCTTTGAAATATTTAACTAGAAAGTTGTTTAAGAAAAAAATAAACTTTATTTTTCAGATGGAAGAAAATATCAATTGCATTTTCAGTAGTAATATTCCTTGCCCCATACTAAATTTTAGGACACCTAGCCAGTCTTGTCAGCAGGTAGATTCTTGGGCAGGAGACCACCATGGAATTCCAGCCCAAAGTTTTCCAGCTTTCAGAAGGGCATATATTTTATCTCAGCTATATGTGCTGTATCTATAATAATAATGGTGGTCACTCTGGTATGCAAAATGCAAATAAAAAGTAGAGAGGCAGGATTGTTTAAGGAAATTACTTCACAACCTATGTAATAAACTCCTAAAAAAAAATATCCGGTCTGAATTTCATATTAGTCATAGTGAGGACCAGTTCATACTGAAAAACCGGATTAACAACTTTTGGGCATGACTAACTATAGGATTTAAATGACGCAAAGGATCAGTATGATCACAAGCAAAAAAGAAATATGATTGGTACAGTTGATTTGTGCAGTGGTGGGATTCAAATATGTGAACAACTGGTTCTCTGTGTGAATGCCGCTTCCGGAAGCCCATTCTGGGCCCAGGCAACAAAAAGTTAGCTACCGGTTCTGCCAAGCTGGTGTGAACTGGCTGAATCCCGCCACTGGATTTGTGTCTTTATTAGTTGATTCTGTTACACTGGATAGATGTTTCTGTACTGTATGGATTGAGAAAAAATAACTGAATTTCAGGAAACGGATGGTGTACAAAACTCTGTTTGTAACATTACATCTATGATGATACTCCATTTCTACAGGAAGATCAATACGTGCTTTTGCAGTCATTATGACATGTGTTGAAACCAGAGAAACATGCTGAAAATTTATTCTTGGATTACAATCATCCTAATTCTCCCTATCTTGATCTGAAGGCAGATTGTAGGCAGATAAATGTAATAAATTGTTCTTGGCATAATTTCAGGGAGCAGACAATATCAAACTCCTTAAGAAGTCATGAGGTTTTTCAGTTGCTTATTGAAAGAAGAAAAAGTTACTATCTGTCCCTAACCTGGTCCTTCAGATCTTCCACCAATGCACCCAATCACCACTGTAACGGAGTCCATTCAACTTTCTGTTAAGTTATCCTCTTCTTGCAATTCCTTCCCAGAATTAGTCTTCTCCAAAAACCTGGATGTTCACCTAATGTGTTCAAAGTAGGACTATTTGGGCCTGAATACTTGTTCCTCAAATAAGAGGAATGATTTGTTTAATGACTGACCCATTTGTGTCAGCCCTACTTCTCCTGCCTCCATGCGTGAATACAATATAGCTGGTTCCTTTCTTTCTCACACTTGCGTGAATATCTTTATTAATCAACAGTAGAGTGCCTATTTTTCTTGCCACATAACTTTCCCATCTAAAGGAGGATGCTAGGCAAAGGGCGTGTTGCGCATGCCTATGCAGCAACCGAGAGCAGTACGAATTGGCCCGTTAGGCCTCCGAGCGCTTCTCGATTGGAGCGTCCCCCCCCCCACCATTGCAACGAGCTGCCTTGGGCTGTGCTCGTATCGAGATGGAAATTGCTTGGGGCGGGGGGGGGGGGAGAAAGCGAGAGACTAAAAGTGGCGTAGAGCAAGCACGTTGTAAGTCCGCCCGCAGTCTCTGGAGGGCAGCATTGGGCGGTGAACTTCCTTCGGCGTCCAAAGCAACCTCTTCTTATTGCCCGCCAGCAGCGCGGGTGCTGTTGAAGTTGCCCCCAAGGGATCCGGAGCGCTGCGCCGCTGGGCCCAGAGACCTTTGCTCCCGCGGGGCTGGGGGGAGGGGGAGGGAGAAGCCCGCGGGCGAGGAGGAAGCTCGCGAGCTCCAGGTTCGCTCCTAAACTTCAATCCGCGTCCGGGCGTGAACCGATTCTTCCCTCCCTTCCGCCGGGCTGCCTTGGCGGCGCCTTTCCTCCAGGCCGGGCTTGCGCTCCGCCTCGGGAGAGAAACCCCGACCGGACCCAGCGCTCGAGTTCCAAAGCGGCGCCCCGCTCCCTTCCCCGCGTTGACAGGCGGCGAAAGCGCAGCCCTCCCCTCTTATACGTACACACAGACTGCGCGCCTAGTCCCAGAGCAGGCACGGTAGTAGCAGCCAGCAGGCGAAGGAGCCAGCGGCGTCGGTGCAGAAATAAGGTGGACGCGCGGCTTCCCGCACAGGCATCATGTGGGTCTGTTGGTAAGAGGGGTGGGGGGGACCGATCCCCGCTCCTCCGCCCTCTCCCCTCCCTCGGCACGCGTAGCGGCACCCGCTCCGACGAGGCAAGAGGAGACGAGGCAGCCCCGGAGGCCGCGGGGAATAATCGGAGAATTGATTGTGAAAAAAAGGAAAGCAGAAGAAGAAATATTTCCTGGCAAGATGGCCGACTTGGAGGCTGTGCTCGCCGATGTGAGCTACTTAATGGCAATGGAGAAAAGTAAATCTACTCCGGCGGCTCGAGCCAGCAAGAAGATCATCCTACCTGAGCCGAGGTGAGCTGGGGGCAGGTGTGGGAGCCCGGCGTGAGGCGCCGTGGAGTTGGCCCCGGTTGCCTGTCTATCTGTGCGTGTGAGTGCGCGGGCGCGTGTATGAACGTCCATCTGTCTTGAGAGCGCTCTTGAGATTAACCGTGCCAGCTTCGCTCGCCTCTTCTGTCCTCGGAGGAAAAGATGGGAGAAGGAATAGCTCCTTTAAATGTCATCTTTCCTGTTCTGTGTTTTGGGTTACTACCGTGGGCAATAGGAAGGGGTATCACGTGTCCCCATTCTTCATTCGGCCCAATTTGAAGGGCATTATTCCTTACAACAGCAGACATCCTGGTCCACATTCACAGAATAACAAGCCTCTTCCCCATACTGCCGTTTTCCTTATCTGCTTGTCACAGTCCTCTTTTGTTTCTCATGTATGTGTAACAAGCTGTTGTTAATCTCTGCAGAGAGGCAGGCTGTATAAAATATATGATTTTCTGAGCCATCCAGCATCTGCTCCTCTGTGTACTCCAGAGAGCATGCATTAAGGCTGTACCCATGTTCAAATAGCCTAGCCACTTGCATATGTTTATGCTGTATTCTGTTCAGGGAGTGGACCATTGTCACTTGTTCACAAGAATCTCTTCTAATACAAACTTAAATACAAACGCTTACGTCTATATTTCTTTAGCACTGTGGCTTGGAAATGGGATTGCACTTAGGCTTGTTCATGCCCCTTGTTACTCTAAACTTAAATGGGAATTAGAGCTGTTCAAACAACATTGCAATCCTGTGCAAATCCTTTGCAAGGTCACCAAGGTGCAGTTTTTCTCAAAACAAATAAGGAGGAACGCATTTGGTAGAAGATTTGCTTCATGTAAGGATTTTACTGTCGGGTGACACCAAAATGGTCTTGGCGCATAAAATCCAAGGGCCACAATTTAGTTTGGCCAACCCTTAACTCGCTTCCCAGCAGCTGTTACCAAGGACAACTGGGTTGGGCCTGACAGGCATTCTGCACCGACAGCACATAGGGAAGTGCAGGCTGTCTTCTATTCTCCCTCTTACCTCCCTCTTCTTTTGCCAACCTCCATGTGACATCTGGCCTATTCTGCTCTACTCCATCTCATCCAATAACCTTGGGTTTTCTCAGCTGAGGCCGATGGCTACTCAGACACAGCTTCCCTCTGCTCCCCTACCATTGAAGGGTGGATGAATGGATAGTCTCTGAAATAAAGCAAAAAGCACCCTTGGAGGGAAAAAAATGGCAGCTGCTCTTTTAGAAGATGAAGCAGATGTGTAACCATGGCAATGCTTGAAAGACCCAGGAGCCTTTGTGTTTTTCACATGCTGCTGGTTTCAATATGGAAGTAGTTGCCCACATGGGAACTTTAGGTGCTGTTCCACAGTCTTGGAAGGAAAGAATCTTAAAGCAGGGAGAATAAACCAGCAGCCTTTACCCTTCATCCCCAACTTGGATAGTAAAACTTCTCTCGCAACTCTCTTGGCTAAGTCACAGCCATGCAGAATATTTCTTTATTAATCCAATTTATATAGCCACCCATGTCACTGGAAGTGACTCTGGGCGACGTACAATAATTTAACAGGAATTGCAGAATTAAATTATATTTATCATTTAAGTATCAATTCTCCTCGAACTTTGCACTAACGGTATTACTGGTGGCATGTTCCCATTTACCTCTCTCTTCTAAACTCATTAGAAAAGTCTTCAGTTTTGTCAGTCTTGCAATCTCCTTGATGTAGAAGCATGGGAGACAGATGATCTTAAGTGTAGATCTAAATACAGAAGGAGGCACCAACAAGGTTTTCATTTTAGGTTGTCCTAAAAAAGAAAAAATTAAAAGGTCAAACTTCTAATCAGTGAAGCAAGACCCCAAAAGATGATTAGGAGTTGAAGAAGCCTGCAGAATAGTTTTGTCACAGTCAGAACAGGAACTCTACTGGAGAATTCCCATCAGATGGAATAATGAAAGCTAGGGTTTGCAGATTCAGGGATGTAATTTAAATGTCTTCTGAAACCAGATACTGGAAATGCTTCAAAGAGGTAGGCCTTGGACATAATTCAGCCTAAATCACATTGCAGAAGAAAGCTTATTCGTAGAATTGTTTTATGCATATTTTATTTTGCTTTGGGCAATCACGGATAGGACATAACATGTCAGAAACTGTTCTGATATTTAACGAGTCTTTAAATATCTAGATTGTCTTTGTAGATCAGAAGATATGCTAAATAGTTGTCTCCTGTATTGATTTTTGTGATTGCCTTGCTTGATGTGACCTTGGTATGGGAGAGCAATCCCAGTCAAAGCTGACTGTCACATTTCTGAAGGCCACAATGTTAATTATCAAGCACCTAGATACATGTGATTTATGGGAACTGCTGACAGTGAGGACCCTGCACACACTCTTTTCATAAACATTTCTCCATGGATAGTTGACCCATATAGCTTTCTATTGTTTTTTCTTTCTTTGTTTGTTTGATCTGCTTTTTGAAATATGAGAATTACTGTTTTCATTGTGAAAATTGGAAAGCCACAGCACTAAGAATCTTGTGCTTTATTATTTATTTATTTAATTTTTATTGCACCTCAACTCAAGACAGTGTTAGGCAATATACATTTTTTTTAATAAAGAAACTATTGCTTTAAAAACTGCTGGCTTTTGGATCAGCACTATTTTTATTTTAAACAAAGGGATACTTTCAGAAGATATGTGAACAAGTGGACAAGAAAATTACTGAAGTTATACAATTAATGCACAGGATAACATTAATGAAGGTTAACCATACCAAATGAAGTACATTGAAGTTTTTTGATATGAAAAAATATAAATCACTGAGCTTAATGCCAAATCTCCACTGCAGTGTTATCTGTGCATACTAAAAAATAGAAAAACCACTAAAAATAGTATAGATAAATATTTGATTTCTGAATTCCCCCTTCTTTGCAGTTTGAACAGTTTACAGTATTTATAAACATAGATGTAGAAACTATGCTCCTAAGTGTTTGTACTTATTTGCTGTCCGATATATAGCATATATATATATGAAAATCATTTTTCTTATATTTACTACATTTCTATTATGTATATATATGGTTAATTTTGCCATTGCTGTGTATTCTCCAAGTTTGAGTTCCCAAGGAGATATCTTTGGTACTATGTCTTTTTTCCAGTGTTGTACAGAGTTTGTCCTCACAGACCCGAGTGTATATATATATATATCTTAATGAATTACGGTGTTTTTCATTGGTATGTTCTGAAATTATACATAATGAAAAGAATTGTGGTTTATTTTCAAGTTTGATTTCTGAGATATTCTGAATGGTTATGTGCATATTTTCCAATCCTCTTTTTTATGGCAAAGGGAGTGGTTACATGTCCTCAATATGTGATATTGGGGCAGTATTTCTATTCTCCCGATCTGGGGTAAAAATTCTGCCTAAGATTGGAATACAAGTATATCTCGACTTATAACAACAATTGGGATCAGAATATCCATTTCTAAGCAAGATGGTTATTAAGCGAGTTGCACCTTTTACAATCTTCTTTGTCACGGTGGTTAAGCAAATCTGCAGTTAAGTGAATCATAGGGTTGTTAAGCAAATCCAGCTTTGCTTGTCAGAATCTAGCTGGGACAGTTGCAAATGGCAATCATATGACACTGGGATACTGTAGCTATCATAAATACATGTGTCAAGCTTGCTGATTTCCAAGCGCCTAAATTTTGATCATGTGACGGGGGGTTGCTGCAACGGTCATAAGTGCGAGAACTGGTTGTAAGTCAATTTTTTCAGTGCTATTTTAGCTTTGAATAGTTGCTAAATAAATGGTTGTAAGTCGAGGCTAACTGTGATAGATGGAGGACAAAGAACAAAGTAGACAGAAAAGCTGCAGAGTAGAAGATGCTCATTAGTATAGTAGACATTTTATTCTTTTTTGTCTGTATATTCTTTGTTATGCTTGTTCTTGATATTCTTGAAAATATTTGAAGTCTTTCTCGGTTCATGGTACCCTTAATGTCTCAATTTCTTTCATGTCATCCCTACGCTCGTAACTTGTATGGCATTTGACAGATATTGAGTATTGAGTATTACCCGTGTAGCGTCTTGGATCTTTGGGAATTGTGGATCTGTTGAGCTACTTTAGAGCAAGATACAGTGACATGGCCTCAGCCACACTGTGAATTTTGTAACTGATTATTGAATCCAAATTTCTCGCCATCCATTCTCACTATTCTGGCTCATAAATCACACAATATTAATAATTTAGACAAGGAAATTGCTGTCAAAATTGCAAGAGATAATGTTCAAAACTATTCAGAATCATACAGTATTGGTCTCTTGAGAAAGCAAACTCAAAATTTTACCGATTACATTGAATTCTACTTTATGCCAAGAAAATCAAAATTGTGCAAATAGTCCCTCTTGAGCAAATTACCTTGTGTGGTGGGCTTTTCACTACAACTCTTCTTCCAATTGTACATCCTACTAATGTATTTGGCTACAGTTCCCATACTTTATAGCAGCTGTGACTATAGGGCAGGGGTAGGCAACCTTGGCTCTTTTATGACTCGTGGACTGGCTCAGGAGTTCTGGGAGTTGAAGTCCACGAGTCATAAAAGAGCTAAGGTTGCCTACCCCTGCTATAGGGCATGCTTATTAGGAATCATGGAAACTATAGTTCAACATGTACAAAGAGTGGACAAGGTTGGGCTATATCAGAAGGCAGAATTGGCACAGCAGCCTTTCATAATTCTAATTATGGAACAGTTTCATCCGTTTTCAGTAGATCCTGATATTCTGCAGTTCCTGCCTTAGCAACATTGAATCTGTCCCTTCAAGTGTTTTTCTCACATCACTTCCACCTAAAATTGAAGAATCATTGCAGTTTTCAGGAAATGGTATCTCCCCCGTTGGATCTTCTACAACAGAAGCAATTGCAACACAGACCAAGAGTTGTAGCAATCTAGATCTCGTTATTTGCGGCAACCACTTGATCAATGTCTTGCAGGTTGTACACAGATGCTAGAAATTTGTTACTATAACATGGGTATAGCATTTTTGAGAGGGCAGAATTTAGCATTTTATGCAGAAAGAGAAGATTATAAAACAAGTAATAAAACTTTCCTTATCTATTTGTTACTAGTGGAGTGTGTTGGTTTTTTTTCCTGTTAAGGGAAGCAGGCTATTTTCTATGCATTTATTTCCTTTTTCTGTGATTAGTCATGGCAGGGGCCCTCGTCCATTGCTGTGCTTTGACCCCCTAAATGATAAATGAATTTGCATGACCTCCTTGGATAAAATTATCATTTTTACTGTGGTTGGGCAATGAATGCAACATTTTTAAGAAATGCTTTTTCATCTATCAAATAAAGCAAATGATAGCACTTTATAAAATAAAAACACTTCATTGCAAATAACAATTTACAATCTTATTTTTGATAAGAAGGATGATCTTTGTGTAATTCCTGAGGTTTTTATTTTTAATATAGCCACCTTCCTTTGTAATAGCATTTTATTTATTTATTTATTTATTTATGAGACTTATATACCGCTTTAAGTGCAAGCACTCTCTAAGCGGTGTACACCAGTAAGCAATGTATATATATATTTACATTGCCCCCAACAATCTGGGTCCTCATTTTACCTACCCGGAAGGATGGAAGGCTGAGTCAACCTTGAGCCGGTGAGATTTGAACCGCTGACCTGCTGAACACAGTCAGCTAAAGTGGCCTGCAGTACTGCACTCTAACTGCTGCGCCACCTCGGCTCATTCTTGATCAATAATTGATCTTTATTACACCAACTGTAGAAAATTCTGACTGTGTGAAGGCAGAACAAGATTGAGTTCGGTTTTATGTATGCGTGCCGTGAGCCTTGCACACCTAAAATTAGAGACGTGAAAATTATCTCCAGGTTTTGGTAGTGCGATTTTTATAATTTGGGTCAAAACGTGGGAGATCCACGTTCAAGTCTGTTCTTAGCCTTAAAAACCCATTGGGTGAATTTAGGCCAATTATTCTCTCTTAAGGCACTTTTTTTTTTAGAGGGGTGATACAGTATTGTAGGGAAACAATGAAACGGCCGTATAAGCTATTTGGGGGCTCTTAAAGGCAAGATGAGGTATAAATTTAACAAAAGAGTAAGTTCCCTGCCAGTGTCTCCTAGCAGAGCAGGAGCAAATTTTGAGAGTGATCCAGTTTTGAATACACAGAACTGTGAAATGTGCAAAGCTGGAGCTCTTTCAAGGTATGCCTGCACTTTCCTCACTACCTCTTCAGCGAGGGAACCTGCTGGCTTACCCAGGCAGAGCAAGAGCAAGTAACAATGATCCAGATTCAAGTCAAACTGGAGGAAGTACAGAGTTGGCAACTTATCAGAACTTGCTCCAAGTTTCCTTGGAAAATCTGGTTGCCAGTTTATTTAGAGTGAAAGGGAGCATGTTTGATAAGATCCATTTTGGATGTGCAAACAAGTGTACTTGCAAAACTAGAGTTGTTGGCCTGTCCTGACAAAAGAACAGCAAAATTTTATTTATCACATTTAGAAACATCTCATCCTCCTCACTGAGAGATCTGGATGGTATATAAATATATCTGGCAAAAATCCTGGTTTGCCTGCACACAAACCTCAGGGAAGCTGTACACTTTTTCCATAAGATACAACTTACACTTTCAGAGCACTTGAGTTAATGAGTCAGTACTGAAGTTAAATTCAGTGTTTTGTCTTCCAGTCCAAAAAAGTATTTTTGACAGCAGCTCCGATATTCAGGGTTATTTGCAAGTAATTTCCTATTTCCTTCCCAATGGCTTATATGTGAGTAAAAGCATTTTCAACATCTGGCTGATTATTTTTAGTACGGTAGTAACTACCTTCCATTAAGTGCCTGTACTAGAAGAATTCAAGGGAACTAACATTCTCAGTAGCCTTTGCTATGCTCTATATAGCCTTATTTTACTAAGAAAAAATTGAGACAAGAATCAGTACTAGGATCAGATTCCTAAAACTTTTGTAATTACCATTAAACTTTACCAGCAAATGTTCACCTTTTGCATTTCAGCAGTTGTCACTGAAAGAACTATAACTGGTTTCCCCACTAATGTGAACTTACTAGAAACTGGGAGTTTCTCCCCGAGCATGTTTTTTTGTTAACAGTTTGTGGTTCCAACGATCTTTCTTAAAACTTTTCTGCCTGTCTAGAGTCTGGACCAGCTGGCTAGGGAATTCTGGGAGTTGAAGTCCACATATATTAATGTTGTTAAGGTTGAGAAACACTGGTTTACTTTGGTTTACCTCAGGAAGTTAGGCAAGCTTGCTTCTGTGTTCCAGCTCAGCATATTGAGCACAAAGTAGCTGTATAGAAGCTAAAACTTCTGTACATAAATGGAGTAATGATTGTACATTCAGAATCTAACCAGAGAATCATAGGCATAATTACTGTATTAAGGCATGTTAAATTAGATTTAGTTATGAATTATAGGTGTTAGGAACGCTGTCTTGGCATACCGGTATTTGTGATAGACTAAGATATGTTGCACCTTCTAAGATGGATACGTTCTTTTCATAAAAAAACCCATCCATCTAACATAGTTTCAGATTATACATAAATCTCAAAGACAAAAAATCATGACATCACATAGTTTTAGCATAAACATGGGTAGGTGACATTGTTGAAGCTATTGAGGAATCTTTAAATAACTGTATTTAAGACTGAAATAGGAGGATGCTAATGCAGATTTTCTCATTTTGTAAAAATAAAAAAATGAACACTCAGATAGTTCGGAAATCCAGCTGATCTCTATGAGGGGGAAAAATTGTACCATAGAAGCAGATATTTACAGAAGAAATAAGGCCTTGGATCATCTCAAAAAGATTGCAAAAGTTTAAAATTAGAGTTTCAATACTTCGTAATACATTAACTCATCATGTCTAGTTAATGCAGAAACTATTATACAGTAGTATGTTTTCCAGATTGCCACCTAAAAATCTTGCCAACTCATCATTGAGATACCTTTGTAACTTGACATTTCTGGCTCATTTTCAGCCCAAAGATACTCGGTCCCAATATCATGTTTGGCAATTTATATGTTCCTTACAGATACTCTTTGATTTAAGACAACAGCAGAGAGAGGAATTTTGGCCACCAATAGTGCAGTCATTAAACGAGTCATCATATGACTACCCAATTTTATGGTCATTTTTACTGTGGTTGTTTAAGCGGATCACATGGTTGTTAAGCGAATCTGGCTTTCCCAATTAACTTTGCTTGTTGGAAGCCCATTAGGGAGGTTGCAAATTGTGATCATGTTACTGCAAGACACTGCAACCATCATAAAAGCAAGCCAGTTGCCAAACACTTGAATAGCAATCACGCTACTGCAGGGGTGGTGGGGTAATTTCAAGAACAGATTGTAATTCATTTTTTAAGACTGTTATAACTTCAAACTATTGCTAAGCAGTTGTAAGTCAAGGAATCATTTATTTTGATAAACCACTTAGAAAAATGAACATGGCTCCAGTGGAATATGTCCCCAGTTTGCTTTTACACACTTGAAAGAGGTAATCCTAAATATTTTATTTTGTTGAAAATTAATCTCTCAGATCTAGATCCCATTTTAGAAATACCACATTTTCTTTATAGTAAGTATCTACTGACTAAATGTTAAAAGGATGTGACAGAGTACATTGGAGCAGGCATCCGGGTGCCTCCTTACCTGAGACTTATACTGTATTTTCCTGGGATTGCACAGTTACTGTGTACACCCAAGAAAAACAGGTACTTTAAGGAGACATCTATAAATACATTCATGTCCAATGTAGGACAAATTTTCAGCCTCAAAACTGAAATACAGTACATCCCTATTGCAAATGTACAATTTCTTTTTTATGGTTAGAATTAGTGCAAAAGAGGAACAGCATTCTTCTTTAAAACTAAAACGAAGTAGCTAGTACATGAGTGGTCAAATATTTTCTGTTGAAGATGATTAAAAAGTTTTTCTTAATCTAGTGCTCTCTAGATATTTTAGACTCGAGCATATTAGTTGGACGACAATTTGTCAATCACATTTGGAGAAGTCTCTTTAAGAAAACTAGTACCAAGGTAGACATACTTAATCTGTTGTAGAGTCTTCTCAGTATCAGAAATACTACATTTGTTAGTTTCTAAGATGCTTTGGGAAAAGTCTTTGGAGAGCTAGAAAGATGTTTCATAATTAACTTCCCTTGTGTGCTTTCTCTTGGCAGCATCCGCAGTGTTATGCAGAAATACTTGGAGGATCGGGGTGAAGTCACCTTTGACAAGATATTTTCTCAAAAGATCGGTAAGTATTAGAACCTTTGCATGGCTATTGGTTCAGCTAGATACATTACCTAAAACAAGAAAGTTCAATGGAATTGGAAATCTGCAGAGCTGCTTACTCAGTAGCTGCAGCATGACACAATGAACTGTAAGTTACCCAGGCACTTTTTAGCTTAACATATTATGTGAACTGTGCAATTACCTTATGGTTAAATGTAATTGTGTTTGGGTAACAAGTTGAACTACATGTAAAGTCTAAAACTGAATCAACAAATGGCATTGTACGGTAGGATGTTCCATGAAGCAAATCATCACCTTAAGCCAGTGTTTTCCAAACTTGACAATTTTAAGGCATGTGGACTTCAACTCCCAGAATTCCACAGCCAGCAATGCTGACTGTGGAATTCTGGGAGTTGAAGTCCTCATGCCTTAAAATTGTCAAGTTTGGGAAACACTGCCTTAAGCTATAAAGTAATTTTGTTATGGCATAACATATCGTGTGAACACATCCAGTATGGGTTGCTAACCATGATTTCAAGTTTAGAATGATTTGCAAACAGCCTGAATTGTGCAATCACAGCTTAAGTTGCCTTGAATAAACAAGTTAGGCAAACACAACCAATATATGGTTTTGGTTGTTAGAGCTCAAGCTTCTGACCAGAAATCAGTTAATCTAGCTATGCACTTTTTTTGTTCAGTTTTTATTTCAGTTTTCATTCAACAGAATTTTTATGGTAACAAACACATACCCGACCAAAATAAAAAGTGAAAGGGAAACTCATCATACAAACTGAAAAAAGTTTCTATTCTTTGATTCAGGGAGAAGATATAATCTTAGTTTTTTAAGTCACTGCTACAGTTTAGGGCAGCCTTTACCTTCTATGATGGCCACTTTTAACAAGTCTCTTGCCTCTCCTGTCCTGATGATCCTTTCAATGAGGATTACAAGTTCCATTGTCTTAATAGGCATGGTAGGGCTGTCCCAAGATGCCTACTTGCAAAGGAAACTGATGTTTTGTATCTTAAAAGTTGTATGAGAGAAAGGGATTTTGAAAGGTAGTATGTATTACACCATAGAACCGCAAACAGGGACAAATACTGTATCAGGTAAAAAAAAAAAGGATGCCTTACTTAGAGAAAGCCATTCAGCCTGGTAACATTGCCTTCCATATTGATGCACAGCAAGCCGAGTCATTCAAAATGAGCTTAAAGCCTCCGTTAAAAAGGGAAAAAATGGAGAAGAGAATAAATAGCTGAAGTCGGCAAAGAAACTTGCTTCCTCTTGTCCTCATTACAATGGTGTCTGTTTCCTCTTCCATTAGTTTGGGAAAGTGCTTGCTTCACTTGATAAATATTAATGTTGTTTGCATGATATGCTTATCTATGTTAACTATCATTTACTTGATTAAGTCACCTAGTTTTCTGGGTTCTCACAGCAGTCCAGATTTACATGACATACCAGGCTAGTTTGTAGCATGTCAAATCATGCACATTCTGCTGTTGGAAGGGAAAAGCATTTGAAATATCTGGGTTGGAAGTGCATGAAAATGTCTTTCCTCTTGGAATTCCACGTCTGTAGATTATGCTCAGCATAACCTTTATAGGTGCCTCTGCTTTTAAGAGTTGCACAGCAAGCAGAATGTTTCTCCCTGCAGATTTTTCTCTTCACTGCAGTCAACAGAAAATCTGCACTGGAGGAGATTTCTTTTCTGCCGTTCTTAAAGGTGCAAGAACCTTTAGGAATCAAAACTGTCAGCCTTTTCTTTTAGAATGTCTGTACCATCAACAGATGTGGAAGGGGTAAATATCTCATCAGGTGAAATATTTGCCTCTATAGAAAGATCGATGGGGAGAATTTACCCACGAAATTTCCGTTTGTCTTTTGTTGAAGACCCAGGATCCTGCCCAGAATAAAGGGGGGGGGGAGTGTGAAACCATTGCATCCAATAGTTCTGTCCTTCTGGAAAAAGGAAGGATCTGTTTGCTCCAGCTATAAATAACAGAGAAGAGTGTACTTTACATAAAATAAAGTTTCATAAAAGGTACAGGAAACATAAATCTGGGAGTGAGTAGTGGCTGTTGGTGAAGGACTCACTGGGTGATACTGGACTGTCGCCCATGCTTAGCCAGGCAACAGCAAGTACTCTAGCAGTGTTTCCCCTTTCCGTTATTACACCCCGCCCCAACAGGAAATGCTCTTGCTTCCTCCCACACCCACGGCCACTTGTGGTTTCCGCATGATATATCCCAATTTTTGCCTATTCTCTCTCTCTCCTGGTTGTGTTGCTTTCTCAATAATCTTTTAACCTCAGCAATCTCCCCTTGCACTTGGGGGAAGCATAGGCCAATGGGGACACCTGGAACTGTTGAGCCACAAACTGAAATTGAAATTGATCAGCCTGCACTTCAGTGACTGAGCTGAGGAGGGAATAAGAAGCAGAAAGTGGTGCATGCTATGCTTGAGAAATTTATAAGTGGTGCAGGGATTAATAGTTTTTAAATATCCAGTTTCATTTGCTCTCTTTCTAACACTGGCAGGGTGAGACTCCTGGATTAGTATTTTAAGGTTGGTGAGGTTGGCTTTACATAACACATGAGGCAAAACTGTAGCTTGCTGGTGTATGGTTCAGTGGCTATGTTTGCACAACTCATCTTTAATTAATAGAGCCATGAGTTCAGTTCTCAGTGCACTCCGTGGTCTGGTCACACTTGACATACTGAGCCATCAACTAATCGTACGAATTGGGTTTATATAGCAGACTAGGCAACACTCACTAGTTTCTTGTTCAGTATTTTATGTGAACCTAGCCTGTATAAGTAATTTACAGTTTAGAGTAAGGGTGTCAAACTTGCAACGTCACGTGATGTGTCACAACATGTCACGACTATTTTTCCATTGCCGGCAATAGGGTGGGCGTGGTTTTGCCATGACGCATCCGGCCCACAGGCCGGCTGTTTGACACCCCTGCTTTAGAATGATGTTTAAATACAACTAGTTGGGTTAATTCACTGAATATTAATTAAACAATCCATGGATTAGGATTATTCACAGGTTCTAACATTTTCAAAAATGATACAGTTATATAGGTTAGGAAGCTATAGTTAATCACTTATTGTGATTGATAAATAGCTTTCCAATAGCTCTAGGTACGTGCTTTTGATTATTGGAATCTTAGAACATTTGTGACTCATGACCAACAGTTGAAGAGGGACCAACAAGCTTGAGAACTGTCATTGAGATTTTACTGATATTCTGTACATTTAATAAGCATTTGACCTGCAAAAATTAACCACAGGAATCTTTTCCTGGCATACAGATCAAATAATTGAGGAAGAAAAAAAACCAAACAAATCTAATGACATCTTATGATTTTCCACAGTTTTTAACGTAGCCTATAAAACTGAAATTATATGCCTTTTATAGAAATAAAAATATTTAAATGTTTCTTGTTAGAAATCTCAGACTTCTTCTTTCTTAGGACTAGATGTCTGTGGTTTTCGGCTTTGTCTAAACCAGTGGTTCTCAACCTTCCTAATGCCACGACCCTTTAATACAGTTCCTCATATTGTGGTGACCCCCAACCATAAAATTATTTTCGTTGCTACTTCATAACTGTAATTTTGCTACTGTTATGAATCGTAATGTAAATATCTGATACGCAGGGTGTATTTTCATTGTTACAAATTGAACATAACTAAAGCATAGTGATTAATCACAAAAACAATATAGCAATGCTCGCTGGAGAAGCTTACTCTTCCTTGCTCAAAAATGTTGGGAGGGAGGGAAGGGGGGAAGGAAGGAAGATTGAAGGGGAAAGGAAGGAGATGGAGAAGGAAGGAGATTGAAGGGGAAAGGAAGGAAGGAAGGAGAAAGAGATTGAAGGGGAAGGGATGGAGATGGAAGGAAGGAAGGAAGGAAGGAAGGAAGGAAGGAAGGAAGGAAGATTGAAGGGGAAAGGAAGGAGATTGAAGGGGAAGGAAGGAAGGAAGATTGAAGGGGAAAGGAAGGAGATGGAGAAGGAAGGAGATTGAAGGGGGAAGGAAGGAAGGAAGGAAGGAAGGAAGGAAGGAAGGAGAGAGATTGAAGGGGAAGGGATGGAGAAAAAAGGAAGGAAGGAAGGAAGATTGAAGGTGAAAGGAAGGAGATGGAGAAGGAAGGAAGATTGAAGGGGAAAGGAAGGAAGAAAGGAAGGAGAGGGAGATTGAAGGGGAAGGGATGGAGTTGGAGATGGAAGGAAGGAAGGAAGATTGAAGGGAAAATGAAGGAGATGGAGAAGGAAGGAGATTGAAGGGGGGAGGCGCTGCCAAGGACGCACAAGCAGCTGGGGAGGGGGGGAGGCTCTGGCAGAGAGCCTGGTGGAAAGCCAAGTGGCGGCACATCTGGGGCCTCGGAAGCTGCGCGGAGGATGCGCGCACCTTGGAGCCACTGGCTGCCCTCTCACACCCGCCAACCTGGAGCCCCCCATCCTCATCCCAGCACCTCTTGCCCTCTCCCAACCACCCCCCTGGGACCTGCCTGCCCCTCCAGCCTCCTGAGCACCATCGCAGCAGTGGGGTCATGGGAGCCCCTTTCCACGCCGCGCAGCCCATCGCACGCGAGAGGGGCACGGCCGGAGCACCAGCTCCCGCTCGGAAGGTACCGCTTCTCCCCTCCCGGCCTGGCTGGCTGGCCTCCAACACACATGCGGGCATCACTGCAGCCTTGCCCTCTTCCCCGCCCCCTGGCCGCTTCCGAGGCCCGGAGCCCGGCGAGCCGGGAAGGAGCCGCTCCTGCCCGGCAGTCCCACAGCCGCACTGAGCACCAGAGGCCTGAGGCGGCCTCCGACGGTGAGGGAGGCTGGCTGGGCGGCGTGGGGGAGGCTCCCGCACGGCGCGGAGAGTGGCTGGGGTGGAGCGCAGCCAGGCAACCAGGAGGCGTGGAGACCGCCTCGGTGCTGCAGCTCAGCTGGCAGCGGCGGAGCAGCCCAGCGGCAGTGCCAGCAACAGCCCAGACCCAGCTCGGACTGGCTGCTGAGCCAGCCCACGGCGGCATTGGGGGCGCGCGTGATGACACTGTGGCGGCAGGAGCAGGCGCTGTCGGAGGAGAAGGGCGCCCTGGAGGTGGAGGAGGAGGGCGGCGGCAGCAGCCGGATAGAGGAGGGTGTCTCGGTTTCTAAAGACCATCGGAAATATGTGTTTTCCGATGGTCTTAGGCAAACCCCTGTGAAAGCGTCATTCGACCCTCAAAAGGGTCGCGGCAGCAATTATCAGATTTTTTTTTTAAAGCGGGCTGATGCCTGATACATAAACAGTTCCAAATTGGTTAATTTCTTCCTCTTACATTACTGTTAAAAGACTAGTAGTAGACCTGGGTTGCAAAATTCTGGACGACTGTAAAATGACATGCTAGCGATATAATATTAGCCAGATTTTTCCAGTCCTGTTCTGGCAACTGTTAAAAATTGCTGCTGATTTACAGAAAAATTGTACACATTTTCATAAAAGATAAATATATTGGTAGGGATAAGCAGTGGCAGGTAAGATGAAACCTCCTTTATTTTTAGAGGCAGTAGATCAGTACTTTGATAAATACAGTATGTGGATAGTCATCATTATATTCATCTTCTGGGATTGTCCACCCAGAGACATGGAATATCAATCCAAATTCTATCGATAATACAGTTTAGTATGCAAACCGTCGTATATGTTTTGGTTTGTGCAAATCAATTGTAGCTTAGTCAAAAATCAATATGGCAATTGTAGATCATTTTATAACTATTTTCAGCATTATCCTATTCTGTGTTATTCAGTTTCTCCTGGCATATATTAAAGGTAGAAGTAGTCAAGGACCTTGACTACTAGAAATGATAAATGAGACTAGGAGCAGTTTGTTGACTATATAGGCATATTAATGGCATATGAGTTTCATATTGTTGACTTTTTGTGTATTTTAGGGTTCCTCCTATTCCGAGATTTCTGCTTGAATCAAGTAGAGGAGGCCAAACCGCTGGTGGAATTCTATGAAGAGGTGAGGCACTAACTACAGACAAAAAAGTATTCTAGTATTCAAACATTGTTACCTTCTTTAGCCTAGCTCACAAAGAATACATTACATTTTGAAATGGATAGAGATGTTAGAGACTGTTAGCCTGCACTTGCCTTGGGAGGAGGAGGGTATAAGCATTAAGGATGGAACCAAGGTGAAAAGGGTTCCCGAAAAGGGTTAACAACACTGATAGTGGAATAGATTTTCCTATCCTCATGCAGGCCCCTCCCTTCATATTTCCCAAGTCTGCTCCTGAAGCTTGGAAGAACCCAGATTTGGGGCCCTGGGTAGTAGAAACCCATTTGCAAATTACTGAACAGAGCCCTTTGCTTTGATAGTCTTTATAGAACAGAATATTGCTTTATACTTAGGCTTCCTAGAAACAACTAAGAGATTCCAAGTCCCCTTTACATATTGAAGATAATTTGGAGATGATATCCTTCTTGAATAACTGGAGTTTTGTTCATGCAACAGACGAAGGATCCAAAAGAACATTAGATCATAGACCTCCAGCTGCAGTGTAGCTAGAATTTTAAATAAACAAGCAGATTGACAGAGCCTACTAGCTTAGTCAAAATTGTTATCCTCTCAGCAGCAAACTGAGATATAAATCATTGATAATAATAACATTCTGTAAGATGTTGGTTGGAGAATATGATACAGAAAAGTACAAGTATTTATGTATATGTGTCTCATTTAAGGAGTTGGTGATGTGTTACCTGGGACTGTTTGTGGTTATAGTCCAATGCATATAGACTCCAGTTTGGGAAAAGCTGATATGCTTCACCTGTCTTAATTAAAAATAAAAATAATTCATAGGCAAGGAAGAGAAGAAGTGGTAATTATTTTTCAGTGCACTGCTGAATTTCTTAATCACAGTTCTTGTCCCTTTGCCTTTCTATCATTATTATATAATTATTGTTTCCGCACTGTTTTTGTCATCACTACCAACCCTGTTGTGACCTGCTCCTTCCATTCAAACAAAGTAAGTTAAGAAAATGAATCTTGATGGCCTAGTTCTTAAGCTGAACTTTGGAATTTTTCAGGTTTAGACCGTGGTTATCTGTAAATGTGGCCTTATCTACTGAGCCTTGAATTTTTTGTGTGAAAAAGCACATTATCTTACATACACAATATTATCTTGCCTGTTCTCTCCAGATCAAAAAATATGAGAAGTTGGATTCTGATGAGGATCGAGCAATTAAGAGCCGCCAGATCTTTGACATCTACATCATGAAGGAACTGTTATCCTGCTCTCATGTGAGTGCTTCGGACACTTGCTGCCATGTGAGAGAGTCTGAAAAGGCCCTTGGGAATGGGCAGAAAGGCCGCTTCATAATCACCTTGAACGAGATCCTTGAAAATGTAAGGCTCCCCAGATTAAGTAGGAGGAGCTAGACCACTATCATGATACCCTCTCACAGGGAAAATACTTTCTATGGGTCACCGAGTGGCACACATGCAGTCAGGTCCAGAAATATTGGAACATCGACACAATTCAAACATCTTTGGCTCTATACACCACCACAATGGAGTTGGAATGAAACAAACACGATGTGCTTTAACTGCAGACTGTCAGCTTTAATTTGAGGGTATGTACATCCAACTCAGGTGAACGGGGTAGGACTTACAGCAGTTTGCATATGTGCCTCCCACTTGTTAAAGGACCAAAGGTAATGGGACAATTGGCTTCTCAGCTGTTCCATGGCCAGGTATGTGATATTCCCTCATTACCCCAATTACAATGTGCAGATAAAAGGCCCAGAGTTCATTTCAAGTGTGCTATTTGCATTTGGAATCTGTTGCTGTCAACTCTCAAGATGAGATCCAAAGAGCTGTCACTATCAGTGAAGCAAGCCATCATTAGGCTGAGGAAACAAAACAAACCCATCAGAGAGATAGCAAGAACATTAGGCGTGGCCAAAACAACTGTTTGGAACATTCTCAAAAAGAAGGAATGCACCGGTGAGCTCAGCAACACCAAAAGACTCGGAAGACCATGGAAAACAACTGTGGTGGATGACCGAAGAATTCTTTCCCTGGTGAAAAAAATGCCCTTCACAACAGTTGGCCAGATCAAGAACACTCTCCAGGAGGTAGGTGTATGTGTGTCAAAGTCAACAATCAAGAGAAGACTTCACCAGAGTGAATACAGAGAGTTCACCACAAGATGTAAACCATCGGTGAGCCTCAGAAACAGGAAGGCCAGATTAGAGTTTGCCAAACAACATCTAACAAAGCCTTCACAGTTCTGGAACAAGATTCTATGGACAGATGAGACCAAGATCAACTTGTACCAGAGTGATGGGAAGAGAAGAGTATGGAGAAGAAAAGGAACTGCTCATGATCCTAAGCATACCACCTCATCAGTGAAGCATGGTGGTAGTAGTGTCATGGCGTGGGCATGTATGGCTGCCAATGGAACTGGTTCTCTTGTATTTATTGATGATGTGACTGCTGACAAAAGCAGCAGGATGAATTCTGAAGTGTTTCGGGCAATATCTGCTCACATTCAGTCAAATGCTGCAGAACTCATTGGACGGCGCTTCACAGTGCAGATGGACAATGACTCAAAGCATACTGCAAAAGCAACCAAATAATTTTTGAAGGGACAGAAGTGGAATGTTATGCAATGGCCAAGTCAATCACCTGACCTGAATCCCATTGAGCATGCATTTCACTTGCTGAAGACAAAACTGAAGGGAAAATGCCCCAAGAACAAGCAGGAACTGAAGACAGTTGCAGTAGAGGCCTGGCAGAGCATCACCAGGGATGAAACCCAGCGTCTGGTGATGTCTATGCGTTCCAGACTTCAGGCTGTGATTGACTGCAAAGGATTTGCAACCAAGTATTAAGAAGGGAAAGTTTGATTTATGATTATTATTCTGTCTCATTACCTTTGGTCCCTTAACAAGTGGGAGGCACATATGCAAACTGCTGTAAGTTCTACCCCGTTCACCTGAGTTGAATGTACATACCCTCAAATTAAAGCTGACAGTCTGTAGTTAAAGCACATTGTGTTTGTTTCATTCCAACTCCATTGTGGTGGTGTATAGAGCCAAAGATGTTTGAATTGTGTCGATGTCCCAATATTTCTGGACCTGACTGTAGTTCTGTTGGAATGGCCTATCCCAGCTCTTAAGCTTTCTCTATGATCTTTTTTTCCCTCTCCTGCTGACAAGCAGTGGCTCTTTTCCTGTTCAGGGCTGATCTTGTTATGAATGAACTGCAGGCAGCCACCTAAATGGTTCCTTTTGAAACGCAGTGTTCTTGCAGCAGCAGGCTGACAATTCTTTCTCTCTACTTGGGACAGCTAATTCTGCTCTCTCTTCCTGTTTGTATCAGGTATACCATTACAAACAATATGGAATTGTCTGTTTCCTGTCCTCATCGCACCACGTTGACTGTAGAGCAGAGGCCCCCAACCTTTTGGGCATCAGGGACCGGTTCTGTGGAGAAAGATTTTTCTGCAGACCAGAGAGGGTGTGGTTTTGTTGCTGCCTGCGGATGGGGCTTTGCTTGTTTGTGCAGCCCAGTTGCTGGCATGCCGTGCCCAGTGCTGGTCCATGGACCGGGTGTTGGGGACCTCTGCTGTAGAGGGATGCATTGTGTAATGGTATCACATCCCATTGTATCTATATTGGATGTAGGAGGAAGAGGCATAGAAGCGTCATAGAATAGTGGTCTCTTCTAATATCTAACTCAGTTAGATATCAGATTCCTAATGTTGAAATCAAACAAGAATAAATAATTGATGGATGGATGCTAGTGAGAGCAATTTCAAAATTCAGGAAATAAGCATTGCAAGATGCTTTTCTTCCTCCTAAAAAGCCGTAACTCAGACATAGAACACCAACTTTGTATTCAGGAATTCTCAAGATCAGTTTTTGGCAATTATAGTTAAGAGAGTCAAATAGCTGATAATGAGGAAGATCATTATCAACTTTGAAGACTTTGAGAGAGACTTTGAAGAGTGTTGTCCATCACCCAAAGTAAGCAAAATTAGGCTAGATGGATAAATAAACTAATTTGGTATAAGGCACCTTCCCATATAGGTGGGTGGATGAGCATAAATAAGATGTTTTCAAGACTGGAAACAAATGAGAGCTATTAACAGAGGAAAAATTTATCTAAGCAACGGGTGTCAAACACACAACGTCACATGACGTGTCGCAACATATCGCAACTTTTCTCCCATTGCCAGTAATGGGGTGACGCATCCAGCCCATGGGCTGGCAGTTTAACACCCCTGATCTAGGCCAGTGGTTCTCAACCTTTCTAATGCCGCGACCCCATAATACAGTTCCCCATGTTGTGGTGACCCCCAAGAACTTATACATCACCGGGTGCCAGGGGCGTGGCCAAAGAAAAAGGGGAAAAAAATGGCAGACAGCCTTGTTTGGCGACCCCCGTGAAATGGTCGTTCGACCCCAAATGGGGTCCCGACCCACAGGTTGAGAACCAGTGATCTAGGCAGTCTGCAGATAAGATAAGGATCCAGAGAGTAAAATAGAATAGGTAAAAGTGGCTACCAAACTGCAGGACTAAATGTGGGATAAAGGGACAGTACCTGTATATTTGCCTGACTCCAGCTGATTCTTGTTTTGCAGTAGTCTTTCCTATTTCTCTGTAACCAGCTTCTTTGGAAAAATGCTTTGGCCCTTAGTTCCCTTAGCAAAAGGATACTAAGCAAGAAGATTAGAACATAACATTATGAGAGCGAGGGAGGGAGGGAGGGAGAGAGAGAGACAGAGACAGAGAGAGAGAGAGAGAGAGAGAGAGACCTGCCCTACCTGGTTTTTGTTTATCCTACTAAATTAATGAGCACCTATGTATTAGGCTCACTTGTTTTTCTATATCCTTTACAGCCCTTCTCGAAAACAGCCACAGAGTATGTGCAAACCCGTCTGAGCAAAAAGCAAGTGCAGCCTGACCTGTTTCAGGTAAGTCCCTTTCCACAGATGAAGTCTCTGAGCTCACACAAAATATAATTTGCCCTTGGATTGGGATGCTGCCTTTCCTGGGAAAAACTGCTGAGTGAGACAGATCTGTGCAGCATAATCTGATAGTCTGAACCACAGCTTATGACATGCTTTTCCTCATATTGCCACACGTAGAGAAACTTGACTCTGGTAGGGCCCATCTGTTTTACAGGTAGTCCTTGCTTAGTGACTGGTTGTTCAGTGACTATTCAAAGTTTTGCTGGGCCCCTCCCCAAAGGTACTTATCACCCAACTCTGGAGTTGTGACGGCACGTATACACACAGAGAGACACATGTCCGTATTTCAAACACTTGACAACTAGTTTGCCTTTTATAGCCAGTTGCAGTAAGGTCACGTGACAAGTTTTACAATGGGGCTTTTGCCAGAAACGAGCCTTTTTGGCCAATTTTCAACCAAAAACATTAATAGGAATACATTGATTTACTTTACAGCTATTGTGATTGCGTAACAATTGCCACAAAACGGTCCTAAAATTGGGTCTGTCGTATGGGTGTCTCAGTTTACCACCATCACGATTTACGATGAAATTCTAGGCTCCATTACAGCCATAAGTCAAGGGCTACCTGTATATCTTTTGCTGCCAGTGTGCTTGCATTCCCCTGGCCAGGGATGTTAATATCTATAATTGGAACTATTCAGAAGAGAAACGGAACGCCTGTGTGTGACAAAGATAATACATAGGTTGTTGGTATTTAAGTTTGTCTCCTCTTTTGCCAGCCATACATTGAAGAGATTTGCCAACGTCTGTGTGGGTCTGTCTTCCAGAAGTTCATTGAGAGGTGAGTCCTGAGGAATATAAAATCTTTTTAGAGGTTACATTAAAGTGATGCTATGAACCTTCTTTGATTTTCAGCTCTGATTTTTTTTCTTGAAGACTTTTTTTTCCTCCAGCATTTAATTAGCTACCTTTCAAATCCAGCTCAGCGTATTTACATGGCCCTCACTGAACTTTTTTACAGTTTTGTTCTGACAATCCCCCTTTAGAAGCTCTCTATGGAGCTTTTTAAAAGTAATATTTCTGAACATCTTGGAACATCTTGGAAATTCCTCAAGTTAATTGTAGTGCTGTTGGACTACATATTTACTTTGGGTATATAGCAACTTTCCTTTGAGGCTCTTGATATGTCTTGGATTGCTGTCCCATTATCTCCAGGTAGCATGTGTCTGTTGCTTTTTTTTTTTTTTTTGAGGTAATCCTTGTTTGAAGAGAGTTGAGGGAGAGAACCCCCAATTAACACTTGGAGACCTTTTCCCAAAGGAGGTTATTGAGGAATTCCACTAAGATAAGTCTTTAAAAGTAATATGCTGAATATTCTTTTTATTCATTGTTGAGTAACTGGGACAGGGGTGTTTACAAAAACGCAATGATATCTTTTAAAGCCTGCAGATCTATATAGGAGTGAGATCCCTTGAACAAAATGAAAGAGCCTTCAGAATAAATATAGATAAAGCCATTCTGTAAATTTTCTGTGTGTGTGTGTGTGTATCTGTGTACACATGTATACATAATATGTAGAAAGATCTATGTAATACTGTCATATATATTTCTACATTGTATTTCTTTCCTCTAGCTAGCTATCTGTCTAAATCTACCTATCCAGCTATCTATATGAACATCATTTTAGTAAACAGTAAACAAGAACATGGAAAAATCACAAAATGTATAAAACTATAATTACTTTACAATAACTGTTAATACAAATCTTACCATATACGATAGTCCTATAGAAGCCTAATATGGTTATAGATCAAGATAAGTAGTTATATCTTTAGAGCCTATTTATTATGATGGGGTCTCAAAAACATTAGTCATAGTGGGGGCCATCATCCAGAATGCTTTGTGTCATTTAATGTGATGTCAGAATAGGTTCATTGGCATGGATAAAGCTGAGATTTTTCATAGCCTATTCTTAATTCAGAGCTTTATAGCCAATATCAACATTTTAGATATATAATAATACTGGTGTGTTATAGATGTTACTTAACAGTAGAAAAATCACAGTTATAGTGCACTGGTAAAAAGAATTGTTGGCCACCCGCTGTCTAAATTTTCCAGTTAGCATGTAGTCTAAGAACTGCTCCTCAGTATATGTTTTTTGTTTTTGTTTTTGTTTTTAATAGAGAATGTGACCCAGCAGTTTTATTGACAAACACTTTTGGGCCTTCAACACTCAAAGTGTTTGTCCATAAAACAAATTGCCATTAAATAGGTCTCAGAGGACCTTTGAAGATCTCAATCCTTTTAAATTTGGCTCTATGACAAGAACATCCTTTAATGATTAAAAAGACTATTGGACAACATTCTATAAATGCAATAATGGCTGAGATTTCAGTAATAGCACGAAAACCAAATATCCATTTCTTCTATACTGTGTGCACAATTATTAGGCAAGTGAATATTTTGACCATATCATTATTTTCATGCATATTTTCCACCTCCAAGCTGTATAAACTTGAATGCTTACTGGATATAAGCATATCAGGTGATGTGTATTTGTGTAATGAAGGAGGGTGTGGCCTAAGGAGATCAACACCCTATATCAAGGTGTGCATAATTATTAGACAGCTTCTTTTCCTTAGGCAAAATGGGCCAAAAAAGAGATTTAACTGACTCTGAAAAGTCAAACATAGTAAAAAGTCTTTCAGAGGGATATTGCGCTCTTGAAATTGCTAAGATATTGGGGCGTCACAGAACCATCAAAGATTTTGTTGCAAATAGTCAACAGGGTCACAAGAAACGTGTTGAGAAAAAGATGCACATTAACTGCCAAAGATTTGAGAAGAATCAAACATGAAACCATCAGGAACACATTATCCTCCAGTGCTGTCATAATCCTGAACTTCAACATACCTGGAGTATTCAGAAGTACAAGGTGTCCAGATACATGGCCAATGTAAGGAAGGCTGAAACCCGACCACTACTGAACAAGACATATAAGTTGAAACGGCAAGACTGGGCTAAGAAATATCTGAAGATAGGTTTTTCAAAGGTTTTATAGACTGCTGATATCAGAATAACTTTTGACGGACCAGATGGATGGGCCTGTGGCTGGATCAGTAACGGGCACAGAACTCCACTTCGATTCAGACACCAGCAAGGTGGTGAAGTTAGAGTTAGTTGGACCTTTTCGGTTGAAGATGGACTGAAACTCAATTCCCAAACCTACTGCCAGTTTTTAGAAGACACTTTCTTCAAGCAGTGGTACAGGAAAAAGTCTCCATTTTTCAAGAAGACCATGATTTTTATGCAGGACAATGCTCCTTGCATACATCAAAGTACTCCACTGTGTGACTAGCCAGTAAAGACCTTAAAGATGAAAGAATAATGACATGGCCCCCTTCCTCACCTGACCTAAACCCTATTGAGAAATTGTGGGCCCTTCTTAAATAAGAGATTTACTGTGAAGGAAAACAGAACACCTCTCTGAACAGTGTCTGGGAGGCTGTGGTTGCTGCTGCACAAAATGTTGATCGTCAACAGATCAAGAAACTGACAAGACTCCATGAATGGAAGGCTTATGTCTTTATTGAAAAGAAGAGTGGCTATATTGGTCACGGATTTTTTTTTGAATCTCAGAAATGCTTATTTGTACATTTTGAGTTGTTTGTTTATTATTCTCACTTTAACAGATACAAATAAATGAGTGAGATGGGCAATTTTGCATTTTTCATTTAGTTCTATAATAATTGTGCACACCAGTAGTTGCCCAATAATTGTGCACACATAAATATTCTCCTAAGAAAGCCAAAATCTCACTTTTACTTTCTTAGATATTCAGGTTTGAGGTTTATTAACATTTTGGATTGACTGAAAGCACTGTAATTGTTTAGTACAAGAATTAGCCCTCCAAAATACAACTGGCCTAATACTGGTGCACACAGTGTATTTTCTGTTTGGATTTTTTCAAGTCTCCTGATAGTCACATTCTAATTACATGACATTTCATTTATTTTAAATTGTAGTCATTTTTCTTTATTCGTGTCAGAAGCACCTTCAAATGTAGACTTAAAACATTCAATACTGAGCAGGTAAAATAAGTATAAAATAGGTCACAGAGATATAGCACATATAAAAAGTATGTAAACTAGATAGGATTAAAACTAATGACATTCGCCCAGTATCGCGCTACATGGGCAACATTTTCTCTCACCAGCATGAGGCCTTCCTCGGTATAAGTTAAAGAACATTGTATGCATTGTAGCATATTGAGATGGATTGTTTTCCACATTCACCCAATGTGGTGGTGATGGGGGGACATGAAAAGAGCCTTGCCAAAGTTTGCATTGTTTTGGCAATCGGGCGTCCTCTGGGCAACATTGTTGTCACCAGCAAATACTTTCAATTCAGAAGCACTCTACAATCTGAGAATTTTAGCCATAATTTTCTCCCCATAGATCACTTCTTCCTAATCATTACAAAAGTTCAAGATATAAGGTGTTTCTATCACAGATCTTGGGAGAGTTATAATTTGAGACATGAACATGTTTGACATGGTAGTCATGCCATCTTGGGCTGCACTTAACAGCAACAGTGTCTTAGTTTGAATGTTAACCTTTGAGCCCTGTACTCAAAACCACCTCCTTCAGCCAAGACAAGGAGGCAAGTAGGATAGTGCAGGCAGTCAAAATTGACTGAGTGTTAGACTGATCAAAGAGAGAGTCTATAGACCAAGACTATCTCCACCACTTAAGTTGCTATATACAAGATAGTCAGATAGACATATTTGGAAGAGGTAAATTTCTCCACCTTTGTCCAGTTAGATTTTAGTGATGTGAGCCATGTTGGCATGCTATTCCATAATTTGATATAATGATAATTTCCCATTAACCAATCTAGCATATGTTAACTGTACCTATATACTAAAGGTAAGCATCCAAGTTCACTTAGCTGTGGGGAAATGGCATTAGGATGTCTGAATTACTGCCTTTTTAGCTCCCATTGCTACAATGCCCTCTGGTTGTACTGCCTTTATAACGCCTCCTATATTCTTTCATTGCTGGTCTACTGGAATTGGAAATCTTGTAAATAGAGATTTTAGCTAAAGGATCCTCTGACATAAAGATGCACTGATTAGGGACTGAAGTCAACTGCAAGAGAAATTGTGAGTGTTTGTGAGTTCTGTCCTTTATTCTGTTTTAGTGACAAATTCACACGCTTCTGCCAGTGGAAGAATGTGGAGCTGAACATCCATGTAAGTGTCTAGTACTGGGAGGGCATTTTTGAGATTGTGATAAAACTATCATGAGACACTAAGCATAGAGCTGCCAATGGTCACTTTATTATAGCATGCAGAATTTACAGGATTTGCAAAGCAATCATAATGCACTGAGAAAGGAGATCCCATCCCTAAAAAGCTCCTCATTATGGTAGCTAAAAAAAATTATTGATGTCTGTTATTCATTTGGTAAATGAACTAGATAACTGTGAGTGTTAGAGAAATGAATCCAGTGTCATGCTCAATATCTTAAAACAGGAACAGAAAATATTTTGCTTTGGAGATGTTGAACTTGTAACTTCCACTGTTGTTGATAATGCTGGCATCTATCAACATCTCAGAAGTTACAAGCTATCAGTTTCAATTTGAAGATCTGAGTTTAGCACGCACAGTTGACCCCTCTTTTAAATCTAAAGACTCACAAGCAGTGGTGACCAAAATGAGGGGAAGTATGTGTTGAAAGTAATTGAAATCCAGTGACAATTAGCCTACAGTTATGAATGTGCTTGGATAGCGCTGTGAAAACAAGATCATGCACACTTCAGGTTAACATTCTTGGTTTGCTTTCTCTTCTCTTGTTTTTTTTTTTAAAAAAATGCCGTTTCATGGGATCTAGCTGACCATGAATGACTTCAGTGTCCATAGGATCATCGGACGCGGTGGATTTGGAGAGGTCTACGGCTGCCGGAAAGCAGACACGGGCAAAATGTAATATATGGGATTGTCTTGTCATGCTGTGGTGAGAATTGTAGGAGAGCAAGTCAAGAATGAGGTTCAGCTTCAGTAACTGGCAGTTCCCAATTCCTTTTTGATGTAATAATTTAATTGTTGCAAGCTATTTATGCAGAGCATCACTTTGTGTAAAAAAGTATTCCTGTCTGAATCTTACAACTGGGGATAGTTATGAGGTGGGCCCTCAGATAGCTCTGGCCTGCTACTCCCCACAGATTGCCCTGAAGACATGAGCCTTTGCTTGACCCCGAAGGCAAGTAAGTTTCCTAATGCTATTTTCCAGCTTGCTTTTATTTTCGAGATAGACAGAATATTTTCAGCACCAACTCAAGTTTTTCAAGATATAGATGAACTGCTGAAACGAAACAAAAAATCCATATATACAATCGGTATCTCGGATTTTATTATAAAATATTTTATTCAATTCTAGAACAAATCATTGCAATCCCGCAATCATTTTGGAGGAGCAGCAACGAAACCCATTCCGATTTTCAAATGAAGCAAAATATAGAGAAATCCCTGCAGGATTTTTGGGAGCGAGTAGGGCAAGACTGCTACATCTTACTCCTCTCCCCTCAGCAGCTTCCAGTGCAGCTCATTCCATCGGCCTGCTCATTTGCTGCCCCTCTTCCAGCTCCCAGCATCTTCCAACTGTCATTGCCAGTCTCCTTGGCTTAATTCCCCAAACCACTTCTGCTGCCAACAACTGCATTTTGGGCCATATCTAGAACAAAACAGCTTCATTTTGGTCTGTAGAAACAAAACTCCAAAATCCATGTTTCACATTAGAGGGAGACCAGCTGTTCTATGCACATCTCTTATAGTTAAAATGAAGACAAGCAGCAGAACCAGTTGAACAAGATACAAAATAAGAATAACAAAAATATCCAGATAGATTCAGATGGAGATCTTTCAGGCATTTCCTCCCCCCCCCCCCCCCCAGGTTATGCTTCTCATCCATTAGCCACCCAATACTTCCTTTCAAGTTGAATGACCACAAAGAGAATTCTGCAGGATAAGAGAAATGTGCTGGTCCCAAATATAAATATTCATATTGCTAGCTTTAAGGTGAACAATAATTGCCTTTTGTTATATTGGCTTGCAGGACCCGAGGAGGTGTTTTGCCTTCTCACAATAACTTTTGCCTTGTTTATCTCTCAGTCTACTGCAATGCACTCTCTGCGGTACTGTCTTTGAAGATGCCTCAGAAATTACAGTTGATCCAGAATGCAGCAACTTAATTAAAGGCACATCCCAATCTGCCCGTTTTTGGTGAAATCCATATGGCCCCAGCCCTCCAGGGTTTTGCAGCAGGCTTTGGGCAGATACGTCACGATGGCTGTTATTCCTTATAGTTGGATTTTACTAAAATTGATTTCTTTCTATTGTTCCTCAGTGGTAAAAGAGTAAATTGATGATGTAAATTTATGCAATAGCCTATGTAAACTGCTCAGTGTCTAAGGAAGCATAAGTATCACTAATTTAAGAATATTCCAGCTTCCTTTAAAACTTTTACATTTTCTCCACAATGTATCCCTTGTGGACTTGATCATGTGCTTCCTTATTGCTGCCTTGGAAAATGTCCCTCCTCTAAACAAGTTAATTCAGTTATTGTCCTGCCAGGCCAAATATAAGGCAGAAAGAAACTGACTGCTTTCCCTCCCTTCCACATCCTGAGCGTGAGCCAGCAGGAAAATTACCAAAGAGTTTTCCAATTGCTGGCAAGCTGGACAGTTATTGTTTAGGGTTGTTATGGAGATAAAAGGAAAGCTTGGAAAACAGAGGATAATGTAGGGGCATCTGTGATCAGGGAGAATGTGTTTTCATTCTAAATGTCTGAAGTTCCTAAAGGGGAGGACAAGTTTCCCTTCAGAAAGAGGATATTATGAGCTTCATCGGAAGAAGTACCCTCACAGGATTATGTTTGGAGAGACATCTTCAGGGATGATTTCAGGGATAGGCGCATCATCAGATACTTTTGGCAAAAATTTAACACGCTGATCCTTCAGTTTCTCACCTCTTCTGTTTCTTGATAGGTACGCCATGAAGTGTCTAGATAAGAAGCGTATTAAGATGAAGCAGGGGGAGACATTGGCTCTGAATGAACGCATCATGCTGTCTCTTGTCAGCACTGGGGTGAGCTTGGCTACTGTGAGGGATTGGGAGAAGCGGAAAGAATGCCCAAGCTCTGAATCTACAACATACGAGTTTTTGGTGGGCAGAAGGAGAAATCTAAAAACATTCAAGTGACAGTTTGGGGACTTGAAGTCAAAACTGGCATGGGTGAGGTAGATATTTTGCTAAATCCATCTGTCGTGGAGAGGGAAGAAGATGTGTAAAGGAGGTAGTGTTGATTTGTTGATTCTGGGAGTGTAACCTAGCAGCAAAGATGGTATGCAAGTATGCCACAACGTTTATGCCAGAAAGAATAAGAGGTGCCATGCAGCATGTCTGAAAGTTAGAGGAGAGTACGTGTTGTATATGGAGTATGCTGAAGAGAGAAAGAAGAGCAGGAAGGATTCTTTGCTTGTAAGAAAAACAGGAGAATACCTACAACTGTTTACAGGATGGGGTTGTGGGAAAATAAGCAAGGCTACTATGTATTGTGTAGATATTGGTGCAGGCACACTGCAGAAATTGTGACATATAGGGTCAATACAATAGCACTAGTTTGTGAGGCCGGAAACTGAGTGGTTTATTACACAATTTGTTGTCACAAGATTGTAAGAAGCAAGCGTAAGTGTGTGCAGTTGAATGAGTTGGGTAATAAGTGTGAACACAGGATGTATTAGATTATAGAATGTACAGCAAAGATGGCAGAGGCAAACTGTGTGAGCTGAAATGTATCAATATATGGTGTGCGCATGCATGCAGTTTCTTTGTTGTTTTTTTCTGTTGTAACTTTGTTCTTTGGATCCCTGCCAGGATTGCCCCTTCATCGTGTGCATGTCATATGCCTTCCAAACACCCGACAAGCTCAGCTTCATCCTGGACCTCATGAATGGTGAGAGCCAGGATCCTGCCTCTAAGAGCCCCTTCTCTGCCATCCTCATGTGCTTTCCTAAAGGACTCCTCCACCCCCGGCTGTGTCTTGTTCCATCACATAGTTCTTTGCTTTCCTCATTGCAGGGGGTGATCTACATTATCATCTTTCCCAGCATGGGGTCTTCTCGGAGACAGAGATGCGTTTTTATGCAGCAGAGATCATCCTGGGTCTGGAACATATGCACAATCGCTTTGTGGTTTATCGTGACCTCAAGGTGAGAACATCCACCTCTTCTATCCAATCCCATTCCTGTAAAATAGACCAGCAGAGCCACCATCACTGGCTTTATTTCACAAAGGGAGTAGATTGCTGGTATTCAGTGGTGAGGCTTCAATATCTCATTCCTCTCTGCAGATGAAAGGTAGTTTTCTCAGTGCATTCGGATTTCTTCCATCCCCTATCTAGGAGCCAACATGATGTGGCTGAGAGATTTGTGATCAGAGAACACTAAAATCAAGCTCTGATGTCTCCTTTAGAAAATGGATTCTAAAATCTTAATGTTCCCTAGTACCTCACATTCCTTTTCTAAGTATTTTGGAATGATTAAAATATTGACATCCACTCTTTGAATCAGAATCACTGCTTCATATAAAGTAGGATGGGATCGTGTTTTGTTGCTTGTTTTGTATATTATAACTTGATTGTGCTCCTCTGTAAACCTAATCTATCCACTGTGGGAGCTGAATTCATCATTTGGAAAATGCTTCTTCAGTTCTCCTGCAGAGATTTACCTTTATTTGGCTGATTCCAAAGGGCTGGGGCAGAGGCTCAGGTCACAGCATGAGGGGGGAGAGTTTCAATATTCTGGCCTTGCTTGCCCTCTTTCATCACCATTTCCACAGCAGCACTCTGGAATCCAAGAAATCAAAAAAACCACTTATTTTGTTAAATGGTGCTCTGTCCCTACAGCCAGCCAACATCTTGCTAGATGAATTTGGCCATGTCCGCATCTCAGATTTGGGACTCGCCTGTGACTTCTCCAAGAAGAAGCCTCATGCCAGTGTGTGAGTATCTGAAATAAATCTTCTTTTTTGCCCAGAAATACTAGATACAACTAATTTTATAACAGAAATAAATATGGGAGCATGCTTCCATTCCCAATCCCCTTGATTCCTCAACTTCCTTAGTTATTGTGCCCTTCAGATGCCTTAGATTTAAGTTCCCTTCACTCTCATTAGTGGGTTAGTTAGGTTTGTTCGAACTGGAACTATCTGGAAAACCTGAAACATTTTGCCTCACTTCCCCAAAATCAATTTATAGATCATGTTTAATTTGTAATAGGGAATAATATAATTCCAAGATGCTTCTAGCTGAACTTGTCTATCTTTTATACATGAACTGTGCATAATGGCTATGTATATATAAACTAACAACATGGATCAACATATCACAACATTCCAATCTCCTAATTGCATACTTGGAGTCTGCTATTTGCATTTTCTGCTCATAAATGATCAGGTAAAAGGATGTTCTCAGGGCGTTGGTTATTAAACCTACACAAGTAATTATATATTTTGGTATTGGTATATGAGGAGTTTTTGCAGATTATCCAGTTGAAACCACTTCCACTGAGAATGTATTGAAACACACTCCCACATATCATATTTACAATTTTAAAGTGTGATGCAAGGAGGAATTAGTAATTGCTTCCATTTACAAACCGATAAAAAAAAAGTGCAGTGCAAATCTCTGATGGAAAAGAAGAGTAAATTCTCTTTTCTTTTGATACATCCTGCTAAGGATCTTTAGCCTGATGCTCTGCTTCTTTTAATTCTTGGTTTGATCCTCTCTACAGTGGAACACATGGGTACATGGCACCAGAGGTTTTGCAGAAAGGCGTAGCCTATGATAGCAGTGCCGATTGGTTCTCTTTAGGCTGCATGCTCTTCAAGCTTCTGAGGGGGTAAGTGCCGAATAGGCTGAGAAAGTGCAGTATGTGGAAACATAATCACTCGGATGAGCTGTAACTAGCTGGAGAAACTGGGATTAATTGGAGTAATTGGCACTACAAGAGAGTAGGAAAGAGAAATTTCCTGAATTTTTCTTTGACATACTCCTTGTTCTTATACAGGCATAGCCCTTTTCGACAACACAAGACTAAAGACAAACATGAGATTGATCGCATGACACTCACTATGGTAAGTTACTTTTGTTTGTTAAACTTAATAAGGGGAGAGCTTTGATTCCAATCTTCCCATCTTCAAAGAATATGCATTTCTCGCTCCCTTTGTTCTATAAAAATGATCTTTATCCTTACTGAACCAGTCCTCACCTCAAAGGTACTGAACCAGTCCTCACCTCAAACGATATATTTGAATACTTGCAGAGGCCAACCACTGGATTCTCCCACTGCTATGCTGTGTGCCTACTTGATAGCTTTATCTAGTGATAGCTCATCTGAACATCTGTCCAAGCATTTTTTTTTAACATGGTTCCTGGCTAATTCCACTAACGCTCAGTATTTGGTAAAGTATTTAACCTAAGATTCTCTTCCATTACCTCATTATAGTTCATTTTCCAAGTCTGGGAATTTCAGCTTTACACATGGCAGGTATAATTAAGACCAACAAAGCCTGAACAGAAGTTCTCCTTCGCTGTAGCTCTCAAAATTCAGTGGACAATTGCACTGATGCTTACAAAACAGGAAATAGGATGGCCTCATCACACAGAATTATTGAGAATCAAGAAAATAAAATATTCCAGATTTTCAATAATAATCAAAATAGCAAAAATCAAACAATATGTTTTAAGCAAGTAGGGCCCCAATCAAAAATCAGTGTTGTGGAGTGCAGTTGTTCATTGTTAATCAGCCAGCTAAGCTGAGCTCTATAGTTTCCTCTTTGGTTTCCTGATAATCTGGTTTTCTGGCTTTATTCAGTGTTTCATGACTATAGAACTTGTTTTCTCCCCACTGGACTTTTTTTTTTTTTTTTCAGTTTGGCTTCTGTAGACTTTGGTATTCCCCCAAGCCTAGCAATGCCTCCATTTTGTACATAGAAAATACCATTTGGCCAGACAGAAACAGCAGTCAGACCTGAAATATGACATGGGGGGGGGGAAGGAAGTACTTAGAAGGAGAGAGTTGTGGTGCTCAGTGCTACCTCAAAACACTTTACTATTTGAGGCAAAGGACAAGATGACTCAGCCAGATTGATAGTTGAATTCTACTTCCCTTTTATCTTCCACTGTATTTTAGAAAAAATTAAAGGGCTATGGGGCTTTTTTTATAGTGATTTTTTTGTACATGACCATCTGCTTCATGCGGTAATGGAATACTAACTGATAGTTACATGCTGATAAAAACACCAATATAAAATTATCAAAGAGTCTTCAGTGTGTAAAGCAGGCCTTTCTGAAACAATCCAAAGGCACATCTAGTCTAGCATCCAGTTTCTGAGAAGAAAGCTGAAATACTAGGGAAGAAAATCTCCATATTGTTGCCCTGTTCCTCAGGAATTCGCATTCAAACTTATATACCCTTTTCAGATTTAAAGATTCTTTTTATTTCTCTTGATTGAATAGACTTGTTCTTAAATGTGTCCCTTTGAAAGTAATCTAACCCTTGTCAAGGGTCTGTTTCTAGATAGATGAAGTAGAATTGACTTTCAGCATTTCTGAAATTAACTGCTAGTCACTTTAATTGGGTAATCTTTAAGTGCTGATATTGGAAAGACTGTACGTTTGCATATATCATTTTGGCATCAAGTCATGTTATGCAAAACACAGAAAATGAGTAAGAAATAGTACAAGAGAGAAAAAGAAAGAAAAAAGAACATTAAAAAGTACATTATCACCAACTACACCTCTTCAATCAAAATTCTGCCAAACATCTTTCCAGTAGATTAATCCTTCTGTACTTTTTATATTCACTGTTGCTTCCTATCCTTCTGTAGAGGACAATAAAAGCATTTTTCAGCTGTTGGGCACAGATAGAGTCCTCACACATTAAATAAGCTGTACTCCACATCCATATTTTAGTACTTTTCCAATTACATCTGCAGCCTTTTTCAATCTTCTCATAGTATAGTACAAAGGATTTCTTATGCATCAGTTTTGCGTGGATGCTAATATTTATAGAATTTGTAACAATTCCGTTATTCAACATATAATCTTCCATAGAAAATTTTGAATACTATTTCCAGCATTGCTTTGCTTCAGTCATAACCCAAATTGTTTAATTTTTAATTTCAGTCACTACTATAATCACTCAGTACAGTGTATATGTTATAAATTTTATAAGTTATCAATGGCTTCCATAAGTTATTTATGTTATTCCAAATCACTTGAAATAATAAATTACTGTATCAAAAGCACTGCATTTTCTCTGTCTCTTAATTTTAACTATACTCCCTTTAAACACATTATACATATTATATAATCTTCCTAATTTTTATAGCTGTTTTAAATGTATTTTTCTCTCATCTGCTGATACAGACCTCCATTGCCTATCATGGCTTTACCCAATTAAGACTTTCATATAAAATGTTTGAGTGGGATAGGGAATGTGTAAAGTAGGTTACCAGTCTTATGCATGTATCATTTATAGCATTCCCTGATAATAAGGCTGGTACTGGTTAGTTTGGTCATCTTTTGCCACAAGTTGAACCAAAATTAGTTTTAATTTAAGTGTAATCACACTATGCTGGGAAAGTTTGGTCTCTCCAATATAAAGACTTCCTTTAATGCCAACACAGTTGCCTGTATCCCACTAACCAGGAGGTACATGTGGTGTATAAATACACCAGGATATTTGGAAATGATTTATCATCAAGTATGAAACCAGGAAGACAAGTTATATTTGGATTTTAAAGTTGATGGAGCTCCAGTTAAATTGAGCTGTGTAATTAAAGGGATCTATGAAATAAAACAAGGTGACTTAACTGATATGGGCAATTCTGTCATGGTGGTCTGAGGAAGCTCCAGGACTAAAAAGGGGGTCTGGGATCTGTAAACAACCTTGGAGTTTGACCTGTTGAGTAATTTTCCTCAACTTGATGCTATCCAGATGGCACCAGGATCATAGCTGTTGTCCTCCAGGCTTATTATAGTTATGCATTCCCTATCCCACTCAAACAGCCATAAATAACGGAGCCATTGGTAACTTATAACATCTTTATAACATCACATAGCCATTTGACAATTTTAATACTAATTGTATTAGATTTATCAAGATATAAAACACAGAAGAAAGGGAAAAGAGTGGGAAAATGAGGGAGGGAAAAGGGAAGAGAAAGAAGTGTAGGGTGAAGGGGAAAAAAAAATATTAATTTCCAACTCTTTAGCACAGTAGAATAAGATAGTGACATTACAGCCTCAATTTCTTCCTTTAAATACTGATACATACTAGCCATTTCTATAATAGCGAACTTATCTAATTAGCAAACCCCCAAAGTCAAAGTTTCATTTTTTTCCCCATGTCGAGCACAAAATCCAGAAGTGGTTTACAAGTAAGCCATTTGAGAATTTTGTTTGTTATAATCCCAATTTATCTAGAGGTCGTCAGATTGGGAAAAACTTGGATAACGATTTGTAAGATATTTGCAGGAATCTGTTGAATTGTATGAAGTGATTTGAAAAGAAAGATAACTCTAATACGAAGTCAATAAACACTGGTGTCTATTGAATGTTTAGATAAAATGGCAATAGTTTAAAAAACTTTTTACCTCTTCTGATAATATCCAATAACAACTACCGTATATGCCGGCATATTAGGCGACTCAGCGTATAAGACGACCCCCGTCTTTATCGCCGAGCCGCATTCCTAGAACGTCGTCTTATACGCTGGAAACTACCAGTATTTCTGGCGTATAAGACGACTCGGCGTATAAGACGACCCCCGTCTTTGGCGCTGAGTTTAGCGCTTCCGGAAGTTGTCTTATACGCCGGCATATACGGTAATAGTCACTCACAGCCATTGAAAGTCAGGCAGCATGCAAGTTTAATATATTATTATTATTATTATTATTATTATTATTATTATTATTATTATTATTATACCTAAATGTCTATGGAGATTCTCAGTCATCCAGGTCATAGTTATCCCAAAGGTGCTTTTTTTGTGTGTGGTTTTGGTAGAAAGTGTTTTTCTTCCAACAGAGCTGAAAAAGCTTCTTGGATGAGAAACGAAACGTCTTCAAAGAAAAACAAGAAAGTCCAGTTGCCTCGTGAAAAAGCACCTTTGGGATATTATTATTATGGTTGTATGGACATTTAGCCAAATGTTTAAATTGGATTTGGCATTTTTATCTAGTTATTGAGTCCTTCCCAAGGACTTGAGATAGGCCGATGTTATTGTTTAATAATAAAAGTATTGTCCCATGGTGTAAGCTGTTCCAAGTAAAACTTTTGAAATTGACTAATGCTGATTTTGTCAATGCCGATGGTGTTCTGGTGCTCCAGATCTGAAATTACACCCAAGGCACCTATCACTATTGGTACTATCTTTGCTTTCTTTTGCCACAGTTATTCTACTGCTATTTGGAAGTCTTTGTGTTTTGTGATTTTTCTCCAGTTCCTTCTCTATTTTGTTGTCTCCAGGTTTTGCAATGTCCACTATTTATGTATTTTATTATTATCTTCATCATAATCATACAAGGATTATACACAAGATGGGGAACCTTGTTCCTCTGAAAATTTCTTGACACAGAAACAACCCTCTGTGGCCATTGTTGATAGAGGGCAAAACCACAGTTATAAATAGGCAGAGCTGCAAAATTATTCAGCTCTCCTTCCTCTTTGCTATTCCATTGCATTTGAACCCATTTATCTCTTGCAGAAACATATGCAAGCACAGGATAGAAGTGAAAGTAATTCCCAATGGGTCTGTACTTTTCAAGCAGCAGAATAATGCTAAGGGCTATGGGAAATGAAATAAGAATGACTGCATGTGATTTTTGGGTTGCATATTAGCATTCTTCCTTTCTACTAGGATTATGATGGCATTGCTGTCAGACTCAAGTTATTCACTATTTCTGTGGGATCTCCTACGGCTTCTGGAAGGGGGAATATTGTCTTTTCCAATAGCCTGAGTGAATAACAAATGATAGTTTCAGAGTTGAAGGAATTAAAATATAGAACCCTGGTGGATTTTGCTTGGTTTCCTCTGACCAATCTCTCACATTTTAGTTAAATCTGTCCTCTTTTTTTGATAGGCTGTGGAGCTGCCAGACTCCTTTTCACCTGAGTTACGTTCTTTGCTGGAGGGACTGTTACAGAGAGATGTCAACCGTCGGCTGGGCTGTATGGGTCGTGGGTGAGTGTCCTGCCAAGGTGCCGAAGGACTTATGGGAGATGTAGAGGAATATCAGAATGGGCCGGAGTTTTAAGGTTACTCATTCATGTTCAGTTATTGAAAAAGTTCTATTTAGAATAGAGTTGGGTTTGGACCTCAAGTGAGAACAATTCATTCACTTTTTATTTAAGAAAAAAAACCTGCAAAGAATGTATTCTTTTCATACCCTTGGCTTATCAAAACATATTTCCTGAATCTATTACTGAAGAGACAATATGAGCAAAACTTCAAAACTTGGAAGTTAATGTTAATAGAACTAGCTTCATTAAAAAAACATTCCTCAGTATCTGACTGCTGCCTTGGTTTTCAAGGCTGCCAATTTTCTCCATTCCTCAGTTACAAATTCAAGCCACGATCTGATAAATCAGTGTAGATGACCTTGTGGCATGGGTGTACCAGGAAAATGCATCAGTGTTATGTAAACACCAGAAAAATTGTTTTCGTATAAGTAAGGCTTTTATTTTCATGATTTTCTGATTAGCATTGAATATACATCAGGTTGAAATCTAAAAATTTTCAGAACAATAGCTAATTTGAAAACATTAAGTGCTATTGCTTTTAAAAACATTTTTCCCGAGGAAGAAAAATCAGCCAGCAAATTTGTTTTTTGCATTTTACCGCATTATGGTTCATTTACCATTTCATAAAATAATGCATTATTCAATTTATTTCTTTTCTTCTCTAACCACTATAAGATACAATGTAATCTCTGGATAAATGCATCTAGCCCTATATATATACATATACATGTGTGTGTGTGTGTATGTATATGTATATGTATATAATGTCCTTAATAACATTAAAAATGCGAATCCTGGGCAAACACATATCAATAAAATATAGAAAAAACGAATACCAGGATAAAAATAAAACAAACCTGTTTAATACAAACAAGTTTGTAAGTAAAAGAGTTACCAAGCTTTCATTGGCCCGACTGCCAACATCATTTATTTATTTATTTTATTTATGAGACTTATATACTGCTTTAAGTGCAAGCACTCTCTAAGTGGTGTACACCAGTAAACAATGTATATATATATTTACATTGCCCCCAACAATCTGGGTCCTCATTTTACCTACCCCGGAAGGATGGAAGGCTGAGTCAACCTTGAGCCGGTGAGATTTGAACTGCTGACCTGCTGAACACAGTCAGCTAAAGTGGCCTGCAGTACTGCACTCTAACTGCTGCGCCACCTAAGCTCTAACTAACTAACTCATCAGGGTTAGAATGCTAGGTGATTAGGAAGCTTACCTATATAACTACCTGTCTCTGCGCCTGGCTTCTCGAGCATGTAATCGCCCCATTAGTTGTATTAATCTGCAATGCAATCGCTCCAAAATGAGACGGGGGGAGAGATAGGGGGCAGAGACAGCTTGACAGCTGTCCCCCAGGCGCTCACATATGCGCTAGAAAAGTAATGGAGGATCTGGGCATAACCACCGGGTCCACCAACAGGCTGCCGGATGTGAATCAATTTAGCACGTTGCAGATTAATACAACTAATGGGCCGATTACGTGCTCGAGAAGCCGGGCGCAGAGACAGGTAGCTATATAGGCAAGCTTCCTAATCATCTAGCATTCCAACCCTGATGACGTCGGCAGTCGGGCTGATGAAAGCTTGGTAACTCTTTTATTTACAAACTTGTTTGTATTAAACAGGTTTGTTTTATTTTTATCCAGGTGTTCGTTTTTTGTATATTTTATTGATATATATATATATATATATATATATATGTATGTATGTATGTATATGTATATATTCGTAGATTTTCACGGGTATGGGTATGCAGGTCTTGGTGTATTCAGGTCTTTTCCCGTGTACGATTGAGAGTATCTTGGCGATGTTTCGACGAGGTCCCACTCGTCATCTTCAGGCTGGGGTCTTCGGCTTTGTGCTTTGTGAGCTCCGATCACACTTTGCTCGTAGAAGCAAAGTGTGGACTAGAAGACCTCCAAGGTCCCTTCCAGTTCTATTCTGTTCTGTTCTATTCTATGCTATCCTATGCTATCCTATCCTACCCTACCCTACCCTACCCTACCCTACCCTACCCTACCCTACCCTACCCTACCCTACCCTATCCTATCCTATCTATTGTTGCTTAAATGTATACCCTGCTAATAATTTCTGTGGTCTGATCGTTCAGATTTTGGAACAATAAATGTTGCCATATACTATGCAAAGTTAGAATTGTATAATTTGTAATTTATCTTGGAGTTTTAGTTGGGGGGGGGCTTCCTTTGCATTTGCTATTCATTGGAAAGAAAAAGGGCCCACAGAATAATAGTTTCACTTCCCTTCCTTTAACCTCCAAAACCATTCAAAGTCTTATTCAAATACTTCTCTAGTTTCTGAGATTTTAAGCAGTATTTTTTTTAAGTTTCAAACTGGAGGAGAAGCATATTTTTAATAGAAAAATAACAGCACTAGATTTAAAGTTCATGGAATAGGTTTTGCACAATGATTTGTGCTGTTTCTGCACATGTGAAGAATTTTTAGTTTTGTAACTGCAGCAATAGACACATGTATTTTTCTGAGCAAACTGGGTATTCCAGTAGAAGATAATAGTCCAGAGATGTTGATGTAGTTAGGTTTATCTGAATTCACTGAAGGTTTAAATTAAAAATTGAAATTCCACAATAATGGCATTCCACACTGATTATAAAAATACATGAACATGATAAATTATATTTGCTGTTCATAAAGATCATCATAGCTCCAATTTTTTATCCCCTGCCTTCTAGTTCCAGCTATTGCAAAATCAAAGATGAAGTCACTATTATCTCTTCTATATTTTCATTTAGGTCACTTGAAATAAAGGAAAATCCATTTTTCCAGGGTGTGGACTGGCAGATGGTTTTTCTCCAGAAGGTGAGGAGAGCCCTAGTTGAAAGGCCAATGGGAAAGAAAATAACACATATTTGGGCATTATGATGGGGGGGGGGAATAAATAAATACGGCATTTTGCTCTTTGCTAACTTTATTTCATCATATCTTTGTAGTATCCTCCACCCTTGATTCCACCACGTGGGGAGGTAAATGCAGCAGATGCTTTTGACATTGGCTCATTTGATGAAGAAGACACCAAAGGAATTAAGGTACACAAGGAGAATCTCCCAGAATTATAGTGTCCTCTGCTGAGTAGCTGCAGTTTTCTTTTATGTTATGGGAATTTCTATTTTAAAATTGATATCCCATTTTTCTTCAAAAAAAAAACCAACAACACTTCAAATAGGTTGAACTTACATATAGTGGAAAGAGCCAGGCAGTAGAAGATGAAATTGCACAAGAGACAGAAATTCTGTGTTTTGTCACCAGGAAATAACAGTGCAGACCAGCCTTCTCCTTCTAGTGATTACATAGGAATTCTGATTAGGTTGAAGGCTGGTGCTGAGAAAGGGCTAGCACAGAGTAACTTGTGGAATCAGGTCATTTTGCTTCAACCTCTGTGTCTAGTATTAACCAGAGTTCCCTGGAAGCTTAGAAGCAGAACACAATATTTATAGTTCTCCTTTTGTTTGCTTCCACCACTTGCAATTGCAACTGTCATGCATCCATGATAAGTTGAAGAACTGTTCGTCATATTTGTTTAATACCTTGTTGCATCAATGCCTTGTTGATTCAGCCGGTATCTCATTTTTGAAAATTAAAAAGGCTCTGAGAAAGGATACAGTAGAATTAAGACAGGGGAGGAAAACAAGGTAGCTGCTCTTCCAGATTGTCAATGGACACAAATTATATTACTTGCATAACAAAATCATCACACGAGTTATATTTTGTCCATTGCCTACAAAGTCCATACCATAGGTCAGCAACCAGTGGCTCCAGAGCCATATGCGGCTCTTTGAGCCATCACCTGCGGCTCCGGAGCCTCCTCCACCATTTGCAGAGAGAGACAGAGAGGCACTTTTGCTTCCCTTCTCTCTCTCTCAGGTGGAGTTATCTCCTGCAGGGCTCTGCGCCGGTTGCTCCACCCCCTGGGAGAAGCGTGGCCAGGGCCTCGTGGCCTTGGAGCCGCCCAGGGAAGACCTGGGATCCCTGCTGGGAGCAGCCCGCTAGAGGCTCTGCTGAGCGGGCCAGCCCTCCCGCAAGCCATGGCCCAAGGGAGACCAGCCCCTGTGATCCCCAGCCAGCCCGACCATTGGACCCGCTGGCTGGGAAGGTGTGCTGGAGTCCAGGCTGCCGGGAAGGAAGAAGGAGATGCAGCAAAGGTAGGAAAGGAGAGCTGCCTCCTGGTGCCCGGTGGGGGCGGCTGCTTCCTCGCCCTCCTCTCCTTCCTCCTGCTGCCCCCCAGGGGCTCAGGCAGGCGCTGCCTCCACCGTGGCTCCATCGATGGGTGGAGGGTAAGGCCGGGCAGTGCAGAGTCCCGGCGGGGGCGGCGACCGGGCTGGGGGCAGTAGGGACCCCCGACAATGCTGCTGTGCCGCCGCCGGAGCAACTGCCTCCTGTCCTGCTCCCCATCCCCACCCGCTCAGCTGAGGATGCAGCAGGGACGGCGGCTGGGCTGGGGGTTGTGGCAGGGAACCCCGACGATGCTGCCGTGCTGCCGCCGGAGCCACTGCCTCCTGTCTTGTTCCCCCTCCCTGCCTGAGAAAGAGGAAAGAGAGAAAGACAGAGAAAGAGAGAGGAGAGGAGGAGAGAGAGTTAGAGGAAAGAGAGAAAAAAAAGGAAATTGAGAAAGAGATAAGAGAGAGAGAGAAGAGAGAGAGGAAAGAGAAAGAGGAAAGAGAGGAAAGAGAAAGAAAGGGAGAGAAAGAGGGAGAGGAAAGAGAAGAAGAGGAAAGAGGGAAAAAGAGAGGAAAGAGAAAGAAAGAGAGGGAGAGGAAAGAGAAAAAGAGGAAAGAAAAAAGAGGAAAGGGAGAGGAAAGAGAGAGAGGAAAGAGAAAGGAAAGAGAGAGACAGAGAGACCCTTTTGACATCTAAAATAAAGATAACACTGCATATATCCTTTTTTAACCTTTATTTTATATATACACACACAAACACATATACATACATACATACATACATACATACATATTTTAAAGGTAAAAAAGAATACATGCAGTGTTATCTTCATTTTAGATATCAAAAGGGTTTTGTGGCTCCCACTGTTTTTTTTTCCTGTGGGAAACGAGTCCAAGTGGCTCTTTGAGTGTTTTGGGTTGCCTACCCCTGATCCATACTATCAAGACCCAGTAAATCAAGGTTTTACTCTATTACTCAGTGTGGTTTCTTACTTATGGAAGACATATCTTAGAAGAAAACTACATAGTTTTTTTTCTTCAATTCAGGGTCTTCCAATTAAGAGCGATGTGTGACTAATTTTTGTCTGTTATTAGACAACGATTATCAGATAATCAAAGCAGTGAAGTTCAGGAATTAATACATACTTTCTGAATCTTCTGGCTTGGAATGATGCACACATAGGGTAATGTTAAGAATTGTCATGCTGGCAAATAGCCAGTGAGTTTAGCATTTCATAGCCGGACAGATGCCTTAGGAAATAGTGCTAGTCAACCTCTGAATAGATGACATGGTAATTAATTGAAATTTGTGCAGAGATTTGTGAAGGAATACATTCCTAGTTGGGAAAAGATCTGAGGAAATTAAAATGTAGTAGAAAGGATGATATCTGAAATATCTACAAGGAACTGTGCAAGCTGTGAATGCTAATAGAAGGGACAGAGCTGGAGCAAATAATACTGTCAAGGAGAAAACAATAAGCCTTATTCCAGAAGTGCAAACAGAACATAAGCAGAATGCTGTTGAAACTGACTGAAAACTGTTGTGGGAAATCCAGAAGTAGGTAGCCTCTTGTGCTGCCGTTTCAGCAGCTGATACCCAGAGGAATGCTTTCCTCTGATCCTGGAGACATAGTGACATAACTTGCTTCTCCTCCCAGCTATTGGATAGTGACCAGGAGCTGTATCGCAACTTTCCGCTCACCATCTCAGAGCGCTGGCAGCAGGAGGTGACGGAGACTGTATTTGATACTGTCAATGCTGAGACTGACAAGCTGGAGGCCCGCAAAAGAGCAAAGAACAAGCAGTTGGGCCATGAGGAAGGTGAGCCTCATTGCTGTTCTATACAAGAAACCCTTTTGCCAAAACTCAGCTTTAATCTGCAAGAATTTGCTTTTGGAAACTTGGGTGTTTCTTTCCTGTTTTAGTGTGGGAAGGCTGTCTGGATTTATTGGTACTAGTCCTATTCTGCTCCCTATAACACCCCACCTTTTCGTTAGCCTTCATATTATCTTCACTTATTCTGTACAGATTATGCCTTGGGCAAAGACTGCATCATGCATGGCTATATGTCAAAACTGGGGAACCCTTTCCTTACTCAGTGGCAGAGGCGATACTTCTACCTCTTCCCAAATCGTTTGGAATGGCGTGGAGAGGGAGAATCTCCGGTAAGGAATAAGCTTTTCTTCAGTGGGTGGGAAAGATAGAATATCAGATTTAAGGTTGTATGAAGACTTGCCATACATGATTGGAAGAATTCATTTGTGTGGGTTTAGGGAAATATAGCACACAGAGGTAACGTTTGTGTGTGTTTAAGGCCATAGCACAGTACTAGGAGAAGAAGGGCACTCTGTAGATGTAGATAAAAGATGCAGCCTGAATATTTAAGATATATGTTGGAAATTGCATTCATTAATCAAATATTTGTTGGGGGGGGGGACATTATAGCAGTCCCTGCTCACTATGGAAGAGATCCAGTCAGTGGAGGAGACACAGATAAAAGATCGAAAATGCATTCTGCTTAAGATCCGGGGAGGCAAGCAATTTGTTTTGCAGTGTGATGTAAGTTGTTTTGTTTTGATTTTCCCCTCTCATACAGTCTCTCCTAAGAACCTTTCTTGGTGGTCTATTTAATCTTTTCTGAAGTTAAACTTTGGTATCTGTCTAAGCCAGATGTTAATTTTCTATTCCTTGCAAAATAGAAAAAGAGCAAAACTAAGCAATTTGAAATTCTCTTGCATCCTGCTCTTCCTACTCCACTCTAGGCTAATCTTTGTTCCTTCTTAAAAATTGTGGTTCTTTAAAATTCCCATTATTTGCTGCCTTAGAGACTTAAGGCAGGAACTCTTCTTAACTTATGGAAAAAGTTATTTGAGCAGTGAATCCTTTTAGTGGTCACGTATGCCTGGCAAATGTTTTCAGAATAATCTGTGCCTATTAAAATTTTCAAGTAGAGCTTTAAATGCATTTGCACAATTGTTGTCTAGTTCATAAATCCAGAGATCAGAAGCAGCTTCTATTTCAATTTTGGGAGGCAATAAGTTGTACCGTAGCTATTCCCCAGTCATTGAAAGCCACATTTACATTCCCTCTAAAGAAACACAAGCTAGGGAAACAAAGCTAAGCAATTCTATTTTGTTGCTTTCTGTGGATATCTAGAGGGAGTTTATCTTGCTAAATAATGTTCCAGATGTTTGTAACTAAAATGATTTTGCAATTTGCAGATTCCATACATTGCAGTGTGTGTAGGCATTAAAAAGCATTCAGGGCAAATAATAAGTGGATCGTCAGGGGCCAGAGCTATGCTGATAGGGTCAGATGAAGATTCTCTCTCTCCGGTTGCTCTCGTCTGCTGGGAGAAAACACTGGTGCTAATAGCTGGCATAGAAACATGGTGCTAAGCACTAAGGGAATCCCTGGAAACTTTAATCGTTTATACCTAAATTTTAAAAGGATAGATGAATTTTCTGATTTGGGTCAGCAGCTCAAGAATCTTAATGCATGTTAAAGTGTAATTTTTTTTGTGAGTTCAGCTTAAATGGATTATAAGTGGTATTGGAGTATAACTCCTAAGCACTGTTTATGTTTGATGGAAGTTGTGGTCTAAAATATCTAGTGAACATATTGTCGACTTCTTTACAAGCAAAGATTCTTTAAGGAGACCAACCTATTTGTAATAAGGGCTCTGGATCAGAGTGTCACCATAGGGCAGTGGTGGTGAACCTATGGCACACGTGCCAGAGGCGGCACTCAGAACCCTCTCTGTGAGCACGTGCGCCGTTGCCCCAGCAGAGTTCGCCAGAGTAGCGAGCACATGGCGTTTGGAAGTGACAGGGCAGGAAGTGAGCGAGCAAGCGGAGTTGGCCCCCCGGGGATGCCCCAGAGATGGCGAGGGACTGGCCCCCGCTACCCTGGCCCTGGCCACGCTCGCCCAGTCTGCCATGACCACTGCAGCCATGCTACCCAGTGGGCCATGCCCCCATGTCCCCCCTGAGGGCACCACAATGCTGATGTAGCCCTGGCAATTTGCGATAAATAAGTGGGTTTTGGGTTGCAGTTTGGGCACTCGGTCTCTAAAAGATTCGCCATCACTGCCATAGGGACAAAGTCTTGCTTACAGGGTGAAGAATAAGACTGATGATGAAATGTAATTTCTCTCTCCCTCCCTTAGTGAAATAATTGCTATTGTTTTGGAATATCTTTCTTGTGCTTCTCTGTTAATACGTCTTCTTTTTCTCTCAGAGTGATCCTGAGTTGGTGCAATGGAAGAAGGAGCTGCGTGATGCCTATCAAGAAGCTCAACAGCTGCTGCAGAGGGTACCCAAAATGAAACATAAGCCACGCTCTCCAGTGGTAGAGCTAAGCAAGGTCCCACTGATTCAGCGCAGCAGCAGTAGTACCAATGGCCTCTGACCTTCCTTGACATCGTTTCCCATCCTTAATTTATTCAGCTGGATTTGCCCACCATTCCTACCCATTCTCCCGTCTCTTCTTGCTGATCATTGTGACGTCCACCCAGCCCCCCAGGGATATAATGAGGGGGTGGGGTATTCAGAAATCGTGGGACAGGTTCCCTCCTCCCCTATCCCCTCTGCACATGGGGATCAATAACCATTCCAGGGGTAGGAGTCTGATAAGGTGGATAAGAGTCTACTCATTCCTTAATGAACAAGGCTGAAATTAAGGCCCTGCCCCTAAATAGGACCAACAGAAAGAAATGTGAAGTGTGCCAGGCATCTTGAGCAGTTCCTTCCTACTTTCTCACTGTGGTGCCAGATGTGTATCAAAGTATACATGAGGAATACCACAGATCCTGCTAGTTTGGGCCTTGTTGACATGGCATTTTGGGAATGTACATTGTCTTAAAATAAGTCCTCTTACGCTAGCAGAGATGAGAAATTCCGCAAGACAATCTGAAATTCAGACCCATTACCTTCCCATACCGAGCTCTGACAAGGGTTCATTGGCAGATCCTAAAGAAATCTATTCTAGATCTTGCCAGAGAGATTTGAAGAATGTGTTTTCAACGCATTTCCGAAAAGTGTTGGGTAGGTGGCCATTGCTAAGCATAAGCATCTCTTTCAGGATTGGCTGGGGTTCCACTCCAGGCTGGGAATGAGGTCTGGCCTTTAAACAATTACACAGTAATAGAAATTCCTAATAAAATCTAGTCCTGTTCTTTCCCAATGTTCTGTCCAGGTCCTTAACCCTTATTATTATCTTCTTCTATTGTTCACCATTCCAAATCTGATATTTCCAACCCAGGACAGCAGCTGCTTCTTCAGCAGCAGCCTTGGGAACCGAAATCCTTTGCTATTCCAGGCCTGAACAGGCATTCTCAATCAACAGTGCCAAATTTCAAGTGGTCTTGTGCCTGTTTCTGTTAGCCTAGCAAAAATGAAGTTGTGCTCCCTGAGACCCCACGACAGATCTCTTGCCCAGAATATATTAATGCCTCCAACTACTTTTCTCTGAAGTCAGGTGAGAATTGCCCCCGTTTCTGCTGTCTCCACTGTCAAAGGCTAGGCTGCTTTGCTGTGGGCAGAGGCAGGGGCAGCAGGTTTCATGCCAAAAGTGATTTGGAGCTGCCTGAGCCTCATTTCAGGGCCTCTTGAGGCTGGAGCTGGACTGCAGTAGCTGAAACAGCCTGATCAAGGCTTTGTGCCAACTCCCAAGTGTCTGAAGGATTCTGTAAATAAATTTGTGCCAAGGGGCCAGGTTGGGTTTGAAAAGCTAAGCCTGCTCGTCTCCTCCCTCCCAGTATGCCTTGTATAAAACAGTGTTCCCTTTCAAGCCCCCACCCACCCACCCACCCAAGCGTTATGATTTCTCCCACAGGATGGTGAGAAATCTCAGGTTGAATCTTCCCTGTATCCTTCCTCCTCTTTTCATTTGCAATTAATGGGGGTTGGGGTGGACGGCTTTCAGTTGGGGGTCAGGTCTCATGCCCCAAGCGCATGCAATTGCCTCTGCTGCATGCCCCCTCCCCCCATGTGATGAATTTTGCCTGTTCTGCCATCTGATTTCCCCCCTTCCTTCCAAGAAGAGGTGGAATAAAACCCCTGTCCCTGCAGTGTCTGTAAATATTGATCTCTGGTTTGTTTCTCTGGGTTATTATTATGGATTTTTTGCCGATTTTTGAATGTGATTTTAATGAGTGGGATAAATACTGTTTTTATAATAAAAAATCCAAAACCCACAAGTGCATACTTACGAATTCTTCTGTGGCTTCTACTGCCGGAATGATAAAACAGATCACCAGCACTGACCACATGGATACACATGTTTGGGGTTTGCAGTACCGGAAGAAAGCAAACCTCTCTTCAGAGGACAATTTGCTGGTAGGGACAGCAATAACCGTTCCATGTTTTTATCTTGAGCTTGTCTAAAGAATATGTTTTATCTTCTTATTACAGATGCTGCTGAGAGAAGCATTATCTTTTACTGCCTCTAACCCTACAGGCTTCTCCCCTACTAGACAGGAAGGGAGGCCTTCAAGATAGTGTAGAAAATGGGAGATGATACCCCTGTTTGGAATATTAATTAAGGTAATAATTTCTCATCCCTGTAATCAAAAGTCTGGTGGCCTATTTGCTTCAGTATTTTAAGAAGCAGTGGCCTTAACACCCAGCTAGATAACAGTTGGGAAAAAATACCTTAGAAAAAAGCAGTGGCAAGCCATTTTTATATCGTGCAAGAAAATCTGCATGGATATATTCATATAAATATGCCAGGAATGCCCCAGCAAGTAGCAACGTAGTTGTTTATTTGTTTACTTATTTATATTATTTGATATATGTAGCCACCTATCTCAAATATGTGGTTCTAAGGGATTTCCAATAAAATACCAGCCCATGGTATTTTAGCTATGTAGCTTTGATCAGCTCTTGGATGGAAGATCCTAAGAATCCTAAGAATTTCAGGATTATACTGGGAAGACCAGCCTCTCCCCCAAGGCAAAGGACTTCTATAACATTGCTGAGAAAACTAGACACAATGGCATCTTTATATATTAATTTGGTATTACAGTTATAGTAGTCAATAAGCTGGTTTATCCAGTATACTTTGGCAAAATGTGGTTTGTTGGGTTTTGACATAGTGTTTGTGAACTTGACCAGGGGGTCCCCAATTCCTGGGCTGCATTTCACTATAGGGCCTTGAACGTTCGGAGCCAGGCAGCAGAAGTGGTGGGCGAACACATGCCCATTCTTGCTTGCGTGAGCAGTGGGAAAGCGCATGCACACACACTATATTTGTGTGAATGTACAAATGGAGCTGCATGTGCGCTTGCTCACCACTCACGTAGAACCATCCTCTCTCCCTCCCGCTGGTCTGCCAAGCCAGAAAGGTTGGGGAACTCTGAACTAGACCACTGTAATTGGGGAAAACAAGTTTTGGTTTAGCAAAATTTGTAACTTCAGTTAATAACATTTGGGAGGAAAAAGTACGCCACTTTTGTTTTTATAAATCCTAGGTGCATATGCTCTCCCTATAAAAATATATAAATCCTTCATTCATCCTTAAATACATCAATTCTGTCCTCAGTTCCACCCAGCTAACACTATCAACATCTAATAATGCCAGCTGCATACTGGGAGTTCATTTGCCTGCTTATATAAATCGCCAGCCAGATATTGAAATCATTGAAGTTATTTTTTTTTCATTCAGGCAATAAAGTTATTCCTTTTTAAAAACTAATGAAATCAAATTTGGTTCTCGTCTTCTGAGAATGTTTTGCCTGTCTTGTTAGGTCATTAGATGACAAGAAAGAATTTTATGATTCTCTTCGCTGCCATCTAACGGTCCTGTTTTTTCAATCTGTTGAGTTTGAGAGGCATGCAAGTTTAATAAAGTTGTTAGTTTAATTTGTCTTTGACATGTCAGTGGCAAATGAACATATCACTGATCAGTGGTTGTATCATGAGAAATATTTAAGCTTGCCTATGACAACAAACAAAATGGTGTATCTTTCTTCCATATTACAACCCCTCAAATCTTAGTAGTGGTGGTAGAATATAATGCACAGAATAGCTGAACAGGGACTCAAGGTAGGTTACAAACTAGCCAGTCCCATCCTCTTATCTTCCCATAGTTGTTTCCTAGCCCCTACCACCCAAAATAGTTGCTTCCTTCTGCACAATGGTAGGGCTGAGCCTATACAGTACAGTATTGCAATGTCTGTATGCCATCATTGGCCAATAAGGTTCTGCTTGTCCCCAGAGGACAAATTAGAAGTTAGGCTTGTGCAAAAGAATAAACACTATTTCTTACATTAAGAAAAGCAATATTCTGAAACCGGTGACAAAATGCTTCTGCTAACACACAAGTTGCTATGCTTTAGCAAAATAACTTTACAAAGGGTATTTCACCAGGAATAGATTAAGTAGAATTTATCAGCAAATTTAGTTCTGTTTATTGATCCTATCTTACATTTTGTGTAAGCAAGCAATTTGGTTACATTTTCCTCCACTTCTAATCAGGAATTATAAAAGGAAACATACCAAAACCCCAAAGTACAAATTTAAAATCCTATTATGAGTAAATTTTAAAAATTGTAACTGCTACTGGAATGAATTCTTGTCAACTTGCTAATACTTGGGTTTTGCATAGAATCTAGATATAATAGTACACAAAGTCCTTAACTTACAATCATTCATTTAGTGGCCATTTGAAGTTACAGCAGCACTGAAAAAAGTAACTTAGAACCAGTCCTCACATGTATGTACTGTTGCAATAATTCCCACAGTTGCATGATCAAAATTTGGGTGTTTGCAACCAACATATATTTACAAAGTTGCACTTTCTGGATTAAAAGTGTGTGTGTGTGTGTGTGTGTGTGTGTGTGTGTGTGTGTATACGTGTACATGCATACATTAAAAAAATCCTCGCCCCTATGGGTGGTCTGTCTTCTTCAATCTCAGATCCTCTGCTACAGACTTGGGGAGTTTGTTCTACATAATATCTTAGCTGTTCCTAGTACTGCACTCTTTAGGACAGAGAGCTCTAATGTTGTTACTGGGATCTATTGGAGCCATTCTGCCAGCTTAGGAATGGCTAAGCACTCCTACCAACACTGGGACTACTTTGGCCTTTTATTTTCTCCATCCTCTCAAATTCTTCCTTCAGGACCCAGTACTTCTCCAGCTTCTCATACTCCTTCCTGATGTTGTCATTTGGCACTGTTACATCTATCACCACCGCAATCTTCTGGTCCTTGTCTACTATCAGTGTCTGATTGATTGGTTAGTGCCCATCTATCTGGATGTGGAAGTCCCACAGCATATTAGCCCTCTTATTCTCCAAAACCTTCAGTGGAATCTCCCATTTAGACTTGGGAGGGTCTAGCCCATGCACTATGTAGATGTTCCTGTACACAGGCTCAGCTACCTATTGTGCTATTCCATGTATGCTATTTCTGCCTGCATCTTACACTCTGGTGTTATGTGTTGGGCTGTCTCTGAGACCTGTCTGCATAGTCTGTACCTCTGGTCCTGTCTAGCGTGGTAGACCCCTGCTTCTATGGATCTGGCGTTTTATCCCTATTCTTGTGCTATTATGATCAGTATCTCAGGGCTATCTTTTAATGTGTGTGTGTGTGTGTGTGTATGTGTGTGTGTGTATATAATAAAATAAAAGATATATATATATATATATATATATATATATATATATATATATATATATATATATATATATATATATATGTATATATAATAAAATACAACACCAGGCATCTGATGTAGTTGAATTCATTTCATGAAAATGTAGTCCATAATCAGTAAAGTGTAAATGTACCCCAAGATTTTTGTTGTTGCTTTTCCTAAAAACAGCCATATCCCATAAATTGGCAAAAAACACAACAGAATTCAGGCTGGGCCAGACTTAAAGGGGTTTTCTTTTCAGAAGTGGTCTTACTGGAGATAAATACAGGTATGAATTAGGCAGAAATGTACTGCGGTGTAAAAGCACAGTTGAAAGTCAACATAAGTGCCTAATAAAATGAACACAAGAGCGACTCCTTGCAAAAAATGAAAAAAAAATAAATTTGGTTCTCAAAAAATCCTGAGTTATATTTTTTATTAGTTGAAGAGCACGCTGCTTAAATGAGGATTCCTGGTGATCTCTCTAAAAAAAAAAAAAAAAAAAAGGCTTTCTTAGCCTAATGTATTTTCTCCTTGCTCTTTTACAGCGCCGCCTCTTCACTTCCTTTGCTACATTTTTTGAGGCCTAGTCATGGGAGGCCTTTCCCAAAGGAAGAAGCCAATTCTTTTCAAGTTTACTTGGTGCCAATTTTCCTGTCCCTTTAATCAACAAACACAACTGTTTGATGAAGTTGGATTAGGGCAGCCCTTCAGACAGGCATGTAGTATCTGATCTGTAGTGTCTGGGAGACTCAGAGAGTGAACAGGCGTTGGATAAGAAAACCTGATCCTTGAAAAGCCATTTGGAAGTAAAATGAAAGAACTTTTGCAATTCATTTTTGGAAGACTGCCCTGAAATCCTAGTAGAGTCTGCTTAGGAGGGGTAAGTTTAACTAAGGTCAGTCAAGCTCATTTTGCCTAGGTATGACCCTAAACTAGGGAAGGTGGTTCAAATCTAATAAACAAGGACAGGATTACATGGTAAGAGGAATCCCCATCCCAGATATTTGAACAATACAAACGTTATTTTTTTTTAAAAAAAAAATAATGAAGTATCTACTTAGCATTGTTGGAATATATAAATATGACTATTAGTTACACAGCTGGTTAGAACTCACACTCTGCAAACCGTACTGTAATCTCTGCTAAAGGAAAGGCATTCTGCCCATGCTCAAATGCCCCTTTTTTTGGATCCCTGTGATCCTTGACGAAGCCGTTCCCCTCTGGAGCCGTTCCCCTCTGGCATAGAATAAAACGCTGCGGTAAATAAAACGACCCTGAAAAATGCTTATTTCTCCTGCAAAATCCATGCATTTGCAGTCAGGAAGGAAAAGGACTCGCCGCCCACCCGCCCCGCAGCAAGCGAATCCACCAGCGCTGCGCCGTTTCTTTTTCATTCTGCCGCGTAGGGAGGCGAACCGGGAGGCAGGGACACCCCCGGCCATTAGCAGCCTCTAAGGTCTGCGCCTGCTGCGCTGCCCGGTCCCTCCAGTTGCAGGCGGCGGTGACGCACGAGGTGCCGCTGCCGCCCAAACCCTCCGAGCGAGCGCCTTCCTCTCGCGTGGGCTGGCGCTGAGAGCCAGGCCGGAAAAGTGCCCAGGCTGGGCCAGGTTTCCGCACCCCGACCGCTGTCTCCTCCCTGCGCCTCGGAGGCCCGCCCCTTCTTCCCAACCCACCGCTCTCTGGCTCTGGGTCGACCTCGGGAGCCGCAGCGCACCCCGGCCAGGCTGCGCGGCGCCCCTCCCTCGCCTCGCCTCTCGGCAGCGCCTCAGCCACCGCAGCGGGCCCAACGCAGAGGCGAGCAGGACGGGAGCTGGTGCTGGCTGGGTAGCCGTCACCCGGGAAGGCCTCGGGCAGAGAGGGACCGGAGCGGAGACCCGGCCAAGCGCGGGGACATGGTGACGGGATGGCCCGCATCGCAGACGCCTTCCCTCTGCACCTGCTCGTCTGGCACAACCGGCACCAGGCGCTGGACAGCGAGCTGCGCAAGGGACAGGTACGCGGAGCCCCCTCCCCAGCCCGGGACGTCTGTTTTTCTGCCCTGCCGCCCAGTCCAGCCTGCCTTCCCTCTCAGCCCGAGCTGAGGGGCGCAGCGAGCGGGGACGTGATGGAGAGAGTCCCGAGCTTCTGCTTTCCCATTTCATCCTCTCGCTGTCAGGGGAAGGGGCAATGAACGAGGCCTGTGCTCTGGCCCTAATCCTGAGATGGCTACTCCTAATCTAGATTTCACTTGCATCCCTTGGAACCTGCTTCTAATGAATTTCCCTCTCCCCCTTACTGGATTGAAAAGTGTCCGACGAATGTTTCCAGATACCACAGTAGTTGGGAATCACTCTTTTCCTCAGTCTCGGGGTAACCCTGGTGCTGCATCTCCATTATTTCTCTCCTGTCTCAGAACTCTGTTTCCTTCCTCCCCTTACAACCCAAGTAGTAGTTTGAGGATACATAGATCAAGCCACATTTCATTTGGAAATCCCCACATTCTAGACCTACCTTAACAATAGACACTTCGAAGAATAGAGTATTCCTCTTTTTTGGCACTCTGCTTGAAATCCCACAATCTAGCGTGCCTTCAGTCATATTTATTCTGCAGCTTCCCCCAGACGGGATATGAGGGCAAATCTTGCTAAGGATCACATGAAGTTGACATACATGCCTCTGCCATGATTATAACATTCTCTGGTATGGAGGGCAAGCTTTTCCTATTCTCCTTCCCATTTCAGCTTCTTATTCAGGACACATTGTACAAATGGCCACCATTTTGGGAAAAGATAAAATATTATTAAACTTAAGCATATGTGAACTCAGCTGACCCTGGTTCCTTCTTTGACCATTTCTACACTTAAACAAATAAAATTAAGACTTCGCTCTAGGACTTAACAGTGATAGTCAACCATAGTTGCCATTATGGTCATTATTACTATTATATGTACACTACCCAAGGATGGATGGATGACTCTAAAAGATTCTGTAAGGTTTCTTACTGTTTTAGATTTCATACTAAAAGATTTCATACTGTTGAAAATCTTCCTTTTACTACTTTTTTAGTATAGGCTATTTGAGCCTGTGCCTATTTGTACTTTCTCCAGTGCACTGTTTAATATTGTCAAAAATGCTTTGCAGATTTCACTTCCTGCTTGTCCTGCAGATTATCATCATGCATTGAATGGGCACTTGTGTTACAAAAAAAGGATAGAGATAGACAATCTCAGATTGGTAGTTTATCGGATTTCAGCCGATTTTATATATTTGCTTTTCTACCTGGAGGTTAAAACAAGGAGAACAGTGCCACCAGAACACCTGGGCTATCTTGTCTGATAATTGTTTTGGAACTGAGGCAAAATGGGGATCAGTTCATTTGAGTTTTAAAAGGTCTGAGCTGTGAAATGATGATAACTTCAGAAAGCAAAAAAATCTTACTCGTTGTTTTTCTGAAAGAAAAAGAGGAAATTATTTGGAGCATCGGGAAAGTGAATTTTGGAAAAATAATAAAAACTTTGAATCATCTAGCCATCCAGATACTTCTGGAAGTTTACAAATATGGTGCTAAACGCAATTACTGCATCCTGTTTGTCCTTGGTTTTTTTTCTCCCTATCTCTACAAATGTGGAAATTCTGAAGAAGAGCTTGTAAAAGAGCATAGCATACCATATTGGGAATACTAGGTCAGGAGAGAGTAACAAGTTTATAAATGGCAAATGATTTGGGGTAAAATTGATGAGGTCTTTTGAGCAAGTCTCCTTTCTTTTCCTTTGTTTTTTCGTTCCTTTTTTGCTTGCTTTCTTCCATCCATCCTACGTAAAATAGATGTGAGGTATTTAGTGGTTGTTCAACATGCATATTCCCTTTGAATTTAATTGGTAATCTGAGGTTCATCTATTAGTGAGTCAAATATCTCTGAAAAATTTATACCAGGGAACAAGAGTTTCTACTCCCTCAACATTCATTTTTAAGCTGCTCTTGAGAACAGATTCTCAGAGTTACAATAGTTGCAACTTCATTGAAAGAAGTCTAGAATAGATTATTTCTCAAGTATCTTCCACCTCTATAATTCTACACTTTCTCCCTGTCATATTTTCCCACTAGTGAGTTACAATCAACTGATTTAAAAAAACCTATAATTCCTTGCTTCAGTGCTAGTAGCTGTTAGATTATGTAGGGTGGATGCTTATTAAATTAGCCTCCTCTAAATAATCTTAACTACATTGCTCAAAAACATGGTTTTCTTTCATTTTTCTTATTTTTTTATTTATTATGTAAGTGGGCATTGTGGTGTATACCTTCTGCCACTAAAAAGCAAATCCAATTGGGCTGATCTTAGCCCCTTTTATCAGAAGGAAAGAAATATTGTTGATGTGAATGGCTACCCTTACAATAATGAAACTCTGGAAGATAACACTGCAAGACTCTTTCATCAGGAAGTCAGAATTTACTACCAGTACTGGATTACAAACCAATTCATGGACTGAAATACCACTGTATGCTCTAATTTACATTAAACAGCAATATTGGTTCTTCAGTCCTTCAGCTAGTGGATAAAACTGTATTAGAATTTCTATTATTGACCTTTGTGTCAGTTCAGTTAACTATATGAATTATATCTAATCCTGGATGGCCTTAGAGATAAAGAAGAACAGTATCTAAGAACAAGTGCTGGCTAAATTACATTCTTTAACAGAAGATATTTGGACAAGGCCATTCTCAAGATTGAATCCCAGCACTGAAAATTAATTGAGCTTGTAGTTGATGTTAAACACCATGCTTGTTTTACCTGGAAAATATTTCTTATCCAGATCATTAATCCTCTGATTCTCTTACAGCATGATATTGAAATGCTTGACCCACGTGGCCGGACACCTCTGGAATTGGCAGTGTCCCTCGGAAACTTGGAATCTGCCCGTGTGCTGCTGCGACACAATGCCAGTGTGGGTCAGGAGAATGCCAGTGGCTGGACAGGTAGGACATAGATGAAAGCCTGTATAGCTAGAGGAACTAGAGGCCTCCCTCCTTTACTTCCTGGCTTCGGTGGCAAAAGATTGTTAGTTTGCATGAATTTTTAAAAAGCCTGCTTAACAGTGTGAAAAACTATTAGGTTTTTTGTTTGTTAGGTATGCAAGCTTCCTAGTCTAGAACATTTAAAATATTTTTGGACAGATTATCAAATGGGGAGTGTGGGAGTGAATCAAATGGATAAAATGGGCTCAAGGATTTGTTTTTAAAATAAAATAATTTCTTATATGGTAGGCAAGGAAAGGTAGAAAATTGGAAAAGATTGACAGTTGGACAGAGGAAGGCAAAACTATTGAAAAATTAAGGACTTGTGACATCGGATCTGCTGTAAGGAATAGACAGTGAAGGATGGAAACCATTGTTTTCTCATGAGACAGCAAAATCTCACTTCCTTCTAGCCTCTGGTCAACTCCTTATCTTTCACACTTGTTTCTGGCAAAGGACAAGCTTATCCAAATGTCTCTATGAGGTGGCCATAAATGTTTCTTATTGTGTATCTGTTTTAAGACTGCCAATAGATCATAGGTGGTCCATGACTTACTACCACAATTGAGGCCAAAATTTCCGTTGTTAAGTGAGACAATTGTTAAGTGAATTTTGCCGCATTTTGTGACCTTTCCTGCCATAGTTGTTAAGTGAATCGCTGCAGTTGTTAAGTTAGTAACACGTTAGTAAAGTGAATCTGGTTTCCCCATTGGCTTTGCTTGCAAAGCAAAGGTTGCAAAAGGTGATCATGTGATCCTGGGACACTGCAACCATCATAAATTTGAGTCAGTTGCCAAGCCTCTGAATTTTGATCACTTGACTATGGGGATGCTGCAATAGTCATAAGTGTGAAAAAGGATCATAAGTCACTTTTTTCAGTGCTTTTGTAACTTCAAACGGTCACTAAACAAACTATTGTAAGTCAAGGACTATTTGTATGTCTAGTTGTTAATCACTGTATGTTTTAATTTGAATTTTAAAAATTATCTGTAAGATATAAAAAAGCAAATCTGTGAAGAAAAAACATTAAAACAAAAACTATGCAAATAATAATAATAATAATAATACATAGTTAAAGTGTTTCCTGAAACACCATGATATAAATCAGCATTTGATGGAATTATGTTCATATTGAAACCTCCTGAGAAAATTTAAACTTCTCTTTTAAGAAGAAAAATGATTAACCAAATACACTTGGTGAAACATTCTTGCCAAGCCATCTAATGCTGATTTACATCTTTAACAAGGGTTATTTAGCAAGGACATCTTCATACTTCAGCAGATTTCTTTGTGAGATTTACCAAAAAGGCGTTTCCTCATGATTTCCTGTGTTTTATGTCAGTTTAGTTGTTGCCTTCTACTAATGGAATATTTAAGTTGCAGATAAAAGAGTAGGCTTGCAACTTTATGCATTTTTCTTGGTATTACCTTTCCCACTCTTTCTGCTAACATGCCCAGAACCTTGCATTGTTGACATAAATGAGCACAATTCTAGTTTTTCTGGCAGTTAGACATTTCATTTTGATAGATATAGAATACAGATACAGATAGTTCAAGAGGTTGAATCTGATTCTGCTAACTGGATGTGAGAATAGAGATAAAATTCATCTGGGGTTAGAGATAAGGTATGGCATGATGAAACAGAAGGAGGATCCAAGAAGCTAGATATTTACTGTTTCCTTACACTCTTTCCCTGGCATCTAGTCCTTCAAGAGGCTGTAAGCACTGGAGATCCAGAGATGGTACAGTTGGTACTCCAATATCGTGATTACCAGCGTGCCACACGGCGACTGGCTGGCATTCCAGAATTACTCAACAAACTACGTAGAGTATGTATTAATATAATCTTCCAGATGAATTGGAGTATTTTCCATTCTCTTTTGGGGTCTGCAAATATTTATTTTGAGATATCCATCCTCTGGCTTTGTCAAATATCTTGACAAAAGTTGTGAAGAGGAGGAAATTAAACCTTGTCCAACAACTTCTTATGCAGTTTTCTCACTTTGGTGCCTCTCAGGGAAACATGTTGACTTGTATTATGAGAGATGTAATCTTGCACGTTGGAAGAGCATACATCTAGAGAAATCTAAATGAAAAGTTTTTGTGGATTGTTCTTCTGTTATTCCAAAGATCTGGTTGCATTTGGTTAAAAAAAATAATAGTCTAGATACAAGTAGTCCTCAATCTATGACTACAATGGAGCCTGGGATTTTGGTTGTAAGTTGTTGCAGTTGTGTTGAGTCACCATATGACCGGACTTGTTTTTATGATGGCCGTTATGTAAGTCATTGCAATTATTAAGCTAATCGCATAGTTGTAAGTCTGAATCCAGCTTATCCGATAGACACTGTTGCTTTTTGCTGGAAAATAGCCAAAAACATTACAATACACAACCACATGATCCTGGGATGCTGCATCTGGCCATAAACATGAGTCAGTTGCCAAGTGCACAAAATGCAGTTGTGTGACTGCAGGGGTGATGTGACAGTTGTAATGTTGAGGACCTGTTGTAAGTAACCTTTTTCAAGTCCATCATAACTGAATAATTGTTAAGTAACCCCTTGTAAGTCAAGGACTACTTGCAGTTAGCATCATTAACATCCTTTTTTCTGTCCAAAGTAAGTACAGTAATATAACGTAACTGTTTCTTTGCCATATTAATTTGTAGGAAATATATTTGAACAGCACACTTTCAGGATTTCAGAATTGCTGGGAATCCTGAAAACATCAACACTGATCTTTTTAATCCTTTCTTCTTCAATATCTTTTGAAACACTCTTGGCCTTGCTAATTACTAAACCTAATTGCATATTATACTCCCACTGACAAAAGATTTGTCATATAGTGTTAAAGCCCTGAATATTTCAGAGGAAAAACATATAGATGTTGTATCTTCTGTCCCTTGTCTTGTTTGTACTGATCTTACTTCTGGTTTGTAGTGAACTAGTTTTCCATTTCCTCAGGCCCCTGACTTCTATGTGGAAATGAAGTGGGAGTTTACCAGCTGGGGTAAGTCAGTACTTCAGATGTCCAATTCAGTGAATAAAGAGAAAAGATGAATACAAGATAGAAAAGATGGCAGGAGAAGATGGCGTTGCAGAGAAATATTTGAACTAAGGAATGAGATTTCCGTGTTTGGTCATTATCATTACCACTAACTTTCAAAAAGTGCATCATTGGCAGAGCACGGGGACTAACTCTTTGTTTTGTGAAAAAGGAATTCTGCCTCTTGTTCTACAGTCAATTTAGTGGCTTCTTCCATGGGCAGTCTATCCAGGCGGTTTTAACATGTGATAACACAACTAGTGCTCCAGAGTTTTTAAGTGATAATTTGGAAGGTTGGGAAGGTCTCACACAGATGCCTCAGGGACCTGTTAAATTTGTTGTTCACTCTTAGACATGTTGCTGTCTCATCTTATCCTACTTTACAGAGGCTATAATTCCTTCATGGAAGAACAGACTTGTACAAATGTGACTCATTATTTAATAGTTCCAGGTAATGATCCTTATGCCTCTGTTTATTCTCTTTCTCTCTCTCTGCAGTGCCTCTTGTCTCCAAGATATGTCCAAGTGATGTGTATCGCGTATGGAAGCGGGGTGAAAACCTGCGGGTGGACACTACCTTACTGGGCTTTGAGCATATGACCTGGCAGCGGGGCCGGCGCAGCTACATCTTTAAAGGCGAAGGTCAGAATATCCCTTTCTCGGGAGATGGGTGTGTACTCAGTGTGTGCTTTTGGTAGAAAGTGTTTTTCTTCCAACAGAACTGAAACAGCTTCTTGGATGAGAAGCAAAACGTCTTCAAAGGAAAACAAGGAAGTCCAGCTACCTTGTGAAAAAGCACCTTTGGGATTTTAATTCCAGTGTTGCATTTTCATCCTCTTTCTCCTCCTGTTATTTAGATGAGAATGCTGTGGTAATGGAAGTTGACCATGACAAGCAGGTTGTGTACACTGAGACATTGTCACTAGCCTTGCATGAGCCCGAGCTGATGCTGGCTGCCATGCAGCCTTCGGAGGAACATGTTGCCAGCCGCCTCACGTCTCCTATTGTCTCCACCCACCTTGATACCAAGAATATTGCCTTCGAGCGGTGAGCTTTGGCAAACGAAAGGGAATGTATTGTACACCGGTACTATCAGTGCCTTTATATGCAGGATTGTGCGGGAGGAGCAGGAACATAGTGACCCTGCATGGCAATTGTTGGGGAGCAAAAAGCAGGAAAGACTACAGAAGCTTTTGCTTTGATCCTGTAAGCTGCTTGATATTCTTACACCGTATGAGGGAGCCAAGGAGATCAAAATTGAAGTGAGACTCAAGATGGAAAGAGAGTTTCTCTGATTCTTTGAGCACAAAATAGTTTTTTCAGGAAGCCTTACATTTGAAATGGCTTGAAGTTTATTACGACAAAATACAGTTCAAAACCCTTCTTTTTCCTTTGGTCTGGTTACTGGAAGATCAGGTTTCCTCACACAAGAAAATACTTGCTCTGGAAACCACCACTTACCATAGTCTCCTTAATTAAAGCTTTTAAGGGCAAAATATAAGCATGTTTGCCTATCTATTTGTGCATGAACAGCATTTAATGAAATTAATACTTTTAGGTAAGGGATTCTCAAACTATGGGTCACATCATTCCTGAGTTATTTGGTCCCACCCTGGTAGTATGAACTGACTGTCTGCTTATCCAGGCAGAGTAATGCATGGATTGGCAGTGATCCAGCTTTATTTGCAATCCAGACTTGTACAACAAAAATAGTATAACTGATAGAACTCATGCTATCAAGGATGACCTCAGGATTTGCTACCTCCATATGTCCCTGCTCCAGAGGCATCTCTGAATCTTCATTGGCCAGCTGTAAGGCATCCTTGCTGAACTCTCAACGTGTTTTCTAGTCTGGCCTTTCGGGTTCTGTCTGCTCCCCAGCAGCTTCCATGCATCCATCCTGGCTGGATTGGGAAGGGGGAAGAAAAGGGTGGAAGAGAAAGCCAAGGTCACTTGCAATTTCCTTGTACTGCGCAGCCACTGTTCAGGGTATGAGACAATGGTCACTTTGAGAAAAGTGGGCAGAGCTGAGATGCAGCAGCAATGATGTCTCAGCAATTCTGGAAAACTTGGCCAGGAGGAGAGCAGTACATTCCCGTATGCGAAGGAAGGCAGCGAGCCATCCCTATCCAAATGTCATGAAAAAGAATGCCCACGAAGAAGCTTGTCCTGGTAGCATAGATCCTCCAGAAACAGGAAGAGAAGTGCAGTTCAAATAAAGGTTTTGTATAACCTCAAACCCCTTGAAGAAAACTAACAATCCAGCTGTGCTAGGTTTGTACCAAAAGGCAGAGCAGGAACATGGTCTGACAGGGCTCTGGCTTTGGGTGCACAATTAAGGTGATTTGTACCCAGAGTCAAAACCCCAGATGTTTGCACATGAGTTCTGACAGTGATCCAGCTTTTGATGTGCAAGTCTGGGCTTGCACGCAAACAGCTAGAGTACTAACAAAGCTGACTCCGGTTCGCCCAGATAAAGGAGGGGGTCTGTTTGACACTGGGTGCCCTATGACAGTGGTTCTCAACCTGTGGGTCGGGACCCCATTTGGGGTCAAACGACCATTTCACGGGGGTCGCCAAACAAGGCTGTCCACCATTTTTTCCCCCTTTTCTTTGGCCACGTCCCTGGCACCTGGTGATGTATAAGTGGTTGGGGGTCACCACAACATGGGGAACTGTATTATGGGGTCGCGGCATTAGAAAGGTTGAGAACCACTGCCCTATGAGAACATAGAATGACAATTTTATTCCTTGTGAGATCACACGAATTTCAGCATCACAGAGTTTAGAATTTAGACTGAAATAGGAACCATTCTATGTGCAAATTTGGGCCATTGTCATATTTGACTCAGGAGTATCTTTCTGTTCAGGAACAAGTCTGGCATCTGGGGCTGGCGCTCGGAGAAAATGGAAGTAATCAGTGGTTACGAAGCCAAGGTACAATTCTCTACCTTCTTTGCATAATTATCCAGTATAAATGTCAAGATTTAGCTTATCATCTGTATTTGTAATTAGCAAAAATCTTGTGCTTCCCCAGGTTTACAGTGCCAGCAATGTGGAGCTTATTACCAAAACACGTACTGAGCACCTGTCTGACCAGGACAAAACACGCAACAAAGGTATAACACACATGAACTGTTTTCAATTTTGGACCCATGTTGACTTAACCATCTATTATGCTGTAAATAATTTGTCCTCATGGTAGTTCCAGTTGGTCATTTTCTTTTTGTAGTAGTTATTCTTTGATCTCTGTTGTTTTGTCCTCAGCAGATTTGGCATGGAATATTTATATTTCATTTACTTACTTATTATGTGTATCTTTTTCTTTACATCCCAGAAACTGAGTAAAGCACTGCTATGGCCTGTGTTATATCTCTCCATCCCTATGAGATAGATTGAACTGAGAGATAGTAAATAACCTGATGAACTTTATGTCTCAATTACTTGTGATAAATAGTTTATAAAAGGGGTGAGGATGGAGGGGAAAACTAGAAAAGAGAATAGGAAAAAAGATTTCTGAATTATAAGATTATAGACGTTGGTCTTTGTGGCTTTAGAATAATGAAAAACCTACTTGAAAACCTAAATGTAGCATCTTTTAAAACAAAGGGTAAATGATTATACCAGTAAAAAGAGATGAGTACATTGCACTCTCTAAACTTCATCATTCTTTTCTATGCTCAGGGAAAATACCAACCAGCTCTGAAGAAAGTATACGATATATATTCATGGATAAGCTGAGAACGTTAGGTTTCAAAAATACCCCAAAATTAGATCTGGCTTCTCTGCAGACCAGAGCTCAGAATTTTTAAAGACTGTCACAGCCTTTAAATCACATGGTTTTATAAAAGATGACATAACAGTTTGCAGTTTCCTGTCTGCCATTGCAGTTAAAAACTGGAGGAGTGGCTTATCTGCGGGTGGCACATTTTTAATGGTATTTTGGTTGAAATTTCTAGGATTGACTTGCCTGTAGTTAGGTTTATCCACAATTATGTATGGTATTTACTTTCCTGCATTCACCTGTCCTACTCCTTATCTTAGCAGTCCTTGCAACCAAGTTCTTAATTACTGTAAAATAAATGAGCAAGGACATTTAACTTCTGGGAGGAAAGGTAAGATAGATAAGCAAATAGTCTTGCCCACTACTAGGAGTGGGCAGTATAGGACAAGTTCTTTTGACATTTTATAAGATACTGGTTGTTGTAAAGAAAGAGTATAGTTAGGAAGGCCAGGCAAATATTGAACTATTGCCATGCACCCTACTTGGGGTTGCCCCAAACAGCACTCGGAAGCTACAAATAGTCCTGAACAAGTAGTGGGAGGAGACAGTGTTGGGCATGCTTTGAAATGCCCAAGTGATAACTATTGTGTCATGAGCTGTATTGATTACTGATCACCTGAAAAGCTTTTCATGGCATAGGTCCATATTATATAAAGATCACTTATCTCCCATTGTTTTACCCATTTGGTAAGATCTGGTAGAGTTGGTGTACTTCAGGAATTCTTGATCAAGCAATGCCATCTGACAGAGGCATGCCTTCTCTATTGCAGCGTCTACTTTCTGGAATTATACCTTCCCAGTGGTTTGTTTACCTCCCTCTCTGATGTCATTCTACAAGTTCTTAAAAACCTGACTATTCTTCTAGACCTTGTTTGAAGAGTCCTGGGTGATTGGTTGTTACTTAATCTATCCAGATGCTTGAGTTCTTCTTTACTGCTTTCTTATTTTAAGTGTAAACAACTAAGAATCGTTTTTTTGGGTCTATTGGGAAGCTTCTAAATGTATTAAATAGCTTAAAAAAAAAAAACCAGGTGAGCAGTGAACATTTGCTCTTATATCCTGTACTGTAGTAGTAGGGCTTATATTAAAAAAAAGAAGAGCAAATTACAATCAGATACATTACTGGGACTCACATAAGCATTTTGTGACCTGAAGCTTTTCCCATGACACTTGTGCAGCAATGAAGAAAAGACTCCCAAGTTTCAATGTATTATGCAATTATTATTATTATTATTTTGAATTATGTTTATATCTCTCATCTCTTTTTTCAATAGGGAAATACAAATTAAAGGCAAATAGTTGTTCCACATAATAGAATAGTTTTAAGATTTGCATAAGGGGACAACTTAGCTGGAGACCAGGCAGGCCAATTGGTTTTGTTTCTTTCCACAGGGGTCTGCTGTTGTTAAGGGTCTAAACTAAGAAAGGGTGGCCGGGAGCCAGGCTAATATTTGGAGGTTGGAGGAGCCTCGTTTCACATTTCATTTGCAGTCTCATGTAACTCTTGCACCTTAATGTTAAAAAGTGTTCACTTAGGGAGATGGTGCTCATTTTAGTAGAAATAAAAGAGACATTTTCTGTAGTATGTTGTCCTCTCTTCAAGGGCTGTGGCTACTGCTAAATGTTTTTTTCCGCAAATGTTTAGTTAATCAGGATGTTTATTTTAATATCAAAAGCACAGTTCTGTGCTGCGTGCCACCTTGAATGCTGTAGCAAACAGATAAGACAGAAATGTTTTAAAGAAACAATATAAACATCTGATACAAATAAGCAATTGGAGCTGAAGTGCTTCTTTGAGAAGAAACATAGGACTTACTCTTCTGGATGTCCTTTCCTCACTATGCAGGCTCCAAGACTCCATTCCAGTCCTTCCTAGGAATCGCCCAGCAGCATGCTGCCCAGAATGGGGTATGTAGCAAAGTCAGGTTCTTTTCCTGCAGAAGGAAAAGGGCGCTAGCTGAGGCATCGGCATGAGGAACTAAAGGGGAAGGAGGGCAGCAACAAGAGACTTCTGCTGGACCAGTGTGGTGGGACTGGTGGGGAGTGAGACTTGGTATTTACATGGCATTTACAATTATTGCTAGAATCCTTTACTTAGAATAGATCCTGCTCCCCATTTTTCAGGCCCCTGTGCTGCAGTCAGCCAGTCCCACAAACCCAACATCTATTACCCCTGAGGAATACTTTGACCCCAACTTCAACTTGGAATCCCGTAATATTGGCCGCCCTGTTGAGATGTCCAACAAAGTTCAGAGGTGAGTGCAGGTGGGGACGATAGTGCAGCACTGTTACAGTGGGAGGCTCAGGACACGAAGGCTAGCATTGATGCTTTTGGGGTTTCAAAATGAAAATCCATAAGGGTGAGCACGAGGGCTAGTTTTTGGGTGTGCTAAGGTGGAGGAAAGGGAAGTTCTAGAAACTGACTTGTTTCTTATTTGCTAGGTTCAAGGCCACTCTGTGGCTCTGTGAGGACCATCCCCTCTCCCTGGTGGAGCAGGTGACACCTATCATTGATCTGATGGCGATCAGCAATGCTCACTTTGCCAAGTTACGTGATTTCATCACCCTCAAGTTACCTCCTGGCTTCCCAGTTAAAATCGGTGAGAGAGATGCAAAACAGACTGGCTGAAAATGGGAGTGGCAAGTGATGGTGCTAACCGTTGTAATGTGGAACTAGTAGACAAAATGTGGCAGGGAGAGCAGGTAGCAGCAGGAGTAAGGCAGGAATGATGTATGGCAGACTTGGATGTAATAGTAGATGAGTGGTTGCTGATATTTAGGTACTGAGGTACTGAGAAACAGAAAATGGAGGGCACTATTGCACACCTAATCTATAGAAGCATTTAGTTAATCATTGTAGGAGTAGAATGCTGGCTACTCTAGATGGCTTTTGGTCCAGTCCAGGTTCAGGACTTTTTTATATCATTATATTCTTATTAATAATGTTTTGATGGGTTCTGTATGAAAACAGCAAGAGACCTGAAAATAAATAGTTCCCATCCTTTCATTCTTTTCTTTCCCTTTTCTGTAAGTTTTCCCTGTCATTTTCAGAGATCCCTCTCTTCCATGTGCTCAATGCCCGGATCACTTTCAGTAATTTGTGTGGCAGTGATGAGCCACTAAGCTCAGTGCGGATCTGTACTCCTACCCAGTCTCCTGGCAGCAGCGAGGAACCAAGTGCTGGGGCAGAGGCAGCCAGCAATACTAAAGGTAAGATCAAAGGCTTAAGATAGGCACAGCTCTGTCAAAATTATGCCTAGTACTTCTATGGCTTCAGTTGATGTAAACTTTGGTAAAACTGGATAAAGAGAAAGAGGAAAGAAGCTTTTGGAGCTGGAAGAAGTAGGTCCAACAGTCCATACTGAGTTATTTGAAGAAGTAATAGTTAGAGGAAAGGATAAAACAATCTGCATCCCATAAACAGCAAATGGGTCCTAGGCTCTGCTTCTATAACTCCCATATCACCTCAGAAATTATGCCAATGTTTTTCATCAAACGAAAGGTGAACATTCATCTCAAGTTCCAAACAAATTTTATTTGTCTAAAATACAACTCAGGCCCCAAAGGAACCTCCCGAAAATCTATGCCTTGCCCACTTGTGTGGTAACATGGTGTGACCATTGCTTCCCAAAACGATAAAAAATATATTTATCACGGAATAGCTATGGAAAGATTGCTTGCCCTGGAAAAGCCTAGTTAAAAGAATGACACTTAAGACTGTGTTGTTCTTGTCCATCATCCACTTACTTACTCTAGCAGAGTATTCCTAGCAAAGATCAATACTGGCCCTAATAGCAGCAACTGGAATCATGAATTCTCAATTGATTTTCTCTCTTTCACCTCAGAAAATGCTATCTAGAAGAATTCTGCACAGAATTTGTCCAAACTTTTCTGTGCAATGTGAAGCTCTACTTGCCTACCCAGGCCTGATGCATGGAGCTTGTGAAACAATTTCTGGTTATTGCTTTCATTTTAGATTTTTGCTGTTGTTATTACTCTGGCATAATAATAGATCACACTAATTTAGTCTTGCATTTTCCCTATCCATTGTTTTGAGAAATTTGAGTTCTGCCAGCTTTTTGTCAACCTGTTATATCTTGGTTCACCTGGGAAGATTTAGTGTATTTGCTTTAATTCTTGAGAGTATGTGGTTTGATCAAACAAGAACTTTATTGTAATTATAGGGAAGTAAGCAGAGATTAGATGCTTGGTTGATTAATTAACACAGGACATAGTTAAGCCTATTCAAACTGTATGATATTTGAGCACAATTTTAGACAACGTCCACACAACATAGACAACTTAATGGTGGATATGGTACTACTATGGAGTCACAGTGACTCTATATTAATATGCCTTTCATTCCAGGCAGTAAACAGACAGAGCCATTGTACTTACATTCTATTTGTAAGTCTTCCAATGGCTTCTAACTGATGATGGTCAAAACAGATATGCTGTCTAGATATGCCTTTGGTTTTATGTTGCTATTGCTATTGCTGTTGCTATTTTCCCAGTCTCTGTTGTAATTATTGTTATGTTATTCTCCTTGCCCCTAGTGTACCCTTTCCCCTGTGAGGTGGATCCATCTGTATTTGAGGTGCCCCAAGGCTACACAATGTTGGGTGCGGGCCGTACAGAGCCCATGAGGGATGAGGACGATGACCTACTCCAATTTGCCATTCAACAGAGTCTCCTGGATGCTGGCACAGAGACAGATCAGGTGATTGGGAGGGCAGCAACTGGATTGTGGTGGGAAAGGCTTGTATTCATTTAGCAGAAAATCTGGTTCTTCAAAACAGGCTCTGTGGTCTAAGAAGGTTGTGTGGTACAAGCAGTGGTGGGTTTCAAATAATTTAACAACCGGTTCTCTGCCTCGTCTTCCCTCCACCTTGGTCAGGGTGGGCTACTTGGGGGGTTGGCTCAGATGGGGGCAGGAGGTTCCAGTGTGGGGGGGGGTAGGAGCTCCCTGTTACGGAATTGCTGGAGGTCCCAGCTGGGGAGGGCAGGAGGGTACGGTTGGGGGGGGGCGGGAGGGTTGGGACGCCTCCACCAGGGAAAGCCATGCCCCCACTGGCTGAACCTGTCATCCATATCGCGGTCAGGTAGGATTGCATAGAAGGAGCGCCAGGCAGGGGGCTGGAGGGGGAGCTGCCAGCAGGGGGGGGAATCAGAGCAACCACCATCTCCCTTCCTCAGCGCAGCCCCATCAGCGCAGGTGGAGACAGCCCCGGGACAGCCAGAAGTGGGCCCTCACCCAGCCTGGGCTCCATCCGCTCGGCAGCTCTGATGGGGGCAGCAGCTGCTGCTCTGAGCCCTTCAACCAGCCAGCCACACAGGCAAGCAGGAGGTGGAGGCAGTGATCACTGCATCGCCAGGCTTGATCGGCAGCAGCTCCAAAAGCAAAGTTGTGCCGTCCATCCTTGCGCTGATGGAGGTGGGGGGAGTGGGCTCTGGCACACACCCACCCCTTGCTGCTTCCGCTCCACATCTCGTAGCCCCTCGCCACCGCCATCCCAGCAGATGCTGCACTGTGGAAGGGAGACAGCATGCTGCTGGCTGGGCCTGGTGATGCAGGGATCGCCACTGCCGCCGCCTCCTTCCCAGCCCCATGCGTTGCCCGGCATCACAGCGCACCATTTGCCGGCCACGCAGAGAAGCAGGAGGAGGAGGTGGCAGCGATCCCTGCATCGCCAGGCCCGGCCGGCAGCATGCCATCTCCCACACCACAGCATCTGCTGGGACCCCCATCAGCCACTGCCCTCACCAGCACAAGGACGAGCGGCACAGCTTTGCTTCCAGAGCTGCTGCCAGCCAGGCAGGCAATGCAGGGATTGCCCCTCTGCCTCTGCGTGGCTGGCAGGGCAAGAAGCTCAGAGCAGCAGCAGCAGCAGCAGCTGCCCCCATCAGAGCTGCCGAGCAGACAGGGCCCGTGCCGGGCGAGGGCTCCTTTTCTGCTGTCCCAGGGCTGTCTCCACCCACACTGATAGGGCTCTGTGGCTGGTTCGCCATGATGCAGGGCAGCGCCTCTTATGATTTGATTACAAGTGGTACTTTCCTCGACCACATGGTTTTCCTGAAAGCTATCAGTTCTAACACCAGACATAGGCAGTTGGAGAAAAAATAATAAGTCGCCATTTGATATCTGCCTTCTTCCTATGGAACCAAAGTTAGAGAGCGGGTGGCTAAAGAGAGGGACAGTCGGGGTTCTGCCTGCTTTATTACAAGGCAGGCTATTAACACGCAGCGTGCTCCATTTTGTTAAAAAAACCCTATTTAAATTTTTTTTTAAATGAAATAGAGCGGGCTGCCTGTTAATAGCTTGCCGTGTAATAAAGCAGGCAGAACAGCAACCGTCTCTTCAACCAGCCACCTGCTAACTCGCCAAAGTCCCACGTGGCCGGATACATCCTAGCACGGCTGGTTTCCTTCCCCCCCCCCGTCCCAGCCTCACATGCTCTCCTTTTCCCAGGCACGACTCACTTCAGTACCTCCTCAGCTGTTGACTGGCCAGCCAGCTAGTTCAGAGGCGGCTTCTCTGAACTGCTGGCGGCAGGCGAGGCAGGGGCTGCATTTTGTCTTCTCCTCCAGACGGCTTCGGTAGATCCCCCCTCACCTGCCCATCCATCCTCTTCCCTTTCACTCCCCTTCCAAGTCCTCTTCACAGCTCTGCCCACAAAGCCCCCGAATGGCAGTTAGAGCGCTGGAGCTGGAAAGCATTTCTCTGCCGCTACGGAGTTAGAGATCTTGCCCTACTCACCACCGCCCAGATGCCCTCACTTCCCAAACCATTTGTTTTCTAACCTTCTTTCCAGCTCCTCCATCACTTCCTCTGCTGCCATGTGCAGTCCCAGAAACAAAAGTTGTGGGACTAAAAAAAAAAAAAAAAAGTTCAATCAATCAAATCCAACTTATCATGAAAAAAAAAATCTTGCAAAGTTGGAATTGATTGAACTTTTTTTTTTAGTCCCATAAACTTCTTTTGTTTGTGGGACTACTCATGGCGGCAAAGGAAGTAACGGAGGACTGCGTCGGAGTTGGAAAGAAGGTGTCGCATTGGTCCGATCGGGGGCAGGAGGGGGTGGTGTTTTTGCTGCATGTCAACCGGTTCTCCGAACTCAAAAGAAATTAGCTACCGGTTGTACTGAACTGGTCCGAACCGGCTGAATCCCACCACTGGGTACAAGACAAAAGTAGGAGGACAACATAGCAAATAAAACCTCCGGTGTTGTCACTTACTGGAGATCATTCTTTGTTGACAACTTTAGATATAGCTTTGGGGGCTTAAATTTAGTCTTATTGGTGATTTTTATCCTTATTAGGGATCAGGGATGGGGGAACCTAAAGCTAAACAGATCTCAGACTATTCAACAAGTTACAGGACCAATTAGTTAATTAATTAATTACCTCACAAGTTTCCAATTGTTATCTACTACTGGGTGATACCTGTTGAATCTCTTTTTTATTTTTACTTCTTCATTCCGTATGTTTTATTAGGTTACCATCTGGGAAGCTCTGACCAACACACGACCAGCATCCAATCCACCAACCTATGATGAGGAACTACAATTGGAACGGTGAGTATTTGTGTAAAATACACACCATCCATTCACATACAATATCTAGCTATCCTGCCAGACTGTTTCTTTTTTATTGTGATGGAAACAGTGGCTGCTATTAGAAGAACAGGAATTGGTGGTGAGAAAGTGCCAGGAACTGCATAAATTAAGACAGTTGCATGTTACCCTCCTAGTTTAAGTTCTCCACCTTTGCTGCATAATTATATAGTTTAAAGCAAAAAAAAAATTGCATATATTTATTTAGTTTCTTTTGCCAGTTATGGGAAGGGAGAAGAACTATGCAGGGCATGGAAACCTCTTTCCCAGCTATTTGAGATTTTGTTCATCAACTCATTTCTGGCTTCTGGGGTGCCACTAACACGACTATGTAATTTGGTTTGGTTTCAAGAGAAATCTAATGTTGACAGTTGAACTGTGACTGGTTTTTTTCTTAAATGATAATTTGTACCCTAAATAATTTCATATATTTGCTTACAGATAAAATTCTTAGGCCTGAAATAAGAATCACACTTTCTTTTTAATTATTACACATATTTTAGGAGTGAGTCTTAAAAATACATTTAGTCTGTAAATGGGAGAAAAAGGCATGCTATCTTTGCCATGGTCAGGCTATATAAAAAAAACACTTTAAAAAGACTCCTTCTTGAAAAATACCTGCTTCTAGCTGCTTTGTAGGAATATATTTTAATTTATTAGAAAGTTTTAATATTGATTACTCAGTGTCTTTTCAGTGCAGCAGTTGCTGACAATAGAACATTTTTTCTGTGCCCAATACAGTCTGAATTCATGACATATGAATAAACACTATATTTTAAATTAGAAAATGTTATATTACAATCATGTGTATAATCAAATTCTTATAGTCTTTTGAAAAGTTTTTTTTCTTTTTTAAGAAACTGCTGTACATGGGTTGACATTTCCGACATTTAGGTTACATTTAACCTGGCATCACAGGCTTGAAATTTTGTAGATAGAGAAGCAATTGAAAAACGGCAATGGAAAGAGAATAAATGCTCTTAGGAAAAAGAGATAAGAAACATTGCTATTTTAAGTCACTGTTTCATTTTTCTTTGAAAAAAAAACTTTTAAAAAGTTTTGTATTTTTAATACAAGATACCCTCAGCTTTTTAAAATCTTCAGTATTTATATCATTTTGAAACATATTTCTGGCTTCTATGGTTATAAACCACAGATTACACAGTAATAATTGGGTTCACATAAAATCACAACTAAGCCAACTTGCAATGAGATGGGCAGCAAACAAATTTAATAAATAATATAATATATTGGAATGTGTGAATCTAATCATTATTTTAGTTAGTATTTTATTTCTGTTTCTGGCAGATTTATTAAACGAGGTATGTTTGTTGTTTGTTGAGAATGAAATTTTCTACTGTATCTTTTTTGTGGTTAGTATAGAAATATTTTACAGGAGAACAGCTTGCTTTTCCCTGGAACACTTCTTAAAATTATGTTTATGTACTGCAGAACTGATCATGGTCTTAGAAGCTGTTCCTTTTATTTAACCCTTAAAAATTTGTCTCATTTTACTGAAAGCAAATACAGTAAGAGGTGACAGTGGGGGCCTGTTGTAGTTACCAACAAAGAACTCCATTGACTGAATGTGCACGTCTGATTTTTCTGATTTGCATTGTTTTTAATTTGTTGAATTTGTGGCTCATATTCAGAATATATGTGGATAAGCTAAGAATTTCATGTGCTAAAATACACCCACAAAATTGTGCTTGCTTATTCATGAGTACTGCAGGTTTCCCCATGCATGTTCTTAACTAAGCTAATGAAGTAAATTATAGCAATAATAAAATACATTAAAATATAATCAAAATTATATGAATTTTAAGAATATGCATATTCTTAAAGTAAGGTAAAAGCTTTCCCTCCAACTATAGAGCACAGTGCTCATCTCCATTTTTTTGGCCAAGGGACCCAGCCTTGTCCGAAGACAATTTCTTGGTCACGTGGCCAGCATACGCCAAAGGCATATGGAAATGCTGTTACCTTCCCACTGAAACCGCACCTATTAATCTACTCGCATTTGCATGCTTTCGAACTGCTTGGTGGGCAGGAACTGGGTCAAGAATGGGAGGTCACCCCATTGCGTGGCGCTCAGGTCTCAAACCTGGTCTGTCAGCACCCCGGCTGATAAGTTCAGCCTCTTTAACAACTGAGCCATTGCACCTTCTATTCTTAAAATAGCTGAAGCAAATTATAAAAAGATTAATAAAATACATTACAACGTAATCAAAGCTTATAAAACACAAATATTCCCAAAAAAATAACAAATATAAACAGCAAGTGCTTGTTATAGGCCATTGATTAACTTTTGAATAAGTTTTGGTTTTGTTTAGTGTTTAGCTTAATTTACAAATGACACAATTATGATTTGTTCAGTAAATCATAACTTAAACCATGCTTTAATGCACTGCATAGCCCACTCGTTAAACTAAGAGATCTTAAATTTACCATTTTTCAGCAAGCCAGTTCAAAAGAATCTAGTATGAAATCACTGACTTGTAAATTCATCAGCAGATTTAACACAGTGAATTTAAATGCAAAACAGGTGGTTTGTTAATGAGGAGGTATTAATTTGTATTAGTCCTGTTGCTTTGCTAGTTCATCATTTTACCTGTGGGGGAAAAAATGCATATCCACCCTGGATGTGTCCAGTATTCATTTTGCAGCAGTTTCTGCACAGCAGTGTCACAAGCCCATTGTTGTCTTCCAAATTTTTTGAGTTTAAATGCACTTAATAGGAAATGGTGGGCTTTCTCTACCATTATTGCATGCCGTTCAGTGACCTCTAAATGACTGATGAAAGTTTATGGCAAAGAAAAAGCTATCATCTTTTGCCATTCCTTCCTGGAATTATTCTGGGAATTACTTCAGCAGCAAACTACTGCAGCTTAAGAAAATAGACATGAACACTCCCAAAGGCATCCAGGAGTGCTTTGGAAAAATGCAGTAAATAGCAATTTAGGCAAGTCCAAGAGCTGTGAATCTTACAGTTTTGCAGCAACCCCATGAAAAGCTATAGAAAGAAATAGACACGGTTTATTTGATGATTTAAATGCTCCACTTTATCTCATCCAAAAAAAAAAGAAACAGATACATCTACTTTTATATGCCTAGAGATAGTATTTAGCCTATTTCAAATCAAATTATTCAATTTGCAATTGCCCCTATCGTTCAGACTGTTGTGGAAGGCCTATGTGGTTTCCATTGTATATTTATGGAAATTCCCCAACCTAGGAGAGTAAAACGTAAGTATTTTATGTATTACACAAGGCAGGGCTTCACAAACTGCCATTCATTCCAAATAATGCCTGCTCAGCTGCAGAATGGACCCAGGTTCTGGCATATATTGTGTCAATGATTAAAAACTTCAGAGGCTTCCAATTTATTTCTGAACATAAATAGTAAAGCTTTTGCGCCTATCCTAGCATGGGCATGCCCATGGATTAAAGCCATTTTCTGGTTGCTATACCATGCAAAATAAGGTGGGTAGCACCTGGGAAAAAGCCTTGTTGGTAATGATGGTGCCATCAGCTCAGTGCCCTCTCCCTGGAAGATTTACCTATTGAATTAGTTTGTGTCTTTTCAAGGCCAGATAATTTTTAATTTCCTCAGAATGTTTATTTTTTGTTGTGCTGTATTATCTCTATTTTTATCAGCTGCTCCTTTCTGGTGTTGCACAAAAATTCTGTGCTAGAACAGTTCCACTAATTTGGAGTAGCCTGTGCTTGAACTGAAACTTCCAGGTTTCAGGCGTTTTGATCCACGCGTTGAAGCAAATAGTATATTTTATAAAAAGCCTTTGTACAAAATTGTTAATGCTCACAAGTTATTCTACAAGTCCCACTTCTTTTGTTCCTATATAGGTAGTCCTTGACTAATGAGCACAGTTGAGCCCAAAATTTCTGTTGCTAAGGGAGACAGTTAAGTGAATTTTGCTCCATTTTACGACCTGTCTTGCCACAGTTATTAAGTGAATAGCTACAGTTGTTAAGTTACTAACACAGCTGTTAAGTAAATCTGGCTTCCCCATTGACTTTGCTTGTCAGAAAGTTGCAAAAGGTGATCACAATCCCAGGACACTGCAACTGTCATAACTAAGAGTCAGCTGCCAAGCATCTGAATTTTGATTGCCTGATCATAGGTATGGTGCAATAGTCGTAAGTGTAAAAAACAGTCATGAGTCACTTTTTTCAATGCTGTTGTAACTTTGAATGGTCACTAAATGGACTGTTGTAAGTTGAGGATTATCTGTACAGTATTTCCAGTATGCTGTCTTTCACCTAAGATAAAGAATTCTGAAAAATGTAATTGCAACATATTTGCAAACCAAGATATTTGAGAAAGCAGCTGCAGTCTCAACAATAGCATCTGAATCAGTGGTTCTCAATCTGTGGGTCGGGACCCCATTTGGGGTCGAACAACCATTTCACGGGGGTCGCCAAACAACGCAGTCCGCCATTTTTCCCCCCTTTTCCTTAGCTGTGCTACTCCCTTTTATTCTATTGGCTTTTGAAAGCCAATAGAATAGACTCTCTTGAATAGAGTCTAATTCTATTGGCTTTCAAAAGCCAATAGGAATTGTCCAGGCTGTCTCTGCCCTGCTGAGCCCGCCAAAAGTCCCATTCTGCAAACGGTGCTGCACCAGTTGAGTAGTCCTCGACTTACGACCGGTTGAGTAGTCCTCGACTTACGACCGGTTGGGGGTCGCGGCATTAAAAAGGTTGAGAACCACTGATCTGAATAGATGGTAGGTACAGATAAGCAAAGGCAGACAGATAATAAACTTCTTCCCAGTCCACAGCTGTCTCTCTGGATATCCAGATGTTGCTATGACTGTTTAAGTTACACCTATTCTGTGATAAACAGAACCAATTCAGTGTGAGATGTCCCATTAACGATTGTGTTTTAAGTGCTTGATTAAATGAATCACATTCTGATTTGGAAGTAGTGGGACAAGAGCCTTGTGTAATGGGAGGTAATAAAGAGTATCTGTCCTCAGGCAGTGACCCATAGTGCGAACACGAGTTTATTACAAGGACAAAAATGTTGCTCCGTCATTACCTAGGAAATGTAGGAAATTCAGAAGGTTGTTGTCAGCATAGAGAGTATATTATCGGCGCAAACAGCTTGAACCAAAAGCTGACCCACTGCTCTGTTTGTACTGGCAGCCAGAGGCTCTTTTGTAATTGTTGTATGAGCAAGGAGAAACTCTAGATTGGGCCAGACAATCAGAATGCTAACACGAGAATATGGGCAAATATATGTTTGAAGGCCTTTAAGTAAGGGGGGGCTGAAGTTCACCTATTGAACAAGCAGAAGAGTAACTGATGTCTCTCTGTCTCTGTCTCTCTCTCATTCTTGCAACAAATTCTCTCTTCCTTCTCAGGGCCATCCAAGAAAGCATGTTCCTTCAGTCAGGGCCAGGCCTAGGCCCTGTGGAGTCTGGAGGTGGCAATGACGTGCCTGCTCCTGAGGGCAACCCAGCACTCAGCACCAATGGAAGCGGTTCCTCAGCCTTGCCTCCACCTTACCCCAGCTTTGATGAGCAGCTGCGTTTGGCCATGGAGCTGTCATCCAGGGAGCAGGAAGAACGGGAGCGCCAATGCCGTGAAGAAGATGAGGAGCTGCAACGCATCCTCCAGCTCTCTCTGACAGAGAAGTAGCATCCCAGCCTGCTAGCAAAGGGTCCCTCAGCCTTGCTCAAGCCTCACACCCACCCAGCCTAATTCTCCTTGCTGCCACTGTATTTTGGGTTGGGTTGGGTTTCCATGCTTTGCCCCCTTTCCTGTTGGGGTCAGGCTGGAGATGAGAAGACAGAACCTTCTGCATTTCCTGTGGTTCACCTGGTTCCGTCCTTTAATATTATTTCTTGTAATTTTTTTTAACCGCTTTATCCTTCATGGAGGAATTGTTTTCTACAGCACAGAGAAGGAGAGTAAGACAAAAGGGGCAGCAACTGATAGGAAAGAATGGAAAATAATCAAAGAAGATGTTTCTCTTTTTCAGATGGGCTTGTCGGCTTTTCTGAGGTTGCTAGAAGTGTGCTGTTGCAGCTTCTGTCTTTGCATGGGTTTTGGCCTCTTGGGGATTCGGGCAACGGAGGGGGTGGGAACCAGGAGCTCAATGCATTGATATTTGCAGCAAGACTGAAATCAAGACTGCAGCTTGATAAATAATATTCATTCCTGTCTTTTTTTCTCCCCTTCCTCATCATGAGCTGCTGCTCTCCCCTCCTCCGGTGTTTAATTTATTTTATTTATATCTTTGAAGATATATACTAGAAAGGGAACGGAGGTGTGTGCTTTTTTAAAATCTGAACCCAGTGGGTCTAAAGGGAAGAGCTGGGTCCACTCTTGAGCAGTTTTCTCCTGTTGTCTGGGGACCAGGCACAGGGAGCTCTGGGCAGCAGGAATACTAAATAAAAAAAAAACATGAAACCAGCATCTGCTTTTGGTAGCGTTCTTCAGTTTCAACTATCTTTAACACAGTTTGTGTGGCTCTCATACAAAGGCAAAGTGAGGCTCCATTCTTGGTACTTGTGATCATATTTAAATTACTGAACAAGCTGATTTGTTTACTCAAAAAAAAAAATCCATTTGTAGTTTGAATGATCATGTTGTGGTAGCATGTCTTAAGAAGGAATTAGTGGATGGTTCACAAAGAATTAAGGTCTGTGCAACATTTCTAGCAAGCCAAATGCTAGAGTCCGTACGTTTGATAACCTTTCATTTTTATGAGCTCAGTCAAACAACGGGAAATGATCCTATTTCTTATAGAATCAAAACTTGCAGTCAATATATTTGATTATTTTAATTTATTATATGAAATGCTTAGCATATGTGCCTTCTTAGTTTCCCATCTTCCTTTTACATACAAGGCTATGGTGATAATAGAAGCAATAAATAGCAGAATTTCCAGATCAAGGATTAGCAACACATATTGAGATTGAGAGGAGTTTTATCAAACTCCTCCCCCCCCCCCAAAATTGCATTTTCTTCCATTTAAAGCAGTCACTTATCTTGAGGCGTTGCTTTTTAGGACACACCTTAGTTTATTACATTTACTTTAGCCACACTGTTTATTGAGCAGCTTCCTTGCATTTTTCTTTCCCTGTCCCCTTAATTCAGACTACCACAATTGTACTCTGCCTTCATTGAAGGATAGTAGGCACATTTAGGAAGCAATAGGTCGAAGGCTGCCCTAGAATATGGTTCATATTTGGATTAAACATTTCTTTGCCTTAATTCCCTGTGTTTTCTCTCTCTTAAACCTCCACCCCCCGTAATTCTTTTGTCGGTTCCTCTTTCTCTGGATATTTGCTCACTCTGCATTTTTCTTTTTTGCTTCCTTGCTCTTGTCTTGATCTGCTTCTGTATTTCCTGAAGCCTTTCCCTTATCCTCTTCTTGGCTGGCATATATGACTTATTGACTCACAGAATTTGAAGTTTGTTCAAATTACTTTGTTCTGTGAATAATTGGAACTCTGAAATCTTTTTATCTGACCAGTGTTCAACTCTTGGCATCATTACTTACTACTACAGTAATACAAAACAAGATTTTGCTATTCTAATTTCCTGCCTTACATGTCCCCCCTAGTGGTCATTCACAGAAATGTAATTTGTGTGACAAAACCTTGGTGGCTATGTGATAAAAGCCTGTCAAATAGCTTTTAAAATACTTCTAATATTACTAAAATTGCAATAACCATTAATTGTGTTTATTTTATATAGCCTTTCTACTTGATTTTCCTTTGTTTAGGAAGGTTTGGAAGAGGTTCCACAGCATCTGATTTTGTTCAGATATGTGAGGTGCATATTTTGAAAAATGTATAATCCCTGGACAATCCAAGTTCTTCTCTGAAACATTAGAACTGCTAGTCATAATGCTCACTTGGTACATTAAATGGAAGGTGGCTTTATTTTGCCTCAATAATTTTAAGAGGTTAATACTGTGTTATGAGGTGTGTTGTCACTTTTTATAACTGACTGGACTGGAGGAGCAAGGAATGATTCTGAACAGAGTTCCAATATTAAGACTTACCTGAACCTGGAGATCCTATTTATTCTGACTGAAAACCGTTTGCAGATGCAGCTAGTATGTCATGCACTGTATGAAACTTTCTGCCCTCATTCCCCACTTTTTCAAGCAAGCTATGTCCAGAGAAATAGAGAAAATGCAATATTGTTACAGTGTCCTTCAAGTCAAGCTCAATTCCCAATAATTCTATGGACTATGTAGGTTTTTGGGCCATAATATAAAGGGATTTTCCTACTTCCATCTTCTGGGATGTTTTTCAATTTCCAGCCTTAGCATTTTTGCTACATTTCTGTCCAAGTTCAACCTTCTTTAGTTTTTGAGATCAGCTACGGTTGGTTAGGCATTACCATCAGGTACAGTATTTGCCCCAAATGCCCAAATCAAGTCAGAATGCAAGCCAAGTTATTTCAAAATGTTCAAGAATTGATTCATTACATTATACAAAAAAAACACCACCAATACTGTACTCCCAATAATGAGATGTGATGATCAGCTCGTGATATGCTTATCACAATAAACTAACTCTTGGAGCCTTAAAATTATTTGTTGTGGTAAATACTGTAGACCGAAACATGGGCCTGTTGTAAAGGGACAGACAAGATGACTGCCAAGAGACTTGTGAATTTCAGCATTTGACTTGTTCTTTGATCACAGCATGTCATATCAGTATCTGCTGGCGTCTCACTGGTGTTTGTGGTCAGTGATGCAATTGGGTGATTTTCAACTCTGATCATATCATATAGAGGAAGTCTCTTGATAGTGATTTATGCTCTTTTATATTAATTTGGTAAACCAGCCCTACTGCCTTTGAAGATGCTTTTACTTAATTTTCCTGATGCTCTGAGTTCTGCCCCCATGGCACCATTCTTTACAGCTCACTAGGATCTTGTGAGAAAGTCTGCTGAATTTCAGGAGGGTCCTAGTTGGCAACAGCAGCTGAATTCACTGGTCTTGCTGGCTGGAAAAAAAAGAGATGATGCTGTGTTTTTCAAACTACTCAGACTTTTTTAAAAAATCACCTGCTGAGTCATTGTAGTAGTAACATGAACAATGCAGCAAGACCTAGATGGCTATAGTTATAACAAGCCAGACTCCAGAGATTTCTCTATTTTAAGTCTGGGATAAGTGCCAGTAGTAAAATTTCAAAATCCAGGAGCAGGATAAATGCTCACACCACCACCACCACCACTTCAAGTTTAGACAGGGAACTTTTCCTTTTTTCATATTAAAGGAACAGTATAGTTTCTTCCTCAGTATCGGTTAGATAAGCCTTAGCAATTCCGCGGCGGAGGGGGGGTGGGAAGGGAGAACTCCCCTGAAAGACAGACCGGTAACAGCTAGAGCCTCTTACAAGATTGCTCGTTCTTTTCAGCTGCAAATTTTTGCCAATACTGCAATGGTTCTGGTGAGCTTTAGAAAAACCTCCCCCATCCACCCGCGGGAGATCGCGTCAAGTATATACGCCAGGTATATAGCGGAAAGGTAATCGATAGATATTCCAGATCCTCCCCTTTCAGTTAACAGTATGAAGAGTCCGGCTTTCTGTAACAGTGGCGAGACTAAGCCCTGGCCCAAGATTAGGAGAACGGGACGGCGGAGAGAGGCTTGCTTTGGGAAGCGAGTTCCCGTAGTTGCCACGGTTTGGCACCTCCTCCTCCCCCGCCGCTGGTCTTTCGCCACTCGGGCCTGTTCCTTTAAGAGCCACCCCCGAAAGGATGTACTCGGTATTGCTTTGCAGACGATATCCGTGCGCTTGTTTGTCGGAGTGGCTGGACGAAGGAGCAGAAAGTTTACGGTTGGCAGGCTCCCACCCTGGGATGAGTGAATGAGTGGCCCGCTACTCCCTCCCCCTGCAGACGGTTTGCGGCGGCGTTGCGCTGGCTCCGAGTGGCACCGTCTCACTCTCCCCCGGAGCAGAGGAAAGGCGCAGGAGTTCGTCCGCGCATGGCGCTGGTTACTGTATGTCGATCCCCATCGGGAAGTGGCCACTCGACCCCCACCGGCTGCAAGGTGAGCCCCCCAAACGACCCTTGCCTTTCACGCTGGACAGGACTCTTGAAGATGGTACAGTCCTGCATTCTGTTCTGATCCTGCGGCCGACCCTCCTTTCAGACACGCTTTCCTCTGAGGACGCTCAGCGTCCTGTCCCCGTCCCTCCTTTCTGCGATGGGCGACCGAGGATGTTTGGGCGCCTGTCCCACCTGGGCCCCTTCCCCGAATGTATTTGGCTTCCATCTGTCTTATCGCTCATTACAAACTGTGAGCAGGGTTTTGCAGAGAGTGGCCTCAGAGTTCACCATCTTGCTCGTGAAAAAAATAAAACGTGTACTTGAAGTTCCCTTAAGGGCAGTTCTCGGAAGAAGGACAGAGAAAACAAAATTTGAAGGGGAAGAGTCAGGGGAGAGATTATCAGGCGATTTTAGCAGGCCTCCCCCCCCCCCCATACTGTGCATGTAGAGAAGAAGCACACTGATGGATCTGGGAGAGGGGGAGCTTTGCCACACTCTAGGCAAAGTCTTTCCTCCTGGCTCCCCATGGGTCCACTCTCCCACTGGCAGTATGGAAGATAGATGCAATCATCCCCTTAACAGCATTGCTGTACAAGCATCCATTTTGCTTTACAAAAGCCAAAAAGTGGCAAAAGGGTGTTTTGTTGTTTTTTTTAAAAAAATATTGGCTACAGCTTCAATTTCTTTAACATTAAAATGCCATCTTAAAATGTTAAAAATAGCATTGGAAAAGATCTATGCCATCCGTGTCTATAGTATAGAATACAGAATAGAGTAGTGGAAATTATTCTGGGTGATCAGATGTATGGGGACACTCTCTGGACATGTGCTGGAGGAATAGCCTTGGCCTCTGCCTTGCACTGGGATTGCTCAGGATCAGAGGCCTCCTGAGCAATCCAGCTGCTGGAAGCCAGTTGATTTGAGCTCCAGTCCTCTTGATTTCAGGGGTCAAAACAAAAACAAGGAAGTGATTTAGCTGTAACAATACAATTTATAATATGTCCACAGATCTCTTTAGTAGTGGTTTGTTGAAAGGTGCTTCCCTTCTCTTCTTCCTAGACTGCTGCATTTCTATCCTCCCCTTGTATGGAAGTAGTTTAGGAAACCTGTCAAATTGTGGCCATTCTTTCCTCTCATTCTCATTAATATACTATTTTCTCTAATCAGTTTTCAACAGCCCAAGTTTCTGTGGGAGAAGTAGGCACTAAGAGTTGCTTGTCAGTAAGTTTCACAACATACTACTTCCTGTCAGCTCCTGGCAGACTGCAACTCAGAGACCAAGGAGTACTGCAGAATTATCTCTTGCATAATGGCCTGAAAGAGAAAGACTTTCCAGTCCATTATACCAGTGTTGGGTACAGAGCCTTAGGCTTCTTGCACCAGAGCATCTGTGCCTAAACTCACATCTCAAGCCTGGCAGTCTGTGGGATGATCTTGAGTTTCAAGTGTAATTAGACATTGTGCAAAGAACTGACAATTAAGAAGTGGCACAAATGCTGTTTGTTTGCTGTTTTTCCCTGGTGCTTAGAAATGTCACAGGAAATTGCCAACCAAATGGGAAGCACATAGATAAGATTATGCAAGAGCTGGAATTCAAGGCCAATCTAGGAATCCTGAAAAGGAAATGAGAGACAAATAAGGGAAGAGTGCCCAACTGGTCTCTGCATATCTATTTCCAAACCTTTGGAAGAATCTCTGCTGTTGTGAAACTATGGCACAGAAAGAAAGAGTATAAAACTTGGGGCCTGCCAGGGTAGTTATAGAACATTAGCCAGATGTTGGAGGTTACCTGGTGCTTGATTTGCTTTTGCTACTTACAAAACCAGGAAGGTTGTTAAATGCTAGTCTAACATTGCCTAATTGGAAGCATTTGACTTCACAGGAGCAAAAACATCTTTGGCTGGTGGAGAATAATGAGAACTAGAATAGTATCTAGGAGCATGAGCCAGAAAGTTTTTTTGTAAGAGTAATGTCACATAACTGGAATCTCATTACCTAGCCTTGGGCAAACTATTCAGCCTCTGCCTCACCATGTGCAATAGTCGTATATAGGGCTGTTGTAGACATTGCAAAAATAATACATATGCAATAGTCTCGATTTAAAGAAAGTGTTACTAGAATTCTAAAGAATAACATTTATCTGTTACATCATGCAACTTAACATATAGGTCTCATTACTTGGGAATGGGGGCACCTTGGCCTGCAATTTTATGAAAGAGCATGTGTTCCAGCCATTGATACAGAGTAAGAATTAGCAAAGCTATGAAAGCCACAATTATAAGACAATATCTTTTCTGTAAAATGAACCGTTATTTGGACCCAAAGCAAAAATTAATATAGCAGTTTTGTGCTCTGAACTGAAATTTAATCATCCTTCTTCCTTCCTTTTAATGATGGAGAGTTTCAAGATAGGAAAACAATCTTTTGAAATGTCTTATTATATTTATTTTAAAATGTGTGCTGTCTTTCAAAGAAATGGTTTCTTACTTCCAATGCATAGTTGTTTTTTCATATTGGTTCACCATAAAATGAGCTGGATTTGAAGCCTCCCATATACAAATAGCTACTTCAAATGCTCTATTTATTTAATTAAGAAAGCTTGGAAATATTCCATGGACCTGTATCATGAAAGTGTAGAACTGATTGGAAAGAGAGAAATTTGCGTTTGAGGTTTGTTCTTTTTTAAAGTAAGTTTCAAGCTCTTTTCATGACAGCATAAATTGGGAACATACTAGTGTTGCTGTGAAATAGTACAGAGAGATGCTTAGCAAGATTTCCCAAAGGGTGGCATTTGTTGCTGCCATGGCCAACATGCTTTCCTTCCTCCCTCCTTTCCCCATGCCTAGCTGAACAAGCAGAGCAAATGATCTAAGAGACAGGCCATAGATTGGGGGACCAGAGTTCTGTAATGGAAGTTCTGTGAATGTTCAGGATTCTAGATGAACAAAATTCCCAAAAGTATCTGCTTCTGCAGAGGTATTAGGAATAGGAACATTATGTCATGTCAAGTTTTCCTATGCCAAAGCCAATCGCAGAAATAGTTGCATAGTTAAACGTTTAATGAGCCATGTTTATATGTTAGTTTATGTTAGGATTTTGTCATGTCCCACATTCTAGAAAGATCAAGAGACTTATTAAAGTTTTAAGTGAAAGTCAACCTCTTGTGATTCCTGTGGTTATTGAATTAGAATTCAGAGCTTCTGTTTATATGCCACAGTTTCTGAAAAGTTTTGGGAGAAGGGACCAAGTGAAGGCTATTGATGTTAGATGTGAAAAGGCAGCACTTCTTTTAATAGCAAGCATTGTAATCTGGAGAGAAATGCTAATCAACATGGAAATCCCTTGCAGGATGAAGATGTTCCCAGGAGAAGACAATTGCAGCGACGGTAAGTACTGTCGTCATTGTTCCTAATATTCTTTATATAATCATTTTTTAAAAGATTATAGATTAACTAAAGGTCCTCCAGGCCCTGCCCTTGAAAATTTTCATACTTTTTTTAATCATACAAATTTAACTGCTGCCTCCACCAGCAACAGTTGAACATGCTAGAAAAAAAACAAAACACACATACTCCTAGAAGATGGAGATAGACAGGTTCTTTTTGAAACTTTAAAGAAATGGTTTCAATTCTTAAGCTGCATAGTGAAGAAATGGAGAAATAAGCATATACTGTATGAATGTTCCTGAAATGCTTGTTTAGGAGCTGAGTAATTTGCTATTCTTTGTCAGGAGTATACCAGCACTAAAAAAAGAAAGATTGGAAGAATGTGCAACCATCTGAGATTTTTTTAAAAATAGAACAGATTGTTTCAAATTGCTGTGGAAAGGGTATATCCAATTTGCTAAAGACAAATACCATTCATGGAATTAAAAGTCCGAATTCTGATCATAAGCATATTGGAGCCAGAATCATATTTGTTCTAATCAGGAATGCAACATTGTGATAGGCCTCCCCATTCTTTTGGATTGATGATCAGTTGTATATTTGAGAGCATATAATGGACACTTTGACAAAATGGCTGCTAGGGACATGCTTGCCAATTCATAAAATGGCTGCCATGGAGTACATAACCAGGTATCTATTGGTTGGTTGGTTGATTAAATGTACAAAATACTCATTTATCAGAACTCTATCTGCCATCTCTACTTCTTACCCTCTAATGCTATGTACCTTCCCTTGTCTCTTTTTCAGGTTAGATAACACACTGCCAAAGAGAGACTGGGTACCAATCACCCACATTATTTCTAAAATATTTATGGAGCCAAGAAGTTTTTGGATATAAAAATAATGCTGGAGATTAATGCCTTGAATGTAGTTTGCTTGCTCCCTTGCCTTTCTTCTTTGTAATAAAATTAGGTTTTAAAAGATTTTTATACAAGATGTTGTGAAGAAAGAGGGTTTTATAGGAAGGTTGTTTCTCATAAGATCCATACTGAAGATTTATCTCATAGGGAAAATTCTTCATTTTGTGCTGCAGAAGTGTGATAGTTGCATATTGATTACTGAAACATATACTATGAAAAAAAACTCTTAGAGACAAGTATAGAAAGTAGGATAAAATATCCTCCCAATTTATATATATGGAAATATATATTCAATTTCTAACAGTGTCAGAGAAAGATCCCTAATCAAAATAGAATGAAATTATCCCTCCCGCTCTGAAGCAATATTTATTATTTTTCAAATAGACTATTTTTCTTGTAGGAGTTGATCAGTGAAAAAATGAAACCATTTAGACTAATGTTGCTTCTTTATTCTAAATCTACATTTCCAAATAGCTCTGCTTTTAAAAAGATGTAGAGGTATAGTTGCCCACGTTCCTGTGTGTCACTGTAGGAAGCCCTTTAATCCTTTTCCTTTATTTGTCTTTCCCCACACACTTTTATAGAAATATAAATGCCCCAAAAGTGAGGGTGGTTTGTACCATAACCCCTTGGATAACTTTAAGAAATGTCAAATAATACAATCTAAAACTAAACAATACATAGGTATTTAATATGGCTCCTTCAGTCTTCATCATTATGTTTGGACTTTTTAATATATTCCTTAGAGGGAAAACGATTTGTTTTTGTTTTGGATTTATTTTAATGTCAAAACTAACTGTTGTTTTAAATTCTCATTCATGGAGGTTAATGTTTCAAGCCAGCAGAGTTTTTATTCATTTTCCTCTGTACAAAATAGCTGACTGATTACAGGCAGCCTTTGACTTATTATTACAATTGGCACAAGTATTTTGGTTGCTAAATGAAGCAGTCATTAAATGAGGCATCATGTAACTACTTTGCTTAGTGACCAAAATCCTGGCATTCCTGGCAGCCATTGTTAAGTGAGAATGGCAGGTTGTTAAGCAGATGGAGTCCAAGGGAAGGAGTGCCAGGGTGTCTTGGGGAGGTCAAGCACAGGTTGTGCATGAATTGGGGGTGCTACGCCATGGTGCAAGTGCAGGGAGGACAGGGAAAGAAGCCACAGCCATCCCTGGGAGCATTAGCTGCTGCAGCCTGGTCCAGCAGCATAGTGAAAAATGGGCCACACCCCAGGAAATGTTAAACACCTGAAAAGCAGCCTCCCACCCACTCCAGCACCAAATGCCTGAGAAGCCTCCACAGTGCAGCAAAACGGTGCTATGCCAGGGGAGCACCAAACACCCAAGAAGTTCTAATAACATAGTACAAGGCAGCTCCCCCCCCCCCGAAGTCTCAGAAAGCCCCAGTTCAGTCGCCCTCACTGCCCTGTACTCTGCCATGCCAGCCGACCTTCACCATTTTGTTTGTTCCCCTGCTGACAAGACATGTTCAGCTTGGTCCTTTGTGATACGCTATTGGCTGTGCCAGGCCTTCCTTCCTTCCTTCCTTCCTTCCTTCCTTCCTTCCTTCCTTCCTTCCTTCCTTCCTTCCCTTCCCTTCCCTTCCTTTACTTACTTACTTACTTACTTACTTACTTATTTTTCACATTTCTAAACTTCCCTTCTCCCTGAAAGCCCCACTCTCCCCATTCTCCAACTAGGGCATGGCCTAAGCAGGTCTTTCAACATGAGCCTCTTTTTTCCCACCTTTTCTTCTTCAGCCACAGCTTTGTCATGGTCAAGGGAGCTGCTCTACTCCTGCCAGAAGAAGACAAGTTGGAAGCAGTCCAGGAGGGTCCAGCAACCCCTCTTGACCAAACACATAAAAGTGAAGATGCTATACCTGGGCAGCAAGAACTGCACTTACAGCAAATGGTGGGGCTGCTCCGGCCAGAAGACACTATCCAGCTGGTAAGATTGCTAATAACTGGAAGAAGGGATACAAACAACTAGACAAAAGATAGAGACAGGAAAGGCATTGCTACTTGAGTCTCAAGAAGCCAGAAGTCTAGGCAGTATGTCTCCCCACATTTCTTTCTACAACTTCATACTCCAGCGACGTTTCTGATTCCAATTCTGCATTTTGCTGTCTGATTAGTAAAGATCTGGAATTCTTGTCAGACCAGATCACTTTGCCAATGAAATTAAACTAGGAAGCCAATAAGGTCTTCCCTGACCTATCTTGTTTAAGGAACAAAGAGGTTCTTTCCCTACTGAGCCTCCTTCAATACCCAGGATGCTCAGCTTTTCTCTGTGACATAGCAAGGAACATTTCCCCAATTTTTAACATGATAGCTAATACAGCAATTAGTAATGGAAGAAGCGACTTTGTTCTGTGGAAGCATTTTTTGTTTTTTATAAAAGATTAGTGGTTTACCACTGGTCTGCTTTTCCGTAATGCAATAAAACCTGCGTCTGAACCATTATCACTCAAATTGCAGGTGAGATTTCATATACTGTAGCTAAATGCACCTCCAGGGTGGCTAGAATTAACTCCATTTAGAAAAATGCAGAAGAATTTTGTTCTCATGTTCTCTGTTTTGCTCTCTCCCCCCCCCCATTCAATCATGTAAGTTGCCTCCTGCAAATTGCAGGAGACACAAGTTTATTCCCTCAAGAGAAATTCTGGAGAACCCAGATTGTTTCCCAGGCTGATTCAGATTTTCCAAGTTGCTTCCTTCTTCATATTACTACTTGTTCATGACCTGAAATAGCCTGATTTTTCCTATCTCCTGTTGTGATACAAAACCAAAACTGATGCTACTTGGCAGTCTTGTGAGAAATGAACTCAGCCCTGTCCACCTTCTGGGACTCTCTCGTCAGGCCCTCATTGTCCTTCGGGTGGGGTGGGGAAGAATTCCTCCCCTTTAGGAATTTGTATTTCAGACATTCAGCCAGGAGCTCAGCCACTTCCCCATTTATGGCCTGTGGGGCTCTTCGTCTCTCCGGCGGGCAGCCAGAGCTGGCGTCTCTGCTGAACCTGATCCAAGTTTTGTCTCTGAGGCCTCTGCTGGGAGATTTCCAGATGGGCTTAAATAACTTTTTTTTTCTTTCTTCCTAGAGAATGAGTCATAGCAGCCTCCAAGCATCTGGAACAATTTCTTTCAGGCAATGCTATCAAGTTGTGTTCTGACTCCTTTTGAAAGCTTGCCAAGGGTTATTCAGTTAGAAAAAAAAGTTATAGTGGACACATCACTCTGAACATCGGTTGATTTTGTATTGTGGATTTCCTCTTGCCAAGTGAAAAATGAGTCAAAATGTGAATGAACATCTGTTGGGGGTCCTTTCGGTTCAAGAGCTCCAAAGCTTTTGTCCAGTGCTTCCATATCTAGCTTAAGAGTCTTTGCCAAGCTGCTGGTTTCCCATGTCATCTGATAGCGTGGACCCTGTGACCAAAGGGTTTGTAAAATCTAGGCTGGAATCACACTTCATACTAACTTGGTAGTGATTCCTCAAAGGGGACTTAAAAATATTCATTTCGTGTTTGTTTTCTGAAGATGCAGATATTTGGGGGGCCATTTCATCCCCTAAGATTTCTGACACTGTCCCCAAATAGACCTTGGCCCTATCCATTTTTGATGTGTGACTAGGAGCAACTGCAGAGTGTGATTGTCGCCTGATTATCAGTATTTGCACAAGATATCAATAGTCAGACTGGAGAGAAAAGTATAACATACAGTAATAAATATTATTTAAAAGTTAAATAATATTTCTAAGGAATTGATAGAATTCACCTTTCCTTGTCTGTATGACAGTGGCGAACCTATGGTACGCGTGCCAGAGGTGGCACTCGGAGCCCTCTCTGTGGGCACACGTGCCGCCGCTGCCAGCAGCTTACGCAGGTCCATTAGGCTGCTGCTGCCGCCTGGGGCAGAAGCTGCACCCAGCACAAAGGAGGTGAAGCAGCCAGCTAGCGAGCTTGAGTAGAGATGGTAGAACATGCCCACACCCAGCAAGCCAAAGGCCACCATGAGCAGGGAAAATCGGATCCCCATCGACACCACGGCCCCCCAGTTCCAGCTAGGATTGCATGTCTCCCCATCTATGCTGGGCCTCCTGCCCACCACCCCACCCGCCAGAGACCCCCTGGATCTCCCCCATCCCTGCCTGGCCCCCACAGGCGCCCCCCCTCCATGAGCAGCATCGATGTGGCCACGCCCACCCCAGCCACACCCACCCAGTGGGCCACACTTCCATGGCCCTCCTGAGGGCACCACAATGCCCTGGCACTTTGCGATAAAAAAGTGGATTTTGGGTTGTGGTTTGGGCACTCGGCCTCTAAAAGGTTCGCCATCACTGCTGTATGAGATTAATAATTAAAACAAGCCTTTACTATACTAATCATATTAAATGCCTTGCAGATATTCAGCATTTTAGAAGCTTAGCCACAGAAGGCTATTAAGGAATCACTCAAATGGGGGTAAAATATTAAAACTAGCTTGTTCACGCACTTTAATCAGTATAATGTATTGTGTGAATGTACTTTAAAATTCCAAGCCTCTTAACTTAAAAAAGAAACAAAATTTCTTAAAGATGAAAACTAAGGTGAATTGCAAACTTCAGTTCTGTACCATAATCTGACTTTTTAAATTTAAATCTTGATATAGTATGATTTTACCAGGTAAGAGTTATACTTTTTGGAAATGAGTTTATAAACAACAAATGCAATACAAAGCTCACTTCAGCTTACTTGCAAACATGCTTCTTTTTTTAGATATATTTTTTTTAAGTTCTCAAAACTGCTTCTTTTCTGACTGGAAATTGAGCCAATAGCCGTCAAGAAGGAATGAGGTTCTTCTTTTCTTCTAGGACTAGCTAGATTCTATACATATGTGTTGCTAACCATGATTTAGCATAAATCACATTAGTTTTAATGTAAGCATTAACATGAAGTGTGATCAAGACTCAGGGCTCCTAGTAGCTTCCTTTTGCTTCTGAACAAAATCTTTCTCCTGGATCTATAGGCAGCACCACATATTTTCTTGGTGGACATTATATTGATGTACATATGTAAGTGACCAGAAGACAAACATGCAAGACTAGTGTGTTTTCTTCCTTGCAGGCTGTGAGACTGGAGTCAGCGCGAGCTCATAGAATCCGATACTTGGTGGTGGTCTCAGCCACAGAGAGGGAGAGCAAGAACGAGATGGTGCTTTTAGGGGTAGACTTCCCTGATGAAAGGTGAGGTGGCAAGGGTGTGGTGGTACCAGGAACATGAGAGGGGTTGTACTGAGAAATAGGTTCTCACATCCTAGTAACACACACCACACTTTAGTTTCGTCTCAGCATGTGGATGAACCATGATTTATAAACCTTAATTCTGGGATTTCATCCATTCTGGTTTTCTCAGTGAACGTTGGCTAATGCAGTGGATTAACTCAGCTCCACCTGCAACTGAGGCTGCAGTTTTATCTGCCTTGGGAATCCATTGGTTGATCTCTCACTAATCTGAGGTCCTCTTATCAATTTTTCAGTAATGACTGGTAACGACAGAAAATGTTCTGGAAAGCAAAATGTATTTGACCCTATTAACCAGACCCGCATACCTAAATTACTCTGCAAGTTAACTTTTTGATTTGTTAGAATGAACTGGGAGTCGGATGTTCTTGCTTGTCTACTTCCAGTCAACCCATTTATTCCAATTTAGCATGTTATCCTGTCATGCCACAGTACCACTTTCTAAATAATGATTTGTGGAAAAATGGAAGAAAAGAGAGTATTAATTCTTGAGTGTTTACTTTAAATCATATTCAAAAGCAAAATTTAACAATGTGGATTGATAAATAGAACATAACCTAAATGGCTGCAAAGTACTTTACTTGGGCTGCCACGGAAACCTATGCAGAAAACTAAAATGCAATTGATATAAAACGAAGTGGCCTGTATGCTGGGAAGTGAAACCATTGTGGCCATAGAACACCATGGTATTTTTTTAAAGGACTACATGACTTCTAGATATCTCTAGAATCAGGTCTTCAATCTACAACTGATCTAGCCTGACTGCACATTCCAAGGATGGATATTCAAAGCCCTCTAAGTACAGGAGGTTGTTGAGGGGAAACCTGGAGGTAAGGTTTCTCTGTTGCAGACCCTATTTTCTGGAGTACCCTCTCCTAGGGTTCAATTGGCAGCCACCTGATGTAATTTAGGAACATTATCATTCCACAGGGACTTCAATAGGTCATTGTAATTATCACCATTGTGAAGGGGTGCCAGAGGGTAATTATTGTAATGCAGTTTAATTCTTTTACTGAACTTGCATTTTACTGTTTTGGGTAAACAGCTAGGAGTCATACTTGGAATTTGGTGCTATTATTAGAAGTAAACAAATGCATCTGTGGTCCTGTTCATAATCCCTTTGTTCTCTTCATAAACGTAAAAACCTTCATTAAAACTGCCTTAGTTTTGCAGCTGTTCTTTACCTCATGCATTTGTAACCTGCTATATATATTTTATTCCCTGGTCAAACCAGTTTGGCAGTTCGTAGAGATTTTTTTTTTCTCTTTCTCTCTACTGTTTTTCCAAAGTGAGTTCTCCCAGAACTTTCATTTATGACTTCAGGTGGAAACAAGTGAAGTTTGCCACAGCAGAATTTAAAATCAAGAAGCAAAATAAAAATGTTTTGTGTTTTCTTCTTAGTCACCACAAATATTTCCTGCCTGCATAATAAAATATAGTCTCTCTGCTATGAAACATCTGTTTGACTGAAAAATTGCTGATAATATATTTATTTTTACAGTATTTATCAAATGATTGCAAGTTTAGGAAAGGACACAGATAAGAGCCAAAGAAACTAGTCTCCAAAGCAAACACGCCGTATAATGCTTGTTTAGAGCAGGGGTGTCAAACTGCTGACCTTCGGGCTGGATGCGTCACGCTGAAACCACGCCTACCCCATTATCGGCAATGGGGAAAAAGTCACGATACATCGCGACACGTCATGTGACGTTGCGAGTTTGACACCCCTGTTTTAGAGGCTCTCTAATTCTTTCTCTCTCTCTTTCTCAATCAGCTTGGCTACCTGCACACTGGGTATGGTGCTTCCACTTTGGAGTGACACACAGGTTTTCCTTGATGGCGATGGGTAAGATCACTCATATTCCTTTTTACTGTTCCATATATTGCAGTTTTTGGTTTATTTTAAGCTATCACAGGAGTGTCAAATTGCCAGCCTGTGGTCTGGATGCATCATGCAATGGGGGAAAAGTTGCGATGCATCACCTGACGTTGCGAGTTTGACACCCCTATTCTATTAGGAGCTTGCTTTGCATACATAAATAGACTGGGACAATGAAAAATCATACTAAGTGTGTCTGGTTTTATTTTTATGTCACAAGTGTTCACATGGAATAAATAGGCGATGTCCTCTCTACTTTTACAAATAGAAGTGGCATAAAGTATATTCTAAACCACTAGGAGATTTCATTTGCTTCTAGGTTAGATCCTTCCCTTTTTATCTTATGGAACTAACCATTTCTGTACTGTATTCTCTTCCATCTGCTCCTTTTTTAAAGATCCTTCCCTTCTGCTGCAAGTCACAATAACATCCCCTCCAAAAAACTGATGAAATGTGATGTTATAACGCAATGGCCTTTTGTTCTTACATCATGAACACCGGAAGCAAGTATAAAAGTTAACGTAGCTTGTATTTTAATATTACAGGGCAAGTTATCTCATTTTCTCTGCCCCCCCCCCCAAACAACTGTATCTTTCCAGAAGCTACTTCTGCTATACCCGCATTTTATTATATTTGTTACCATTCTCAAAACAGCAACATATCACAATCATTATGCATGGCCCTTTTAAAAAATAAAATTTTAAAAAGCTCCTGCCCAAATAGATTTACAGCTTAAAATTTAATATAGTAGTAGCCATGAGAATATATAAACCACAATAACATAAACGGAGGAAGAATATGTGAGTGTGGCGGGATTAAAAGCAGCAGATTTCTTTAATTGTTTTACATGGCCACTCATCTCATATACATGACTCTGGGTAGCTGACAATATCTAAAACAATAAAAATGATATAATGAAATAAATAACATAAAGAGCAATCAAGAAAAAAAAACCCACACCAGCACTAATTATAATTATAACAGTTAACACAACCAAGAAATGACTTACCCAGTCTGCCAGGGTTCCAGGTTCAATGACAAAACCAAGCCCTTTAAGTCAGGAGTCTTCAAACCTGGCCCTTTTATGACTTGTGGACTTCAACTCCCAGAATTCTTCAGCCAGCGTGCTTGGCTAAGGAATTCTGGGAGTTGAAGTCTACAAGTCATAAAAGGGCCAGGTTTGAAGACCTCTGCTTTAAGTCCTTGCAAAAGGTTAGCAGGATCGTGTGAATCTGATTTCTAGGGGGATGATGTTCTAACAATTAGGCCCCACAACAGAAAAGGCTCTTGTTCTGTAAATCTTGCAAGGTAGTCCAGACAAGAAATACAATCAGTACTACTAACTCTAGCTTTGTTGTAAGGTTTAACAGAACCTTGCAAAACTGAAAGTATTTCTCTCCTCCTTTTCTCCAGAAAACTAGGGAGGGTCCCTCATCAAAGGCTTCCTGTGGCCTCTCCTCTCCTTCTGTGAACTGAGATATCTTTTACATGCTGGTTGCTTTCTCTCCTGTCTCCCAAGGTCAATCCCTCATACTATTACACTTCCAGGGTCCAGCTAGATAGCACTTTCTAATGGAGGGGGCATACTTCTCTTGCCAGATCTAATGGGACAGGTTGATACAACTGGGAGAAATGATCCCACCACTCATGCAATAGGTAGGAGAGCTTGAAATCATAGAATGTCCTTTTCAAAATTCTAGGTCCAGAAATATTGATCTGTTCATAACTTTTTAGAAAGCCATCCCTCCCACGTTCAGAGAAGTGATTGGTGGCAATGCAAAGAAGAGGGAGAGAACAGAACAGCAGGGAACCCATCACTTGCTTTCCTAAAACTTTCCCACGTTCAGCTGTGTCCAGGAAGCAGCCTTACTGCCAAGACACAGTAAAAGAACCTCATGGAGACAGTGCTTTCAATATTTTCCTTCCCCATTGGAGTAGCTTTGTGAATGAACACTCTCACTTTATGCCCCAATACAAAGTTGTGTGCTCACCTGTTCTTGCCACATCCCAATATAATTCCATTAATTTAATCTTGGTTGCTTGCTTCTATAAAATCCTTTATAGTTAAAAAGATTTTATATATATAAACCAAGATTCTCTAGGATTATTCTTGAGTTATTTATCCTTAGCACTCATGTGTCACTCTTCAAAACCAGATTTTCCAAACTGGCCTATAGAACAACTACACAATTTAGAGAGCAGGGGAGGTAGGAGCGACATAATAACTTTAACTGGTAGAATCTATTTGTAGAAATCATGGATTAATACTGTTACTATTCCAAAAAGCAGACATAGCCCAGTTTAATTTTCTCTGTGTTGGGGGAAATGTCCATTTTTTTAAAGCTAAAAATGAAGTCTAATATTCTGGGATATTTCAAGCCAGTTATGCAACTGTCCAAACTCTTGTATTCTTCTTTACAACATTCCAGATATCTGCCTTCTTCCTGGAGTACACAGTTACTTAAAAGTTGACTCTCCCATTCTTTCTTAGGGGCTTCAGTGTGACATCTGGGGGACAAACACGGATCTTTAAGCCTATCTCTGTCCAGACAATGTGGTGAGTAAGGCTCTTGATTGGATGAATAATGTTTAAGATATTCATAGAAGGCAATAAATGAATATTGGGAAAGATACTGAAACTATTATTGCTGCTGTGAAGAAAAGAAAGATCTATTTCATTTTTCTAATGGCAGCAGTAGCTTAAAATGTAAAAGGAAAATTTGGAGTTCTGTTAGCTGTCAATCATATTTATTTAAATTTTAAAAAATTAAGGTTATTTTATGGTGCTTATACCGCATTGCAAATATATTCAGTTGCCCTATAGTCAATAACTGTATCTGAAAAATGAAATGGATGGTAACTGCTACAAGTTATGGTGGCTCTTGGATGTGATCTCTCCTTCCCTGAACACTTTTAAATATGACTTAATATTCTCAGGTTCTAATTGCTCTCTCTGCTCTCAGGTCAGCACTGCAAGTGCTGCACAAAGCATGCAGCGAAGCAGTCTCCAACAACTATTTTCCTGGAGGGGGTGTATTGACCTGGACCGAGTGGTATCAGAAGGCTGTGAATTCTGACCAGAGCTGCATTAATGAGTGGCTAGCCATGTCTGACCTGGAATCTGTGCGACCCACGTCTCCCTCCATCTTCTCAGACCAGTCAGTGATGCCTCCTTTCCCCCTGGAGTTAATTGTAGGCTTTCAGTGGATTTGTGAGGGTTCCTAGAAGGATTTCACACAGTACGCTAATCCCAAGCCCAGGCAACTTTTGGACAGCCATTCTAGTCAGCCTAGTGTGTTACCATGCCCCATTCTTGAGTCTTGCCTCTGAAGACCAGCCCAATAACCTAGACTGGAAGATTCCAGTGGGGGTGGGAGATGTTATTCAAATCCCATTATTAATCCTGTGGCATTTTTTTTAGGTCTAAAGGAATAAATTGCTATAAGGAAATGTTAAGGCTCAAGATAATATTAGACTTATATCCCTGCAGCTGAGGGGTAGGGGAACAGGTATCTATGTGGGAAACCTGAAGTGATGGTGTTGGGAACAGAGTCGGTGGGCCGAGAGCTTTGCCGACCCTCCATCTCTGTGCCTCAGGCCGACAGCACAGGACGTGACAGAGCGGATGATCCGGGCCAAGCTGCGTGAGGTGATGGGCACCACTGACCTGGAGAGCATCACCTCCAAGGAGGTGGGATGTTGGGACCAGAGGACCTTGGAATAGGAGGTGATGGGGGTGTGGGGGAAAACAGGAATGACAAAGTATGTGAATAGATGGGACTATGAGCACAAGAAATATGAAAATGTTTAATAGGAAGAAAAAAGATTGGGGAAGATTGGGGAGTATCTGGGAAGTCAGAATCTGTATGACAGGATAGTGAGTAGGGGGATGTGATTAGGAAAAAGGACAAGTGGAAGATAACATCAGTCATCTTCTTCCACAGATTCGTACAGAACTGGAGCAGCGGGTTGGCTGTAGTCTGAAAAATTACAAGGAGTTTATTGACAACGAAATGTTACTTATCATGGCACAGATGGATAGGCCTTCTAAGATCTTTGACTACCTCTATTTGGTAAGAAAAAACAAGAGGAAAACCCTGATGTCAGCCTTCTAGTGGTCAAGGATCCCAAGGATTACAATTGGTGCCTCTCAGTTGGTGATATGTAGGGCATAAGGAACAGCCTTGAAGGACTGGAGGAAAATCAGCTACCAGGGTAATGACTAGACAAGCACAGATTAACTCCATTCTGAGAAACTAATCTAAGTAAATATCTCAGGCCCCTCTCTAATTTACATGAAGATAAAGTGAGGGAGGACAGGATCACATTCAAACTTTCAAGATTCTATAGCTATTCCAATAAAAGTAGTCTTAGACATATATGACATTGGTTTCTTTTTCTGTACTACCGTACAGGACTGATAGGTATCTTACTGGCACCTAATAGCATTACTCCCCAAGGAAGCAATATCTTCTAGTGGCCCCCAACCTTTTTTGCTCCAGGGACCGGTTCTGTGGAGAGAGGTTTTCCACGGACTACAGGGCGCATGGTTTTGTGTACTGCCTCCATCTTGCATGTGCACGGATAGGGCTTTGCTCGTTTGCATGGCCCAGTTTCTGGCTCACCACAGGGCAGTGCCAGTCAGCGGCCTGGGAGTTGGGGACAGGCCTCTGTTAAAAGTATCATAGAAATCAGCCATCCCAACTGAACTCCAGTTCCCAAAACTCCAGTTAACATGGCTAATGTTTGATTTGGAATTCGGAAAATCTAGTAATTTTGGAATGGGCCTCATTGGGGAGTTCGTCACATACAAACTGCGAAGGAAGGAAGGAAGAAAACCCAACCAGTTTTCAAACCACACTCACAGACAGCCTCCTGAAGCAGCCCCTTCTTCGTCCAAGCCAGCAGGAAGGACAGAAGAAAACCCATCCAGCTACCAGCTGTAAGTGAGAAGAAGCAGGGGCCACTTCAGGAGGCTGCCTTTGGGTGTGATTTCTGTACAAAGGGCTGGAGCACTGCACTCAGCCCGCTGAAGAAACCTGGGCCGCAGCTCTGCGAGTTCCTGTGTGGAAGAAAGCGAATCACTGCCTATCTTTTTTTTTTTTTAATAAATCTGGTGAAACACCTTTGCCCTATCTGTCCCTCTGTCCCTGTATTGTTTAGGCCTGGATTTCTAAGAGGTGAGGCTGGTGTCAGGGTGTGGGAGGCCTGGCTGCGGGCACCCTGAGGTAAGCAGGTGTGGGGCACATGGAGCAGCTCCATCCCCTCCCCCATTGCCTCGCATCACCTCATGCAACCAGACAGTGGGGCAGAGTAGGCGGGGTCTTCCTAGGGCTTATTTTTGGGTAGGGCTTATATTAGGCACACTCGTAAAAAGCTAGGGCTTATTTTCAGGATAGGTCTTTTTGGGGGGAAACAGTACTTGGTATTACTAACATTTAGTCCAGTGGCTATGTAGACATTTGTGGTAGCATAAATAGCACAATTTCTTCCTCCTGAAGATTAATGTCCTTTGGGGGTGAAATCGAAGCAAATCTTATGTCTGCCCTGAGCCTTGAAATAACAAGCTTCCCTCTGCCCCTAAACATGACTAGCTGAATTCTACATGATCTGTCCTCTGCTATTTGCTGTAGCAGAACTGAAGACTGTAATACCGTATATGCCGATGTATAAGGCGACTTCCGCAAGCACTAAAATCGGCGCCAAAGACGGGGGTCGTCTTATACACCAAGTCGTCTTATACGCTGGAAATACTGGTAGTTTCCGGCATATAAGACGACGTTCTAGGAATGCGGCTCGGCGACAAAGATGGGGGTCGTCTTATACGCCGGGTTGCCCTGTACGCCAGAATATATGGTAAGTAGGGAAATAGGACAATACAGTTTTTTTAATAATGTGAATGCTATGGTAGATTCTGATCTTGAAGGAGATTCAGATCCTCACCCCAGAATAGTGTCTTCAACAATTCCACACAGACTTAGCAAAAGTCTGAACAGATCTCGTACCTTAATTAGCTGAGGGATTAGCTGAGTGCTAAAAATGAAAGATACCCCATTTCTGACACTATGTACTGTTCTCTTTAATGTCATTAAATGAAGCTCAGATATAATACTGTATTCTGTTGAGTGGGCTGCCGAAGGTTTGACAGAAAAAGGGAAAAATTGGGACCTGTTTGATCTACAGTGGAGTTGCCTCTGGGGAAATTGGAAACTGCTTCATTTAGGAAAAAGCTGGATATGATTATCTTACTCTGTATACCCTGGTGAACTCAATGGTGCTCTGTTCTGAGAATATATACTTAGAATTGCTTTGGTAGATGTATACTTATTTCAGGAAGTCACATAACGTATGGATGAGGCCTGTGCATGCTTCAGAAATGACCAGTAGAGTTACTTTGGAACATATGGGAGTAGAGTGCAGAATCATTTTAAAGCAGTTGTGTCTTTCAGATTTCTACATTAATCTGAAAAAAATGCAAAATACATGTAAAAATTGATGTATTAAAACAACTGTACCTTTAGTGTTTTTTTTTTAAGAAATAAGTTTTCAGGCTTGTATGAAATCTGAAAAAAGATACCTCTGCTTTAAAAAGGTGCTTTCTGAATCATTTTTAAATATGCACACACATATATGCGCGCGCACACACACACACCTCAACAAAATGGCAATTGCAAATGGCATTCATACATTTTGGGTGGATGATTGGTGAATAAGTGATCTCCAAAATGCAGCAAATTATTCCCTGCACATTTAAATAGAACTTAAAGGGGCTTTGTGACACTTTTTAACCTATATTTTCTCATATAGAATAGCATGAAAAAGTGTACTTTCTTCTATCCTGAAATGTACAGAGTAGGAGGGCTTGTAGCACTGACTTTGCTTAATGTATAGTTAGGTTCTGAATGTACCGCTACAAGAAGTCCATAATGCACATAAATTTGTTAACAGTTTACAGAAAATGTGAGTGAGTTGTGTGCCTTGTATTGTTCTGCCAGGGCTCTGAATGGAATGCAGCCAACCTTGAGGAGCTCCAAAAAAACAGGTTTGTAATCTTTTTAAGTTGTTGCTCAGAGAACAATGCTAGAAGTTCATCCATGGACTTTGAGATAGCTATTTACCATGCCTCAGGTCAGACTTGTTGGAAGTACTTTCAACTTTTGGTTTAAGTTCCATCCTGAGACACCAAGTAATTGCAGGAGGAAAATTTAGGACAGAGGATAAGGCTGGGTAAATTGAGATAGAAAACACTGCTAAAATTAGGTAGATAGCAGTGGTTAACAGTCTCCTTAGGAGAGTGGATTGGGAAAGCTCACTTGATTTCTTGCGTATCTTTAGAGTCAGCCATATCCTCAATGTGACTCGTGAGATTGACAACTTCTTTCCAGAGCATTTCACTTACATGAATGTGCGTCTCTATGATGAAGAGGCCTCACAACTACTGCCATACTGGAAGGAGACCCACAGTTTCATTTCAGATGTTCGGTGAGAATTGAGCATCAAGATAATTGTCATACACAAACATGATTGAACTAGCATGTATTGTAAAGAGTTTAATTTTGCCCTAGTCCAGTTAATAACACTCTGTACACAGAAGCAGGCTTTAGTGTTTGTATGGAATGATTCAATTACCGTACTTTCCGGCGTATAAGATGACTTTCGCAAGCGGTAAAATCGGCGCTGAAGTCGGGGGTCGTCTTATACGCCGAGTCGTTTTATACGCCGGAAATTACGTAGTTTCCGGCGTATAAGATGACTTTCTGGGCATGCGACTCAGCACCGAAGACGGGGGTTGTCTTATACGCCGGGTCGTCTTATATGCCGGAATATACGGTAAGAAAGAGTTTCATAAGAAACATCTCCTGTGAAATGCTATGTATGCATATATTGCATTTCAGTAACTATTTAAAAGGATCTACAAAACTGGAAAGAATTTCTCCTTTTGCCTCTTTATTCACTCTTCTCTTTGACAGAGGCTGAGCACATCTCCCTGTTTTATTCAGAACTGATGTGGGCAAAGAGCTAGTTGTGGATCTCTGAGTCCAGTTTTGCAGAGACAGTTTTTGACACAAACCACAAGGAATTATGTATGAGATCAAGAGATAGATAATCCTTGCCTAATTTGTCAGAGCCACTAGTTTAAAAAACAAGGATTCCTGACTCAAGTTCACCATCCTTGGTGGGAACAATCTCTGGAATAACCAGATTCCTTTCCAAAGCTATACTAAGCATTATGTATTTCTGAGGTCATTATCATAATATAATTATCTGTGCCTAAGAGAGTCAACCAAGAACCTGAAAGTCCTTATCTGTTCTGGATGTTGTGGCAACTCTGCTTATGCTCATGACTCTCCCTCACAGGACCCAAGGCTCTCGGGTATTGGTGCACTGCAAAATGGGAGTGAGCCGGTCTGGCTCCACAGTGATTGCCTATGCCATGAAGGAATATGGTTGGTCATTGGAACGGGCTCTTGGTCATGTGCGAGAACGGCGACCAATTGTTCACCCCAATCCAGGCTTCATGAGACAGCTGGAACTTTACCAGGGCATGCTGGATGCCAGGTAATTGGAAGGGAAGAGGACATTATTGATGGGCTGGTACATATATAAAGGACAAAGGATGTGGAACGATATCCAGTTGCCTGATCCAATCTTTCTAGTAAAATCAGTTCTCCTGTCTTGTACCATTTTAAAGGCAAATCTGCAAAATGGTAGCCTTTGGAAATGAAAAATTTGCCTGAATAGGACTTTACAAATAGGGTGCTAATTATTCTGTTCCCTCCCATGTGTATGGATTTTGAGGAAATTTCATTGGGGAGAAGCTAAAAAAGGTACTTTTGGAAGGAGCAATCAAGCAGTGGCAAATTTATTTTACAGTTATTTCCTGTGATTTTATTATAGGTTCATATATTATTTAGCTCTTTATGAAAGATAGTAAGGGATTCCTTACTCACCTGCCATTGTCAATCTGCTACACACAAGAAGGAACCCTATTACTCTTTTATATCAATTCTCTTTGTATGAAGCTGCTTTAGTAAGTTTAATATTTCTATCCCAAAGCTTTTGCCAATCTTCTAAGTCTATAGAATATCCCCCCCAAAATTGCCCACACTATCATTGTTTCTTTTACTTGTTCTTCTTCCATCTTCCAGTTAAAAGAAATTTATAAAATTTCTTAATCAGGTTTTCATCTGTTTTCAAAAGTATTTTGTCACATTGTATCTGTTCTTTGTAAAATCCCATTGGTTTTACATCTTTTTCATATCTTGTTTGAATTTGCAAATAAGACCCATGTTAAATCGATCCCTTGTTGTTGAAGATCTTGCCTGTCTTTAAGTTTTCCGTCCTTGTCCAAAATGTCTTTATAAGTAACAAGTTTGTCATAGTTAATTAAAATTGGGTAAGCAAACGCTTCCATTGTTGAAAACTATTCAGGTATTTTAGTGTAGATTTTGTGTTTAATTCTCTCCCACTCTGAGAACAATACATTCCTTATGGCGTGATTTTGAAAATATTTGTGTACTTTATTTTTTTCATACCACAGAAACGCGTGCCAACCCAATTGCAGATCGTGTCCCTCTAAATAAAGGAGTTGTTTATTTCTCAGAGTAATCCATTCTTTAAGCCAAAGCAAGATGGCTGCTTGGTAATAAAGTCTCTAATCTGGAAGTCCAAAACCCCCTCTGTCTTTTGTTTCTTGTAACAATTTAGTTATAATTCGTGCTTTCTTCCCTTGCCATATAAATCTCAATATTGTTGCATTTAAATCATCAAAGAATTTCTTGCCAGTTTAACAGGAGCTGTTTGAAATAGGAAAAGTAGTTTCGGTAAGATGTTCATCTTCACAGTCGCTATTCTTCCTAACAGTGACAATTGCAGATTTTCCCACTTTTCCAAATCTACTTTTATTTGTTTCAGTAGTCTTTCATAGTTATCTTCTTTTAATGTTGTATATTTTGATGTTAAGTAACAGGAACCCTGTTACTCTTTACATCCCATAATGTCATACCCCTCTTATGTCTCTATGCAGCCGTCACAGCAGCCTGTGGGAACAAAAGGCGGGAGATGCTCCCTCAGGAGGTTCTTCTGATATAAGCGATGCCAGCAGTGATCATTCTGGAAGCTTGGAGTACGAGACTCTGAGCTCAGATGAAGAACCAGAAGTGCCAATAACAATTCCCCAGTATTGTTTTCGTCCTTTGCATGAGCCTTCTCAGAATCCCAGTCAGCCCCTGCCCCCCATAGTCAGCCCTCAGCTCATTCCTCAGGCAACAGAAGAACCCGGGGCATCAGATGATTCAGGAGCTGAGGAGGTACGGAGACACCTGGCTTCCATGAAAGTACCTGAGAAGCCAGCCATACTCCGACGGGAACGCATTAACCTTTATGCAATTATGCGCAGCATCAGTGAGATGGATAGCCCAGAACACACCTCTGTGACAGGAGACACACCTGAGGAAGAGGTATGGAATTGTGAAAAGGTACCTGAGCAGGAGTGAGAGCAGAAAAGAGACTGTTTATAACCTAGAACAGGGCTTTTCAACCAGTGGTATGGTGCCACCTATGGTACATTGGCACCTAGCAGGTGGTATGCGACCATCCTAGAAAAGTGGTAGCGGGGGAGGGGAATGAGCTGAACCGGTGGCAGAACCGCATAAGCCTGAACGAGAGATGACTGGAGCTGCAGGGCTGTCAGGGCTCAGCGGAAACGTCAGGATCAGTGCTGCTTTCCAGCTGATTGGTGCTTCTTCAGGGCTGTCAGGGCTCAGTGGAAGTGCCAGGATCAGCGCCAGGTTCCAGCTGGAGCTTGGCGCTGATCCAGGTGCTTCTGCTGAGCCCTGAAGAAGCACCAATCAGCTGGAAAGCAGCACTGATCCTGGTGCTTCTGCTGAGCCCAGAAGCGCTGATCAGCTGGAATGTTGAGCACCTCCAGGGTCTTGTGATTTACATTCAGATGCTTGGCAACTGATTCATATTTATGACGTTCACAGTGTCCCAGGGTCATGTGAAGTGACCAAAACCTGTTGCAACCACCCAGCAGACGGGGGAATAAAAACCAAACACCCCCCACCCACCCCCTCTGCCAATCCTCAACAGAAATGCTCACAATGAAAACCTTGGACAGGAGGAAGAGCGCCACCGGGTGGGCAGGCAGGTGTCTTGCTCGGCTGTGGCTTGGGGGGAACTTTTTTCAGTGCCATTGCAACTTCGAACAGTCACTAAGCGAACTGTTGTAAGTTGAGGACTACCTGTACTTTATCACTTTTTTCCTTTTTTTTTTTTTTTTTGGTCATCAAGTTTTTGACACCTTGCTAGGCGACCGGTAGTACTTGGATATTGCCATATCCTAAAAGTGGTACAATGGATGAAAAGGTTGAAAAGCCCTGACCTAGAATACAAGAAGGGGGTAAAACTGACTTTGGATATTTATAATTTATTTATTACAATGGTTTCCAATAAAAAAAAATCTTGAAGTGCTGCACAATAGGAAGTACAATTACATTGAAAAACAGTAGGGTAAAACAATAAATAATACTATTAAGAAGATGATGTTCACTACAGGTGGTCCTCAGTTAATGACCGATGGTTCAGCAACCATTTGTAAGTTACAACACTGAATCAGGAGACTTACAGATGATCCTCAAAGTTGTGGCCACCACAGCATCCCTACGATCCTGTGATTGCGATTTGCAACCTTCACTGCCGTCTTCCAACAAATAAAAGTTAATGGGGAAGCTGGCTGGAGATTTCAAATGGCAATCATATGACCTTGTGCCTAACAACTATGGCAACTGACTTTCCATTCCTAATTATTATCATTAACCAAGGGCTACTTGTAATGTTGATACTGATATTGAAATATAAATCTTCTGGGTCCATTTTCCCCCCAAGGGTAGTGTCCTCCTATAAGGGGAAAGTATAATCTCTTTTGTATTAAAACTAGTAAAATGTGAGACACAATTCAAAGCAAACCTGACTATGACCTCAACTGAGCAAGCACCTTGTCAGGAATTAAATTTAAATTCATCTTCCAAAATCTGAAATACAGGACCTAGGTTCTGCTACAGATTGGACTGTCAGAACTAGAATCTAAGTTAATGAAAGACTCTCTCTTACTAAGGGTTGTGTATGATAATTTGCTATCCAGATTCCTGAAAGTTTCAAATCACTGCATAAATGAAGATAGGTGACATTTCTGGGGCAGAGAGTTGCATTAGTCTAATAAGGCAGATCAGGGAAAAGATTAGAGCAAAAAGAATGGAGATGGGGCAGCCAGACCTAAAAAAGTTTAAGTGTAAAATTATTCAGCTAGATGCTTTTAAGAGAGAGTAAAAGCATGCAAGCCTTAGCTGTAGCTGCCCAATGTTTTGTCCCTAAAATATAACTGTTCCAATCCCGTCACATAGAGATGTTAACTAAGTACAATGGAAAGTGGAAGTTAAGTGATGGAGGAAGTAACAGTTTTAACCATTCAATCATGTCCTACTCTTGGTGACTTTATAGGCAAGTCCTCTCCATTCTATCCTATCAAGCACAGCTTCTTTCAATTGTTGGATGTTCATCTTTGTATCAGCTTTGATGGTATCAAGCCAGTGAGTTCTTTGCTTGCCCCTTCTTCTTGATCCACTAACCATTCCTAGCATTGACTTTTCCAGTGAATTTGCATGCATGACATGGCCAAAGTAAAGCCAAGGTAAATAAAAGAGAATCCAATATAGTTGGTGATGTGCAAATGAGTGACCTCTTCCTCTCTCAGCAGGTGTTTCTTCATGCTGAAAGGAAGATCTGTGAACCGTCATCCCAAAGTAAGGAAAATGAAAAGCCAGTAACAGCAAAATTGTCTCTACCAGGAGACCAGCGGGCACATGGACAGAGGCCAGGGCGAAGGGGCCGTAGCAGAGGTTCCAAAGTCCATGCTCAGCCTTGCAAACAGCTCTCATACCATCCAGCACCAGGCAAGGTGCATAAAGCTGTTCGGCACATGGAAGGGTCTGGCTCATGTGGGCGCAGGCCCCCCTTGCAGCACCGCCTCTCAGTGGCTCAGCTGGCTGATGCTGCCCTGGTGGTGAGTCGGACCAAGGAGTTTGAGGGACAGATGAATCCTGAAATTTCCAAGAAGCTCCAATTGCCATCTTCCTTGCCATGTTCCAGGTCTCGACAGGTTGTGCGCCAGGCCAGTGTTGACATGGACCCCAATTCAGTCTGAAGACCTTTCCCCCTTTGTACTCTCAGTAAGCAAAGGATTTCATGGAGTCCCAAGATTGAAGATACATTTGTGATATTCAGCCTGAGGAAATACATTTTTTGTACACTGCCTCAGGGGAGAGAAATTCTCTACTCTTCAAGAGACCACAGCTGCTTTCCAAGTGCATTTCTTCTCCTTTCTATAGGAAATGGTAGTATGGGTGTGGAAAAGACCAGTGTTGCTTTTGGGTTTACTCCCATTTTTAGGTATTACAGATGTTCTAAGAGTCCTGAAGATGTCATGATTTTAAGTTTCAAATGGCAGGGCTGTTCGTTCCTTTAATTTGCTTTGACTGCCTTCGTATTCTGTTCTTCCCCAATCTGATATTTTTTAGATTTATGGACTGGAATTCTGGTCATCCTCACCCAGCACAATAGTGGAAATTGTAGTCAGACATGAGGCCTCCAGATAGGCCAAAGGTTGTTTTGCAGAGAAGGTTTAAGACTGAATCCTCTCACTGTGATCCAAGTGGGGAATGAACTACTTTTTACTTTTGTGTACTTACAGTTACTGTGCCATTGCCAGCTTCACACAGCCTGAAAATAAAGTTCATCCATTTTCCACTTGGTAATCTCTGGTTGTATGTCTTCTTTTGGAGCATATCTCTGTTCCTAATCCTAACCAAATCCTAACCAAAGTAACAGGGAAAGAGAATAGCTTTTCATCCTCAAGGTAATGCTGTCCACTCCTGGGGCTTTGCGAATTGACAAAAACTAGCTGGGTTGCTCTCATTTTTTTCTTCTGGGGCTGTGTTCATACTTCATACTAGACCATGCTTTGTCTAGTTTGGCTTCACCTGATATGTGATCTCCAATCTCACAATATAGGTTTGTTCAAGAAAACATAGTTACAACAAACCATGGGTGAGCATGTTACAAGAATTCAGCCTGTAAGTGAAAACACAACCCATGGGACAAACAGCAACAAAAGCAACCGACAACTAACAGACCATGAAGCAAGTATTGGGTTCTTCACAACAGTTAACGAGATTAAGTTTGCTCAGGCTTATTAGTGAAGCAAAGTTCTTCAGGCCTGATTTTCTATGCGATCAAAGTTAACAACTGGATCTGTTAATACATTTATCTAACTCAATATCACTTGTGATGAGTTCAAGGAGGAATTGATTTCATTGTATCTGTAATGAATGACCATGAACTAAAACATCTGTGGAAGAAAAAAAAGTAAATATTTTAATACCTGTGCTCCATTATTGCAACTTGTTTTGGAATCTTGTTTGCAACTTGTGACTTCACTATTGGGTTGTGCCCTTATGCCTGCTGATAAGTACAGACACATTTGTACAATAATCAACTTCATTCCTGGAGTGGGAACTTTCTGGTAGAAGTCACAAGCAAAACTCTCCCACGTAAAAGCATTAGCTGCCCACAGAAACCAGACGAGGCATGGTGCCAGAACATTTATTCAGAAGCAAAAATAAGCATCAGTTGATACAGTTCTTTACTATTTAGTTAATATATATTTGTTACTATTCAGCTCTTATTTCATATAAATCACATTTAATAATTTTTAAATGCTTTAAAAGTTGTTATTCCAGAGTCACATCATTGGAAAACTTTTGCGTTTAACAGCCTGTGATTTATGATAGTTCTCCAGTGTAATTTGCCATTTACATTACAGTGGGGTAGAGGCAATTTTCAATTCCAATGATATAGCATAGCATAGCATAGCATAGCATAGCATAGCATAGAACAGAACAGAATATTGTCTATAGTCACTTTAAATGTACACTAATTGATACATTAAAATGAAATGTTGTTGCATTCGGCTCTCTGGGGGTCACCACCTCCAATTGCACTATATAAATATGACCCAAAAAATTGCATATAGCCATATACCTACATATATTCTATGACACAGAGAAACAATGCAGTCTAGTTTGGATATATAAATGTACACGGAGAGAAAAATGATTTTGAAAGTTTACCAGATGGATGGCATAGGGAACAAAGCTGTTACAAAATCTGGTAGTCCTCCTGGAAATACTTAGAAACCTCCCAGAGGAGAGCAACAGAAACAGACCGTGAAGTGGGTGTGTAGGGTTGCTAACAAGGCTTTGAACTCTTAAGTACATAGCACTTATAAGCAGCATCCTGAATACCAGGTGGCGAGCTTCCTATGATCTTCTCAGCTGTCCTTACCACTTTCTGTAAGGACCTTCTATCTGAGGCACTGCTGCCACCAAATCAGACAGTGATGCTATTCGTAAAAAATGGCCAGGACAGGAGAAAGACGTCATGTATATGTCAAATATCATTCAGGTCATTTCAATTATCTCACTGTTTACCTAGATGTAGTAGTAAGTTATTGTGCTTGTGTGAATTTAGACAGATAACATATCTAATACACCTATTTTCCCTACAACAGCCCTGTGAGGTGGATTAGGCTGAAACTGACTGGCCCAAAGTTATCCAGCTGGCTTTGTGTTTTATTAATTTCGGGTACAAGCGTTGCATCATTAAACCCACTTCCTCTTAAAAATGCAGAGAATTTTTTTAACTGAGGCATAACAAGCTTAATAATTTTTTTAAAAGTTTAAAGTTGTCACTTGATCCCACCGCATGAACGCGAGGTATGCCCTCTTGAGGAATGTTGAAACAACTACAATAACCGTCATGCTGTGCGACTGAGGGACACATGCGCAGAATACCCTTGTTGCTATGGGAGCCTGCGGTAGGGCCCGACGTCGGGCGGTCCTTCGGTAGGGTCCCTTCTCCTTTAGTCCCCCCGCGCTCTGGCAGCCGAAGTTACCCCGTTCCAGTTCGAGGGGGGGTCCTTTGTTGCCATGGTGACCGTAGCGTTACTCTGGGCTCGCTAGCGATGTTCTCAGTGGAGCCGGACAAGGAAGAGCGCCGCCGGAGCAGCAGCGATGTCCCGCTCCCAAATAATCCACAGTGGCCACTTCATGGTCTCGGAACCCCACGCCGAGTCGGACCCCGATCCAGATCTCGGTTCCGAAGAGGCCATCAGCTCGGCCGAGCGAGCCGTTCGTTTAGGCCTGCAAAGCTGCGCGGCCGAGCGAGTCAGAGGACCCGGGGCGTTAGGGAAGGCTGCGGCGGGGAAAGCCGAAGGTGCGGCCCAGCCTGGTTTTAGGGCTCCCTACGACTTCGACACGGTGAACGAAGGCACCTGTCAGATCTACCGCTACGGGCCGCGCAGCAGCGGCGCGCTCAATATCGACGCCTCCCTCACCAAGCTCTTCGAATGCATGACCCTGGCCTACAGGTGAGGAGGGCCCGGTGAGCAAAGGACGAAGGGAGGCGGGCCCCGCTTGGTGGTTCCTGGCTATAAAAGACAGGCAGGAGGGAAAGTGCCAAGAAGACTGGCCCAACGAATGTGGATTGCTGCAGAGCTTCCGAAATCAAGATCTGAATCTTCAAGAGTTTTTGAAGTTGTATTTGACAACATACCTTCCTTCCAAGTTGCCTTAGACCAGTGTTTCCCAAACTTGACAATTTTAAGGCATGTGGACTTCAACTCCCAGAATTCCACAGCCAGCATTGCTGGCTGTGGAATTCTGGGAGTTGAAGCCCTCATGCCTTAAAATTGTCAAGTTTGGGAAACACTGCCTTAGACCACTAGACGCTCTACCCTAATTAACAATGGGGCTGGCCATGTTAAGTTAAAACCCTGGACTCAAATGAGACTTTTTCATTGTTTCTTCCTTACACTAGAACCTGCGCACAAATAGGGAGGCTCGACGTCTCTGTTAATATCCCATATGAGTGTAGAGTACTTCAGAACAAAGCACAGACATTTCACAAGTTGAAATAAAGGCTCTTAGAAGCAACTTTAAGAGTTAGAGCAAAGGTGCGACCTGTTCTGGATTGCCTCAAAAATCATGAGAGGTAGAAAAGTGATTTTCTAACGTGCCATTTGAATTAAACTTCAGGGCAAAAAGTATGTATATGTTTAAATGAAGAAACCTGTTTACCGATCAGTAGTTTCGTTGTAAGCTTGATTTGTTATGTGCCTGAGCTTGCTGGATAAAACTGGTAATATGAGCTTATATAATCAGTTGATAAAGTATCTTTTATAATTGCCCTTTGTAACAGTATTATTTATTGGAAAACTATTGATGATTAATCTGCCAGCTGAGTTTTAGACTGGCGTTCTCCATTCTTAGATTAGACTTGGTCCAAAGAATTGTTGGGGAACGAAGGAGAAAAAGGATTCTGAATGCTTTGGTACAAGGCTTCTATTGTGCATTCATTTTTGTCTCTTTCGTAATGCTTTATGAAGAAAGGAGAGGTAATAGCTTCTTCCACTTTTAAATCTCCTCTGTCTCCCTGATATTTCATACTTTTCTTGCTACCCCAAAAATGTTGAAAAACAAAAATACACTTCTGATAGTATCACATATCTTTTGATTACCAATTTTAGACCTTTGGCTAGAAGCATCTATAAACTCAATTTGGAAATACTCAAGACAGCAACCTGTCCTTTGATTTCGGAACAGTTATTCAGTAAATGCCAGACTTAAAGTGGTTTTGGTCAGGATATGTTGCACTGGGCACATGAATCTTCACATTGCTTGTTTATGTTCAATCACATGACTTTCATAAAGATAGGATATCAAGTTGTGTTGCTCTTGATCAATAGTATTCAGACCACTAGCTTCATTTTCAGTTCTTGAGGGAAAATTGACCTTTAATTACTTCCAGCAATAATTTTTTTTGAGTGGCACAATTAGTGAGATTAAATAGTTAGAATGTAATCTACAGTACACGACTGCTAAAAAGTTTTCAACATATTATTATTTAAAAATTGATTTATATTAGAAATAAATACTTTTTTTCATTTGGAAATATTGATAACACATCACAAATCATTCTGTTGTGTGTGTTTTGGAATGTCCTCATAGTGTGTGTGTGTATATATATATATATGGCTAGAAATACTTATCCATTACTCACTACATTACACCTGGAATTCTACAATAGCAGTTAGTTAAAATAAGATAAAGGTAAACACATATACAAATTATTGTATTAGCTATATGGTATTTTACAGAGTGGCTAAAATGTATTATGCATTTTGCTTAAAAAAAGTGTATGATATATTGTTGTTTTAAGATTAATTCAATAGTCACAAAGTTGATCTTGAGACCAGCATAGTTACTTACAGTTAATTGTCTCTGGATATTTTCTGCATGAATTAATCTGCTGTTGTGTGCCTGTTCATCCATCTCCTTAAGTTTGCCCTAAAATCTAATGGGGAAGGGAAACCAGAGATCAGATACTAGGTTTCAAAGAAACCTTGCACATTAGCCAGTCTTCGAAAAAGATAAATAATTGTATTAATTTTATTACTCTATTTTGAATTCTTTTATTTTCTCCTTTTATCGGCACAATGTAGGAATATTTGTATCTATATTGTCAAGTCTTTGAGCTAGTATTCCTGTTCATTTTTCTTTCTTGATCATTTTTAGCTTGACTTATTTAGTGTTTCCTTAATCCAGATATACCAGATGTTACCGAAGTTTCATTGGATTCTTTTTTATTTTTAGTGGAAAAATTGTATCTCCCAAATGGAAAACCTTCAAGGGGCTGAAATTGCTGCAGCGTGACAAGATTCGGCTCAATAATGCTATTTGGAGGGCATGGTATCTACAGTGTGAGTACTGGAACAGGGTAAATTCAGAAGTTTATTCCCAAGGCATCTTCTTTCCGTAAGAAGTCTATGTTCTTGATGAATTCTGTAGCGAAAGACTATTTTCTGTGCACTATTATGAGCTGCAAGTAATAGCATGTACTGCTGAACATCACATAGTCTGTTCTGTCTGGTTGTAAAGCCCATGAACATTGCCTTCCTGTTTGTGAATGTACAATTTGTGGTAGCTTTCAGTCAGTCAGTCAGTCAGTCAAAAAATACATTTGTCTGCCTCTGAAGTGGCAATTGCATTCAGAGTTCTGTTTCTGTTTCATTTTGTACACAGATGTGGAGAAGAGGCAGAATCCTGTGTGCAGTTTTGTGACTCCCCTAGAGTGTAGTGACATAGATCAGCATCGCAAGCCTGAGGTGATTAAGGCTTTTATGACATTATTATTATTATTGTTGTTGTTGTTGTTGTCGTCGTCATCAGCAGCAGCAGCAGCAGCAGTACAATGATGATGTTACCTAGTTTGGTAAAGGAACATCTGCAAGAAAATCACCAACCTCAGAGAGCAATATGGACCCTACACTCCAATACTGAACTATAAATATTCTATTCCATAAATACCAGATTCTATTTCTTTACTTTTATTTTTATTTAACTTCTATATCTTTATTTATTTGTTAGGCTGTCATCATGGAAGGAAAGTATTGGAAACGCCAGGTTGGGGTTGTTATTAGGGAATATCATAAATGGAGGACATTCTTCCATATTCGGGTAAGTTTCTTCTCAAGCAAGTAAAGCCTTTTGAATAACACATAATATTAGTGTGATAAAATAGCGGGAATATAGTACTGTATTGAAATCTTCCATCTCCAGATGATATTCTTTATCTTGCTGTCCTCTGTGTTGGTGCTGTGGCAAACAAGAGTCTAATTCTATCCTAAAACAATTTAACCCTCTGTACATATTCTGCTTGCGTGTACAAGATTTAAAACATGATGAGGACAAAAGGGCTCTATGCAAGTGCCTCTACAGAATTTCTGCACATTTTCACCAACATTTATAGGCATTTTGTATAGTGTGTTTGGCTAGAATTTTTAGTAGCTTTTCATAACTGAGAAATTTTATTATTGCAGTTCCCAATCATGGGACCTAGTATTAGATATACCAGATGATTATCCTTTTATTTTTATATTTTATTTATATTTCATATTTCTAAACTATCCATCTTCCTCAGAGAGGGGCTCTTTTATCTTTTATCTGAGTTTGTCAGGTACCTGAGACCAAAGACTTTTTCTCCATCTGAAGTAATTCATACTTTTGACTTTTTGCCATTTGAATAAGATATACAATAATCATTAATATTTACGGTTGCTTACAAGGTTCTCTAATGCTTTGTATTTCTTTTAATGAATAAATTAAAATTTCCTTTGCTAGTGAATATCTCAGAAACGTGTTCTAATCCAAACCATCCTGTCTTTTTGTTTTAGGAGCAGAAGAAGTTTGACAAACCAATCTGTGATCCTAGTCAGGTGCTATTTTAATATTCAAAGATTCCCTGTCCCTATTCCCTTCTCCCTGTGGCAGAGTCTGAAACTGGAATACTTAGAATAACAACCATTGAGTATTCCAGGCTTCCACTTCCTCAATCCTTTGCTGGAACATATGCGGTTTCCCTCCCTATTTTGTGCAGGAGGTGTCTGATGCAGTTTCGGAGGTAGAATTCAGCAATGAAACAGCAAGTGGAGGACCTATGGAGCTTGATCCCTTACATGATCTGGATGTACTTCTGGACACCATGGTCTCCAGCCGCAACCCTTATGGTGGTCCCAATTTACGTGGTCTTGGTGAGAAGTCACTTTACGCCCTTTATACAATGGTTTTGTAGTGAAACTTTTTCCTTATGCCCAAGTGCAGAGAGCTTTCCAAGGGCTTCCATATAGGAGTTAGTTGCTGACTTGTAAAGACTGTGTATGGTACATGCTATTTAGCTATAAAAGTTGTAAATTTAGCTATAAATTTTTGTCTTCTCTCCAACCTTCCCTTTTGGGGGAAAGTTGTTGAGAAGGTGATCAAGTGGCACCTCCAGAGGATCCAGCATGAAACAGTATCTGGATCCTCTTCAATAAGGATTCAGGCCCAAATATGGGACACAAATGTCATTGGTTTATCTGGCGAGAGCAGGATGAGTGTAGTACTTCCATCCCTGTTCTACATGATCTCTTGAGTGGCTTTCTATATCATTGACCATGATATTCTTCTGGAATGGCTTCAGAGGTTGGGAGTAGGGGGCATTGTGTTGTCTGAGTTCACTTCCTTTCTCCCAGGTCATTTTCAGTTGGTGTTGATTGAGAGCAAGAGGTCCAATCCTTAGCCCCAGTTTTGCAAAGATAATGCAAGGATCAGTGCTCTCTCTGCTCCTGTTTAACATCTTCATGAAACCATTGAGGGAAGTCATCCATTACCAAGGGGAAAGATATAATCAAAACGATGATAATAGTCCGTTGTACCTCTCTGCCTTTGTTGAGTTATATGCTGCAACTACCCTTTCCTGGTCCCTGGAGGCTGTTGAGGTAGGGATGGGGAACAACAGGCCAAAATTGAACCTTGGCAAGATGGAGTGGCTTTGGGTTTGGGGCTCCTTGGGTTTTGGAGAATTATCATCTATCGTCAAGAATGGAGTCAGCGCTGCCCCGGACAAACCTGGTGCATAATCTGGAGTGCTCCTGGACTAGCAACCCCTGCTTGAGGAAGTGGCAGTAGTGGCCAGGAGAGCCTGTTCCTTGTGTACCAGTTAACGCCCATTCTGGGACCAAAATGCCCTTCACAGAGTCACCCAGATCCTGTTTGGACTATTGTAATGCAGTCTACAAGGGCTGCTCTTGAAGAGTATCCAGAAGCTTCTTGGTTCAAAATGTGGCAGCTCACATAGTTTTACACAAGCCTAGATTCATGCATGCATCATGTCTTACAGGATCTGCATTGTTTGCCAATTTGCTTCTGGGTTCAATTCAAGGTGCTGCTTATAACCTTTAAAGCCATACAGAGCTTGGAGCCAGTTTATTTGAAAGACTGCATCTCCCCAATTATATCTGCCTGGTCTACCAGAACAGGAAGCAGGGTATGTTGCAGGTCCCATCTATTAATTAGGGAAGTACATCTGGTGGAACCAAGAAAAAGGGTTGCCTCGGTGGTGGCCCTCTCTCTATGGAATGTCATTCCCCCAGAGATAAAATAGTCCTCTCACCTTTCTGGAAGACCCTGAAGACAAGGTTCTGTCAGGGAGCCTGGGAGCCTCAGACTGCTATGGAGTGGCCAGTGACTAGACTAATTGTATGGATTGTCAAGTGGCTAGAGTAATTGTATTGGTTGTTGTCGTGGCGGAGAAGGTGGCATTTTAAGAGTTTTACATTGTGGATTTTTAATGCTGTAAGCTGCCCAGCGTCACCGTGTTGTGAGTTCAGTGATGATATAAATTAGTTTAATAAATAACTAAAATGAATAGTGAATTGTAGCACTCCTTATTTTATGTCTTCAGCTCACCAGGGTAATGCTGACATGATCCAGCCTACTCTGACCCAACTTCACCCCAATTTTGGAGAAGAATTTGTGAACACTTTGGATCCTATTCAGGGTAACAGAAATTCCCCAATTTTATATAACTAAGTTGAATTATGTGATCTGGTGGAGCACCCTATAGACAAAATATGTATATTTTTTAAATGAGCTTTGCATAGTTTCCTAGGGTCAGTTCAAGGCTATGTTTTTAAAAATTTCACATATGTATTCCAGAAAGTGTACAGCATGGGAATTTGTTGCTGGACTCCCCGGATCTGTTTCCATTATTTAATGTCTATTTCAGTGGGAAAATGTTTTTACAATCTCAAAATGCAAAGTATCTAAATCTCATGCTTTGGGAGAAAATGAGATTACTGACTTATTTTCAAAAGCCTCAAATTAATCCCCAGATTATGAAAGGTTGGTTTTTGACCTCAACAGTAAATAGTATTAGAACCATTGATTACTGTACATTGGCTCAGAGGTATAGCTAATGAACACAGATAGCCTAAGTTGCAAGAAATAAGAGCAGAGTTTTGCTCGGACAAAATCCTCCCTCCTGCTAAGATTCTACAAGTGTGCCAATCTGTTACTGTAAGTGAATAAATGAAAATAAACCTTTTTCAGCATCCTATATAATAGTGGTGATTTCACTCTCATAAGTGCTGAGGTTCTCTTTTAATATAACATCTATGCTCAAGGCTGAAGGAACAACAGACTTGACAAAAACATTTGTGTTTTGCAGAATAAATAAAAATAAAAGATGGAGGAAAATCAGTTTCTTGATTGAGTGGGTAGGCGGAAACCAGGGAGAATAGAAATTGAAAGGGTTATGCTAGAAAACAGCACCAATGTCTCGTCTGAATCCCAGATGAATATATTTTATATTGTAGCACTCGAATTTAATCCCACTTGATCCATCTGTTTCTGCAAATGGGTTTTCATAGCAGGATTAATAAATCAATAGAGGAATTAATTCAATTAGTCAACTCGGAGTGAAAAGTGAAAAAGCATAAAGCACCGAATATTCACTAGTTGAACCTTGGATGACAGCTTTTGATTTAGTTAATATACATGTTCCATCTTGTACTAACCATTGATCAACCACTGTTTCTCTGGTGAATGTGCTGTACAGTATTCTACTACTATGGTCCTGGAGCCTAAATTGGTCTTTCCTTCTGTCTGTCTTTTTCTTTCATTTGTTTCCTTACCTTTGTCAAGACTATTTAAAAGGCTGCCTGGCTATGATCTCCTTTCATCATTCATGATCTATAGACATTCAGTCATGCTTCTTCTTCCATTTCTGTTCTGGCTTTTTGGCTGGTACTTGGATAGGAGACCACCAAGGAATATTGGAGCTATAGACTAGACTGGAAGGTTGAAAAACATCCTGGAAACCATTTCCATATTGCTACCAAGCAAACAAGATAGATCTGTCTATGTAGTCATCAGGAATCAAGCTCAACATGAGATTGACTTTACATTTTATCTATTTCAACAAACAGTATCAGAAAAGGTAATCTGAATAGAGTTGTTTCCATCTACAATTCAGAATCTAATGCTAATAATTTAAAATCTAATGCAAATCACTATTGTCCACTTTATGGAAATTTGGAAAAAGTAATACCACGATACGATACTCCCGTTATGAAAATTGGTCCATTCTTCCTATTAAAATTTAAAGATTGTGACTAATGTTAATATGTTTACTATCAGATATACTTGGATGAAGATTAATGTGTAGATATATGACGACTTGCATTCTACAATCTATCTAGTCCAGTGGTTCTCAACCTTTCTAATGCCGCGACCCCATAATATAGTTCCCCATGTTGTGGTGATCCCCAACCACTTATACATCACCGGGTGCCAGGGGCATGGCCAAAGAAAAGGGGAAAAAAATGGCGGACAGCCTTGTTTGGCGACCCCCGTGAAATGGTCGTTCGACCCCAAATGGGGTCCCGACCCACAGGTTGAGAACCACTGATCTAGTCCCTGCATATGTGTGCAGGGACACACAACACACACACACACACACACTTATTTAATTTCTATCTGTGATAACTATTATATGATGTAATCTGGCAAAATTTATAAGTTGCTTTTTCTTTCCTCAGGTTGCAACCCCATATTATCTTCCTGTCTATGATTGTTTTTAAATATCACTAACTGAGAAAAAATCCTAATGGTTATTTGCTTAATTGATTGAGTTTATCAGCCAATCCTCATTTTTGTTACTCATTGACTCCTCCATGTTATTTATGCTACTTTCTTTTCACAGAATTTATTACTTCTTGTCGTCCTCAGCCTATATTCCAGGTAAGGAGAAGCAGTATATCCAGTCACTTATTACAGTAGCTACAGTAGCACTTAGTTCCATATACATAAAGTGGGAAGGATTATTATTTTCTGTTAGAAGACACTTAACGTTACAGGGAGTGAAAACTGCAATTTGAAAAGTATAGCCCAGCCCAGCCCAGCCCAGCCCAGCCCAATGCTCAGATAACTGTTTCAACCCATTATTTGATTTTCTGGATTATATTTCTCTAGTATATTTCTGTATAAGGTAGACTAAACCATACATAAAAATATATATATAATTTATTATTATGTTTTATTATAATAATAATAAATATATAATTTATTATTATTATTTTTATAGCTACTACAATTACTACAAAGAGTGTGCTGTGCCTATTTACGAATTTGAATCAGAAATTACAGGCAGGGAAACAAAGATTTTAGCATATTAAAATCCATGCACAAGCACTGAGAAGCAGGGAGCTTTTACGTATTAAAATCCTGTCTCCCTGCCTCTCCCTTTGGAGATCGCTTAACAGTTGGGAATATTGGGATCGTGTTCATTGAGCGAAGCAATCATGTGACATCTCACTTAAGTCCTCTCAGCAGGTGGAAACAGCAGCTTGCAACTTTCCCTGTTGGCTTTCCCATTGATTTTCTGATTGCAGGACACTGGGTAACCAGTGATAAGTATGAATAAGTTGCAAAGCACCCAGAATGTCATCACATGACCACGGTGTGTGTGTGTGTGTGTGTGTGTGTGTGTGTGTGTGTGTGTGTGTGTGTGTGTTCAGAAGTGCTTTACAGGCTATAAAGCACCTTTTCCAAGGCCATTGTTAATTTGAATGGTCATTAAGCAAGGTCTACCTGTAATTTATCTTTCCCTCCCACCCTTCCTTAAAAAATTTTCTGTATAAGAGCTGACATTTCCTTAACCTTCCCTAGGTTCCTGCACCTCTGCCAGATGCTACTGCCTTACACCAGGACGCCTCCGATTTGCCTTCTGTTGCCTCTCATGCTAAGGAGCTCCCACCATTGGGAGACCCAATTCTGGATGTAGAGCTGCCTACACCTTTGACTGGACAGCAGATCTTCTTGCCATTCTTCCCCACCTCTCCACCAAGGATCAGCCCTCCACCTGCCCCTCCTATCTTGCATCTTCAGCCACAAACCACATTTGTATTTTCTGTTGTTACTAACACTGGATTGGAAAAGACCTTGCCATCCCCTTCTGGGGAACCTTTTGTTATGCCAAACTGTGGTTCCTCATCCAAGGGTGGAGGGGTCAGGCAGCTTCAGCGGATTGCTCCAGCACCTTCTCCTACTCATCATCAGCCAGCAACACCCCAGGCTTCCTTCACTCCACTACCTACAACTGGTACGTACTCCTAAACTGGGCTTCATAGAGAGGAGAAATGGGGCTGAGTGTAGTTAAGCTTTCTTTGGACTTCTGCTTTTTGTATTTTAAGTAATACTGGGAATTGTGCACTTACCTTAGTTTTACAGCAGTCACTAGGTATTTGGGGGGGGGGGCGGAAACAGCAAAAAAAAAAAATTCTGGCCACAACCATTCAGTTAGTGCCCTATCCCTTTTTAAACAGGTCAAGGTGCAATGCATATAACATAGTAGCAGGACTTCAATCACAAGGACATAGTTGCCATCTTGCCTTTTTTGACACACGTGAGCACTCCTGGGTAGACATTTGATTTTTCAGACTATCATCAGTTGAACTTCTTCATCTTTGCTAACATTGATGAAGCTTGGAAAAGATTTACATTTTTAAAAGTCTTTCTAGCTATATGTTTTGGTGTACCTCATTTTCATAACTAGAGAAGTTAGTTTTGTTCTTATCAATTAATTCAAACAAAAGGAGAATGAAACATACATTTATAGCAGTGGTTCTCAACCTGTGGGTCAGGACCCCATTTGGGGTCGAACGACCATTTCACGGGGGTCACCAAACAATGCAGTCCGCCATTTTTTTCCCCTTTTCCTTGGCTGTGCTACTCCCTTTTATTCTATTGGCTTTTGAAAGCCAATAGAATAGACTCTCTTGAATAGAGTCTAATTCTATTGGCTTTCAAAAGCCAATAGGAATTGTCCAGGCTGTCTCTGCCCTGCTGAGCCTGCCAAAAGTCCCATTCTGCAAAAGGTGCTGCAAGTTGTCTGCAGCGAAGGCGAGCTGTCTGGAAGTTTCCACCCCTCCCTGCTGAGCAACTACTAAAAATGTAAGTAAAAGTAAAAGAGGCCGGGGTGGGAGGTGGGAGGCCAGCAGGCGCAGGGAGGGTTGCTGGCGCGCGTGGGGCCCGGCGGGTGCCTTACCTCCCTTGGGCTGGGCCAGCCGGTGGTCGACCTGCGCCGTCTCTGCTGTTTGCCAGCTACGCCTCGGCCGGCACGGGGCAGCACCACGCATGCACAGCGCTCCCGGGCAGGGAAAGTCCTCGACTTACAACCGGTTGGGTAGTCCTCTACTTACAACTGGTTGGGTAGTCCTCAACTTACGACCGGTTGGGGTCGCGGCATTAAAAAGTTTGAGAACCACTGATTTATAGAATTCTAGACAACCCATTGTTGTCATTGTTTCAGAAAATATTTCCTTATCAGATACATCAATGCTTTCAACAATGGCAGAGTTTTTAATGTACTGGAAAAGTTCTTAAAAATTCAGGGAGATATTCAGAGATGCATCTGCCCCGAAAGTAGCCCCATGTTGAACTGTATAGCACAATCAAACATTTCCTGTGCAGTTGACCACATGAAATGTTTTATGATATTTTGTAATATGTCATAAACCAGAGGTCCCCAACCTTTTGGGCACCAGGGACCGGTTTCGTGGAGAAAGGTTTTTCCACGGACTGGAGAGTGCGTGGGTTTATGTGCTGCCTGCATCCCACGGATGGGGCTTTGCTTGTTTGGGTGGACATGCCGCAGCCCAGTACTGGTCCACCGGGGATTGGGGACCCCTATCATAAATTACTTTATAATAATTTTCATGTCATGTTTTATAAAATTTGCCAAACTTCAATTTCACGGGAATCATGGGTTCCAGATTTTGAACGCATTCTATGTTAGCTCTTTTTGAGGAATCTTGATTGAAAAGGTTTTGCCCTATGGTGCACAATTTCATCCAGTTAAATGTTACAGACACAAGAGCTTTAGAAGTATATAAACGTTTTTTTGTATTTGCACTACTAGAAGATTATGTAATAATCTGTAGCTCAGGGAGCATTGGCTTCAGTAGATTTAGGATTTTAGTCTGTAGTCATAAATAATGGGTGTTAAGAGCTCTTTATTGGTTTTTCTATTTTAGTTTAAATGTAAATTTAAGAACACAGTATACATATAAATGTATATGTATAAAAGAAAGAGCAGATTGTTTTCGATTACAATTTTAGAAGTTACTTAATGTAAAAGCATGACAGCTGTAGGCTGTCCAACACTGCTTTTCTTGGTTATGTTTTTCCAATTTATTTTTGCATGAAACAGACTGAACCATTTAAAGTCCATTCAGAAATTTTAAGATCTACATAATCACTTTTTAAAAAGATTTCCTTAATTCCCAAATTGAAGTAATAGTGAAATGTGCTAATTGAAATGCAAAGCTCATACTCGTATTCAGTGTGCATATTCTACTAAAAAAATAACAAAGGCAAAAATTTAATTCTGGAACTCCTTTTTCTACTCTGCAGTTATTAAATGTACAGCTATGGATAGACTCTAAGGAATAGTTTTCAAGCTGAGTAATACAAACCAACATTTTAGACAATGGTTGTGACATGGCCTGGTTTACTTGGATTTTTGATATTAGTTGCCATTCTGAGTGTGATACCCATCATTTTAAGTAGCAGCTGGTGGCTTTAATTTCTAGATAAGGTAAGTGGGATTTACTTGAGAAGACTGGCTCGCTAACTAACTAATGTAGTTTACTGGAGAATTCAGTGTTCTTTTCCTGGTAGGGCTTATTAGTCGGCCAAGATTTCTAATGGGGATCCATAGAGACATCTTGGAAACAGAAATGAGGGGAAAAAACCCCTCTTTCTTTCATTTCTAGGTCCTGTCCCACTGGCCCTCACTCCAGTTACAAAATCTGCTCAGGTAAGGATGTTCTCTTTTATCATCTTCTGAAAAGGGTAAGATGATTTTGCCACCTTCTGTGCTGGAGGCCTTTCAATAAATAGCCTAATTTATGTCTTCTTGGATTGATATGCACAATTTATTCTTCATAATTTCTTTTGATCCCTATCAGATAACTCTTTTTTTTATCATCTCCCACAGATTTGTGGCAACTCAAATCTCTCAGCTGATGTCCTACTGAGGTCAGTCTCCATTACAAAGGAGCCTTCACCAGTGCCTGTCTCAGCTGCTGCCTTGCTTGATATTGGTAAACATGCTAGGCATGGAGTCATTTCACATATTCTGTCTCATTTATTCCTCTACTTTAGTCTATATATTATATTTTGATGAAAACAGGATATAAGCCCATTTACCCCTATATTTTGGAAATTGTTCCAGGTTCCTCAAACCAGAAGATAGTCAAGGAGAAGAATCTGTGTAGTCACCAGGAAAAATACAAACATAATCCTGTTCAGGTAAGAAGATCACTACTGTATATGAAAGGAAGATCGTATTTCTTCTAAGTTGTTTTTTAAATCTGAAGAGTATCAGAATCAGTTAGAATATGGTAGTGGAAGTGGCAATATTATTTATAATCACCTGGGGTGAAGATAATTGTCTTAAATTCAGTCATCTTCTTTTTGACTAAATAAATATATTAATCTCATCTGATTCCACCCACATATCCCACCCTCCCGTACCATGTGTCTTCTGCAGATCAAAAACAATGGTTTATCTTGTGTATCCCAACTGAATGAATTGCAAAGCTAAGAATTGTCAGAATGTAATTGTCCCTTGCAGGGAAGCTGCCGATCAAGTTTTACTTCTGCTGACTGTGCCCGTCGTATGATCATTAGCTCAGGCTTTAACACTCTTGCCAGTCTAGTACTGTCAGGATCTGATCAAACCAGCACTAAGGTACATATCTTTTCCCTGTAAGAAAGAAGGTTAGTATTTATTTTGTCTTTCCCATTTCTCCTGTGATCCTCTTGGAATTGTCTTCCCTTGTTCTCTTCAACCTTATGTATTCTCAGCTCAGCAAAGCGCTGCTCTTGCAGAAAAGTGTGGCATATGTAGGAAGACTACAGCAAGAACGCCGACAAAATCAGGAAATGGTAGAAAGACTGCGTGGAGAAATTGAAGAGTTGAGCACTGCCATTGAGTAAGTTGAATAGTAGGTCTGAATGGTTGAGCTATCCCTTGATCTGAGTAAAGGAAATTTATATTGTTGAGTTGTACTTTTTCTTTTCTTTTCTTTTGCAGTAAATTCCAGCGCCAACTTCCACCTAGTGGAGCTCCTGTATTACCTCCACAATCAAATCAGGCTTCTGAACTCTATGAAGAATATGTACGTCAGCGCACATTAGAGGACTGGCGTTTTTGGATTGTATCCATTAGGAACTAACAAAGTGGGGTTTATTTGGTTACTGCAAAGGAACAAATTGGGGGCATAAAATCTGATGTATTTGCCTCAGCAACATTTAAAATGAGAAAAGTTGATTATAATGAATCCTTAACTCTTTTCAACTTGCAGTTCAGTATTATAATTAAGCCACTGTTTGAGAGCTATACCAGAATGGTGAACACGGGCAGCATCAAGGATTTCTGCCAATCAGTGATGAACTGGTTGGAGCAGCACTGCACATTACCCATCTTGCGCCCTGGTATGGTTTGACAGTTGGGTAGGACGAATTAGAATTGTGAGGAAAGCTGAAGAGTCCAGGCAGATTTTTTTCAAACGAGTACCTAGGAAATATTCCAGGGTCCTATGTGGGTCTTGATCTAAGACAGGACTTTGAGTACCTTTGCTTCAGAGCATGAAATAAACATAGCATCTTAAGCGCTACCCCTGCCCTTTTAGCCTTCAGAAGACTATGAAGATGCGGCTCTTTCAATCATTGGGCTAGGGTGGGGTTGAGTCAGGTGGTCAAATATTTGGTTGTTCTGGCCCCTAGTGTGAAGGTTGTTCTGCTTTTATTTCAGCCAATTGTTTTTTTTTAATTGATTGTTATGAACCACCTTGGGTTATTATGTGAGATAGGCAGCCATGTACGTTTTTTTAAATTCTTCTTAGTATGACATGAAAAAAATGAAAGGAGGAATTGGAAGATTTATCTTAATTCTATAACTTGCCTATTGTGATTTTGCTAGCATAATATGTAGCTCAAAATGTAAGTGTAAAATAGGAGAATGAAAACTGCACAACCATGTCTAGATTTGGAGCAGAGGAAAGGCAAGAATTATCACAAGATAATGGCTATGCAAGGAAAGCATATATTACTTATGGCTTTTGTTCCATCTCAAGTCACAAGGATCACATTTCTAGGGATTAGGAAAAGGCACCTAGCTTAATTTCTTATTAATACTTTGGGGTTTTTTGTTTATTTTTCCTTTTTGTAGCTATCTCTGGCTCTCTTCTGCAGCTGAGCAAAATCACATCCATATTGACTCAGCCAAGCCATCTGCCTGGACAAGCTCTACGGGCAGTATCTTCTCCACAGAGCAAGAGCAACAACTAGGACGAAAATCTGGCTTCCTTCCCCCAGAGGTTGCTAGGAATCCAGAATAAGAACCTCTAACTCAGGAAATCCCTTCATCATGGAAATAAGGACATTGTAACAATATTGGTGCTAGCTATTCCACAGCAGGGAATCTCTGGGGACCACCTTTGGTGCTGGTTATCATGGCAGAACAGTGGAAGAGTAGAGGGAACTGGACAAGGTATGGAGTTACAATTGTAGAAAGGAGTCATCAGGCATGGCTTTCAAGATTTTTATAGAACTGGGAAGAGTGTGGGTCTCCATTTCCACAGTTTTCCCACCAGGGGGCAGTAAGGATACTTAACGTGATTCAGTTTCTCACAAAATGTGAAAGTTTATGGCTGGCAGTCCCTGATGTGAGTGCTTAATTACAGGTAGTCCTTGACTTACAACCATCTGTTTAATGAGCAAAGTTACGATGATCATTTTTCGCATGACCATTGCAGCATCCCAATGGTCATGTGATCAACATTCAGCCACTTGGCAGCTGACTCCTATTTATGAGGGTTGCAGTGTCCCAGGGTCATAGGGTTACCTTTTTTCAACTTGACAAGCAAAGTCAATGGGGAAGTCAGCTTCACTTAACAGCTGTTGTTACTAATTTAAGGACTGCAGTGATTCATTCAACTGTGCCAAGAAAGGTTATAAAAGGGGCAAAACTCAATTAACAATTGTCTCACTTAGCGATGGAAATGTTGGTCATAACTCATGGACTACCGTCCTGCTTGCCGGTCTGGTCGTGCCTTGAAAAACTGGGTGTCCTACAGGCTGATTGCAGGCTTCACATGGATGGTTGCTGACATACACTTTGCCTAATTTACCTCTTTCATTCCTGATCAGACATTTTATGCAGAGCTACCGTTTTCTGGACATGCCCTGAATTTCTTAAGGAGGATGGAACCTGGTTTCCAGCAAAGATGTTTACTTTGGGGTTGTCTACCTCCAAAGATCATATCTCGATATTTAGATCAAAACTAAATATCTAACCTCTGAAGAACATGAGCAGGTTCTTAATAAAGCAATCACTTGATGAAGCAGAGTTATTTTCAGTGCAATCCTGTGCCCTTTGTTCAAAGGAGAGTTTTGCTTAGTTCTGAAAATACAACTATTGCCTAATTATTTTACACACTACAACTAATGCTTTCCATACAGCAATTCAGATACCTGGGAAGTGTAGGGAACTTTTCTAAAATACTGTCTTGTAGCACAGCTTTTTTATATAAATGTTTCAATAATAAATGTTCTCGAAGATAATGGCATACCGAATCCATTACCAGGGACAACGTTTCACAATGCTGCTGCCTCTATGTGAAATTATCAAATGGGAGACAACTTCCCTTAAGGAATATACTCATTTGATTAAAGGAGTTACATCTTGGTGTAAAGTGTAAAGACATTGTAGAGAGCATACATCAGGACATCGCATAGCAAAGTATTCAGATTCTGTTGGTATCTATTCTATCTGATAGCATGCAAATTAGTCTTATGTCCTTATAATTGTTCCTGCCTTTAAGCCAGCTGATATTGATAAAAAGTGAAAACTGAACAATAAATTGACCATATCTATTGCATAATTGTATGGTGCAGGGATTGGCAATGTGGTGCTTATAGGCATTAGGACATCTACCACCATCTCAAAGTGATGCTCAGGTCTAAAGTGAAAACTGATTTTAAAAAGACAACCGTTGATTTAGAGATTTAGTGAAAATATAACATTCCATTGTCCAACATTTTTGTGGAAGCAGAAATATGCAAAATTCATTACGAACTGAAATATTCCTTGTTCTTTAATACATGTTGTCATATGATCTGTAGCCCATTTGTATTCTCCTTCATTCATGTTTGGAGGAGGAATTTAAGATATCACCGCCAGTTTGGTGTAGTGAAGGGGTAGGCAACCTTGGCTTTTTTATGACTCGTGGACTTCAACTCAACCATGCTGGCTCAGGAATTCTGGGAGTTGAAGTCCATGAGTCATAAAAAAAGCCAAGGTTGCCTACCCCTGGTGTAGTGGTTAAGACATCAGGCTAGAAACTGGGAGACTCAGTTCTAATTCTGCATTAAGTCTGAAACCAATTGGGTGTTCTTGGGCCAGTCCACTCACTCTCTCAGCCCTAAGAAGCGAGAAGTGGCAACCGCTTTTGAACTCTTGCCAAATGATAGATGGGCAGGCAGGTAAATTGTTGCCTACCTTGGCTACAAATACTAACAAGGTTTTAATTTTTTCCAGTCGCCTTGGATTTTCCTAGCTGAAAATTTCTTCAGTTTTACGAAGTTTTAATGAACCACTACAGATGTCTTATGATTACAATTTATTTCGTAATTTCAGAGGCTATCTTTGTCTCAGTTACATCTCTGATGCAACTTGTTTTTTTTTTTATGCCAAACTTGTATTTTTAGTTTTATCTTTTCCCTTTTGTTATTTTCTTGATATTTCACTATTATTTCTATATAAATACATATAGACACCTACACAATCAGCATCACATTGTTATATATTATTAAAGGCATTTTTAAATTATCCCTTATGTTACAGGTTTTAAACAAAGGACTGTCTTATCATGATTTTATCAAACATAGTTTCTGTAATTTTCAGCTCCTGTCTCCATTTATCTTATCAGGTATGCCTTCCATTGGCCTATCCATTACTTTAATCAAGTTTTTTTATGCATTTAGGTGAAATAGAATACTTTGGGGAAATGATTATAATATATCAGTCCATTGGTGCTTCTGCAGATACAGATTAAATGCTGTTGTTTGATAGCTCATGGTACAGGCAGTATGCTCTTGTGATGCTGAAATTCTATCTAGTTCATTATAATATCTTTGGAAGGTTGAAACTGTTGTTTCCCCTCCTCAGTCCCAGGAAGAAGAGTGAAAAATTGTACAAGAAAGTGCGTTTTATTATTTTGAAAGATTTGATATATAAATATCAGGATATGTACAACCCATAAAACCAGTCAATCTGATAAAAAGCGACATTAAACTAAAAACAAAATAATTACTAAGAATTAAGGAATCTGAGCAAATAATCAGATTTTAGTTTTATTTTGGCAATGCTGACACCAGCTGAACCTTCAGTTACCTATAGCTTTAGTTCAATAGCTCTAGCTTTTAACTACAGCATGTTATATGTTTACTAAAGATGTCCCCCACAACCTTAAACTATGGAACCAACACAAAGCTTTTACTTGGGATGCAATTTTACTAAAGACAGCTTGATTTTTTAAAAAAGTGGCTCATAATGCAGAGACAAAAAATGCTGATGACATAATTGTTATGCCTTTCAGCACCTCTTAAAGTACACAAGCACTTATCCAAATCAAACTAGGTTCAAAATTGAATGAAACATGAAAAATACAAGGCAGATTGCAATTCCATACTGAACTTGGCCTGGTGTGATAGTACTGGTATATGTCAGCTTTGATGTAGTTCTTATTGATCATTTCTAAAAGTTGAGGCCAAAGTCACAAGTGGAGATCAGCTAGAAGGCCTCCTCACCTCATAAGAACCTTACCACCACTGCAAAGCAGCATTTTCTACAGGAATGGTGGAATCATCCAAATGATTATGGTGACATAATGGCAGGGGCTCTTTCACAGCCTCAGGTAGCAACAGTTGCTCTTTTCAGAGGGCATATTCATGCCACAAGCTACAAGAAAGAAATTCAGAGCACCATTACTGTCAGGGGAGGACTGGGTTGATTTTTCACATGGCCACTCCATCCCCTTACCAAGCAGCTGGAATGGGCTGGGCTGTCTTCTGTGGCACAACAGCATCCTTTGTGGCAGACACTATTTAATGGTCAACTTACGCAAACATTCCATCCGGAGTCCGCTCTTGTCCCACAGCTCTCAACTTTCAAAGCTAGCACGTTCTTGGCCAAAGCCGAGGAGGAGAGGAATGAACTCACGGAAGGGAAGCAAAGGGAGACCATATCTGGGACTTCTTGAATTTGTCATCGTCTCCTTAATGTTGAGTGGTGACAGTGTACTTACTCCTACAGCACTGAAGCAGCTAGGAAAGTTAGGAGCCAATCGGTATTTGGATGAAAGGCTCCGTTGTTACTCTCATTTTAGCTTTGTAAAATATAGTTCTAAAGCAGTGATGGTGAACCTTTTGGGCTCGGTGTATCAAAAATTAGGAAAATGCCTAACTTGACTCTGCTGGTGTGTCATTTCCCCTCCCCCCAACAAAAGAGAAACAATTCTGTATATATTTATTTATTTAAAAAAAAATATAGTCCGATCGTGGTGCTATGTATTATATAAAGAAACATTAAATAATTACAAAAATGAAATACAATGAAAACAAACTCATTTTTGGAGGGTTCGGTGGCTGCACAAGAACACACCCATTTTCATGCAGCCCCCACAAGCTCCAAAAATTGTGCTCCAAAAAGTATGAAGCATGCTTTCAAGAACAGTTGTTGACGAATGTTGGTGATGCTAGTTTGTCACCCAAAATGTGGCATGTCATCTTTGACATGTGTATCATAGGTTTTCCTTCACTACTGTTAAGTACATGGCTATAAATGTTAAGGCTATAAATACGGAAGGAATTAAGCTTCCTTACTCCAATACATTTCACATTGCTTGTGACAGACATTGTCTTGAAGAAAAGATATACTTGAAGTACCGCCTTTGTTCTGGCTTCTATCCTTGCTGATCCTAAACTGATATTCTTCTCATGGTCAGCATATGTCTTCGTTACTAACAACTCTACTATCATACAAGCCACAGATACCTGAGCTTCAAGGAAAGAATGTTCCTGCATAAATTCTATATTCTCAATGTGAACGGCTGGAATTTTTCTTCCGGTTTATCTTATACTGTATCTCACTTTTCTAGAATGTATTTTGAGTCTTCTCTTTAGAGAGGTAGTTACAGCCTATTCACACAAATGTAGCACCAGAATTTAACCTAATGATTATTTTTCATAATGTTGTTCTTTCTGACTGATAGGTTTTGAAAAAAAAAACCCAAGGGATTGAAAAGTGTAGAAACATAATATACTGACCTATTCATAACAAAAGGGTCCTTATTATACTTCAGGAGCAAATCCCACACAGTTGTAGGGGGATTGAGTCCTAAGAATTTGGCTCGTTCCCAGCGCTGCATACGGGTAATTCCTGTCAGCAGAAGAAAGCGATTCAAGAATGTAATATCTGCAGGAAGCTTCCTAATCAGTTTAGCTGAGACAACTGTAGTTATGAGAGCTTGAGGATGATTTATGAGTTCCCTTTTTCTATGTTACTATTGTTTGTCTGGCATTATCATCATGCATGATATTTTACAGTACAAGTGTATATATTTCTGACTTGCAAGCTCTATTTAATACTTGGATCCATCATTCAAAACTAAGTAAAGAAGACATTAACTTGTTTTCTGGGTCACAATAGAATATACACAATTCTTTCTGATAAATATCCAATCAATTTTTGTCCAACTGCTCTTAATTTATACAGTGTAAATTTAGTGGGTAGGGTAGTTATTTTGTTGCTGCTACAGTAAAGCCTCAATTTTACAAAATGCCATCCAGCAAATTTTGGATGCAACAGAATTCTAGTTGCACTTCACCTCCAAATATCAGACTGCTGTTTCTATAGCAGTCCAGACAACCAACATAAAGTCATTATTTACATCAATTTAAGTGCATGTGCATAATAACAATTTATTAATAAAGTTATTTGGTTTGGAGGGAAGATAATAACATAAAATATGTAGATATGGATTGAGTGGCTATTTAATTTTAGTGGACTTATCTCCTGGCCAATAATTATTAAATCAATGCTGTATTGTGTCAATAAATAATTGGGAATAATAATTGCTGATCTACTGCAAATATCCAATGCATCTGCAACACAATATGATGAACCATTTCTTTACAGTGTGTAAAATAAGGTTATATTTTAAAATTTGGCAGTAAGGAAACAACAGCAAAGAAAAGGCAAACATCTACTTATTTTACAAGATGGACTTTTGTTTCAATAGATAACTAGACAATCTTACCAGTGCAGGGACCATACTGCCAGCTGAGATCAAACTGCTTCAGTATTTCCAGCTGATCGGATGGTGCAGTATCTTGTAGGTGAGATTCTGCTTGAACTAAGTCTGAGAAGCAATCAACCCATTAGCGTTAATAGGTGGAGTGCTGGTATTTTTCCTTGCATAAAGGGCTTAGGGTGGCACTTAACCAATTGTGTTACCACCTCTTTAGCCAATTCCAAAATCTAAATGGCAAAAGCCATACTGTTTGCATCTCTCCATCTATACCAGTGTTTCTCAAATTTGGCAACTTTAAGATGTGTGGTTGTCAATTCCCCAAATTCCCCCACTTTCATACAGGGCAGGGGGGGGGTGTCCAAATAAGATCTGAATTGCATTAATATCATTAAAATATTGCTAAACATGGGGGCTTCCTATTACGCATGCCTAAAGTAGATGGGAGATGGAATTTCATAACTATCCAGATTGTATGTATGTATGTATGTACAATATGTATCAGTTTCTATTGTACAAACTGCAAAATCTTCTCTCAAAGCAGCATCCAACATTTTTCAGGCCACCAAGAACAGAGGTAAATATGGTCTCAAAAACTGCATGAACTCTTGCCCACTTTTGGAGCTATCCAAGAACTGGCCAAGGGCCTAATCCTCTCTACATTCTAGAAAAATGTAGGTTTCCACAGAAGCTGTTGGGAATGTTGGAGTGACTATTCTATTTTTAATAACGGAACTAGCTTGGAGTTGTAATTTGCTAAGGGCCCTGTCAACCAAGGAACGTTGGTTGATGGGGACTAGGAGACCTGCCTTCTCTGCCAAAGTCCCTGCCCTCCAGAATACTCTCCTTAAGAGTTGAGGATGACCCTAACACTGTTGGCCTGTAGTAAGGCGCCAAAGACCTGGCTTTGTACCTGGGCTCCCAAGTGTGTAAAGGGCCCCATTTCCTGACTACTGACATCTATAATATATTTTCTCAGCTGCTACATATATTTAATTTTGTACTATATAAGTGCTTTTAATTATTTTATTACTGTTCACTGTGTAGAGTCCATTGTTTGAGATCGGCAGCTATAGAAATTGAATACATTTAGCCGGGTGAGGCATCCTCCAGGATGTCAGGTACAAAACGAAAGAAAAATAAATCCTCCCCAATCCGCTGTGTCTCTCCAGAACAAACATGCTTTCCCACTTTGGAACTGGAATTCTGCAACATTACTGATTTGTTGAAGCTCTCCTAACGGGGTTGGCAGAGCCAAATGCTAGGAGAAGAAGTCTCTTTGGGCTCACCACAACACCAGGCCATTCCAAAGGCCCAAGCAGGGGAAGGAGATGGAACCTAAAAAGGCGAGATGGGGGAAGAGCCCATAGAAGTGCTTACCCTGCGGTGGGCTCTGAGCCTCTTTTCTTTCTTTCCTGCCTCGTTTCTTTTTCACCACTTGGAAAGAATCGGTGATGAGTCGCTTCCTGTCCATAGCTCCATGTGAAGTCCCGAGCATCTCCCGGCTGCTCCCAATGAAGTGAAAGGAGAAGCAGACACGCTTAGACTAGCGCCCTCCCGCCAATTCCTGAATCGGCGAGAAGCCTCTGCGCTTCACCCCCAACTGCCCGCTTTCGAGCAGAGGTTCCCGGTCTCATTCCCATCTGCAAGAGCGACTCCCCACCTCTTCAGCGGGGAAGGCTTCCGCCCCCCCCCCCACCTTATAACCACCTCAACGAAGCCCTGGCACTGCCAGATTAAGGCTGGGAGACGTGGGCAGCGCCAAGTCTTCTTCTCCCTCGGGCGGGGGAGAAAATAAGCGGTATGCCCCTCAAACCCCAGCATACAATGCAGACAAATCCCACGCGAAGGATGGAAAAAGGCAGATGGGCCGATCGCCCCCACTTTCATCCGCGTCTTCGCTCCCCATCACCTGCTCTTCCTCCCCGCCTCCCGCCCAGAAAAAGGCTTTACTTCGGTTTTATTCCCAGACGACCCGGATCCATCCAACTTCTCGCTCGCCCCCTTCCTCGAGGGAGAGAAAAGCAACATCGAGGAGAAATTAGATTCCCCCTCCCCGATTTGGGCGCCTTTTTCCTGCTTTCTCCTACTGGGGAAAGAGAAAGAGAAACCAACCCGGGGAAATGCGGCGGTCGCCGTCCTCACGACTCGCGCAGAGCCCAAGCCGTGCCCGGAACGTCTCGTGTGAACGCAGGATCGGATAGGGCGGCCTAGCTTAGAAGCTTGTCGCCCGACAACCCGGAATAGTCCGGGTTGGCGTATAGTTACTGTTGCTTTGGCTCAGCCAATGGCGGAGCTGCTTTCGTTTTGCCTTGGAAGGAACGGGAAGGAAGGCCTCTGCTGATGCCAGGGAAATTTCCCAAACGGAGACTTATCGCAGCTTCCTTTTATAAAAGATGCTAGTTGCTCTGAGAGATCTGTGGAAAGGGGCACCTACTACGAAAGAAAGAGAGAGGTCTTTCAGGCATTAAATTCAAAAATCACTGAAAGTTTACGTCCATAATTAACTTTATTAAAAATGATTATTCAGAGCTAGTTTGGTGTAGCGGTTAAGGCACCAGGCTAGAAATTGAGGGACTATAATTTGTAGTTTCGTCTCAGGGGCAAAGCCAGCTGAGTGATCTTGGGCCAGTCACTTTCTCTTAGCCCAAGAGTGGTTTGATATTGCTACTTCCAAAAATGTTGCCCTGTTGGCCAAACCATAGATTGGCCCAACTAAATGAGAATTTGTTTTTTCCCTGGTGTGAAGTAGCTAATTATCACACAAGGCCTGACTTCGTTTATTGTGTACAGGGCAAAAAGGTGTGCTCTTGGACTATACCACAAATCAAAAACCCTCAATATCCAAATTAGCACAGTTTTTATACACTTTTGGAAAACAAGGGCACATGATCAAGCAATAGGCAACAAGTGACAAAAAGTATTCATTCCCCTGGTAGAGAGTGACTTTCCCATAGACTGGGTTCATTGCTAAAATTTTGCAGCTCTGTCCCTCCTGTCCCTAACTGATAAGGTGAGTAATTAAATGTGCAAAACGTTTTAGCTAATTTATCTACAACAGGAAAGGGGAAGTTAACCCTGAATAAGCTGTTGGCCTGCTTCCAGCTCTTTGATAAGGATATCACTAGCTTTCCAGAAATTTTAGGATAGGAAGCCCAAGAATGAGAGGCCCTCAAAAGTAAAACATCTAGAGCAAAATGAAGGTTTTTCAACAAAATGGGGTTTCTCTGGCTAAAACTAGCTGTACCAATTCTATATCCCTGCAGGATCTATAGCCCAGGCTCAAAGGCACAAATCTGAGTCTGATACTCTCATGCCATGTGCCTTCAGGGCAACAATACAGAAATGGTTTGCTGTTGCCCTTTTCCTAGTCTTTGGCCATAATATTTCCTGGAGTTTTCTGACCAGATCCAATTGTGCTTAGTTTTAGAGTTCAGAGGTGTTGCCACTACTAGGTCATCTCAAAATGTGCTGGGTGAGGTAATGTGATGTCCTTGCCTAATATACAGCGTATGCAGTGGTAGGATTCAGCCAATTCACACCACTTTGGCAGAACTGGTAGCTAATTGTTTGTTGTCCAGGCCCAGAATGGACTTCCGGAAGCGGCATTCATACAGAGAACCTATTGTTCACATATTTGAATCCCATCACTGAGCGTATATGAAAATTATTAAAAATTATCCATCCATATCACACTTCCTTCTTTTGAATGACTTTCTGACTCTTCTGCCTTAAAACTATCTTAGACTTTTAGCTAGGAAAATGATGATATGCCCCCAAGTACTGAACTGCTTTTCAGTTGAGGTCTTTTTTTGTTCCTCCTAAAATGCAAGGCATTTGGCATTCCTCGTGGGTAAGATTTGCTACATCCTGATGTTGCAGCTTCATTTTCTGAGAGTTATCTATCACTAAATAAATCTATTATATTTGGCTTTTCCTTGACTTCTAGTATAAAAACTAAATTCAGTTTTGCTTTGTAAATATGAAAAGTGAAATTTATTTTCTGTTCTCCATAAAGCAATGCGGCAAAAATATGCCTAAGGATGAAGATGGATTTGAGCAAATGCCTGGATTTTTATAAAAATGTGCAATCTACAATTGTTTACTACTTCATCTTGGCAGTGATAGGTTCTTGCTGCCTTGAAACCATTATGGTGGAACATAATTGATATGTCCAATATTTTTTTTTGCTCTTCTGCAGTCATTCTGCTTCTTTATTTAATTAAGCAACTATCTCTGAAAGGATGGCCTAATGGGTCACACGTTGTCTATGGCAAGATCCTCCTTATTAGAGCTTTCCACATGAATTAGATTTCTACCAGAATCTATTTTTCATATTCCCTATTCCCCATTATCTCAAAGCAGGTCATTCTCTAGAAAGGCATTAAAAATTCAAGATTGTGCTTATTCCAATGGAACAGAACAGATTAAATAAAATCTGATGTCCAGGAGAACATTCATTGAGCGAAGTATTGCATGGAACTTCGTTGTCAGGGTGTGCTTCACTTGGCTACTTCAGAAGTTGCTCCCTGTTTTCTTTGCATGTGTGTGCACACAGTACGCAAATACACTACCAAGGCTGGCAGGGAGCAGCTTTGACAGGTAAGCTTGAAAGAAATAAGCTTTTATATTAAAAATGGAATGCTTTGGGCCTCCTGCTTGTTCCAAAGCACGTCTTTCTAAGGATTTGCACAACCCTAAAATGTATCCAAATAAATGCATATCTAGAAAATAAAAATCAGCTAAATACAATTAATTACTCACTTCACACAATAGCTATTGGAACATCCTCTGTGACAACCAGTAAAAACAATCTTCTTTTTACCTAACCTGCATGTCCCTCTGTTGACCTTTAATGGATGACCCTGGGTTTTAAAATTACTTGTCCTTTTTCTTATTTTTATTGAAGAATCATTGTAGCTGTTTCTCATATGAATGTTAAGACATGCATACTTCTGGAAACTTGAACACAAAGTATTTTGCTTATATTTTCTGTTCCAGCTTAAGCACATCTGCTACCCTGGTCTGTTTGTGTGACCTGAACTTGTAACCTGAGAAGCTTCTGCTACTTACAATGCCATCATCATCCCACTTATGAAGAAACCTGTCCTGGGGTTCAGAGAGTTGGCCAATTATTACTGAGCAACCTTTAACAACTCTTCATCAGAAACCTCTACATCCATACAGTATTTGTTAATAGTTAATCTGCTGTAGTATAAATCTGATCTCGACAGCAAAGCAAGTATTAAAAAGACCAGACTGGACAGAAGACTGAAATAGGAAGAGAGAAATTGTGGAACTGCCCTGACAAAAACCTGGCTTGCTAAGGTGAGCAATATTGGTAATTCCTAAAGGAAAGTCCTGGGTTATGTTGAAATGTGAGCTGAAAGGGAAGGAAAGTTACAGTGGGAAGTGGAGAAGCTGCATTGTTTTGTGCCTTCTCTTGACAGGGATCTTGGATAAATTTGTTGTTTTGTTGAGATAGAGAGCATTCCAGTTTGGGAGTGACAGGAAGGTATGGGGAAGTGGACTCTCATTCAGGTATTTACTATGTCTTTGTTCTACCCATCAGCTTCAATCCCCAAAACTATGTTGGTCCTTTCCTGTCCTTACAAACTGCGCTTGTTGGAGGGAATGCTGAGGAAGAGTCTCCCTCAGACACTTGTGGTAATTCTGAAACATTTACTAAAACGTGGGCGTAGATTCTTGACAATAACCTCATTTTCTAGAATTTAATATTTGGCACTCAGGATGAATAAAGTATATTATTATTATTATTTGCTTTTTTTTACCAATAATGGCAAGAAACAATTCCTTGAAAATGCCTATATCTAAAACATGATCCATGTAATATACCATATGTTGTAGAATCATAAAGATATAAAATAAAAGATATAAAAGAAAGATTCAGCTAGATGTGCCTAATGAGCATAGATCTCTGGTGAATGGAGAGTTGCAGGGCAAATCTGCATTTTTCTGTATAACGGTTGAAATTCCTTAATCTTATTCAGCAACAGAAAGAAGTAATTCTGGAACATCGTCAACATGTGGGGAAGGGGGAGTGGAAGAACATTAGGTGAAAGTTATTGCAGCAAATCTAAATTAATGCTACTCTACTTTTCTTCCCACATTGATCTCAGATCACTCCCGTAACTACACTGACACTTGATTCTTGACAGGTCCATGGAGCAGTCATGAACATAAATCGGGGGAATCCAATTGGTCACGAGGTGATTGTGGATTCCTGGCCAGAGTTCAAAGTTGTCCTCACCAGACCAGGCAAAGAGGTAATAAACAGCCTTGTCGGTTCTGATGGAGGGGGGCAGGGAGGAAAGGAAAGGAAAGGAAAGGAAAGCAAAGGAAAGGAAAGGAAAGCAAAGGAAGAAGGAAGGAATATCTAGGAGTCCATAGCCAGCCTCTAATGGATAATTTAAGGTACTGCTGCTTTTTTGGATGAGACCATTTCGGCCTTTCCAAAAAAGAAGGCATTACATTAATGAAGTTATTCCTATCATTTCATCTCCACATTAAAAAAAATTGCTTGGCAAATAGTTGATGTGAGAGATATGAGGAAGAGGTGAATCAGAAGATTATATATAAGCTCCATGCCTTTCTTCTAGATTGCCACAGATCCCTCAGATCAATATGCCAATGCGTATGCAGCATTTTATCAGGATCTGGATGCGTATCGGAGGCTTGTAAAGGATACAGATGCTGTGAACTGGGCCCACACCTTCCATCTCTTTGGTAATGGTCCTTTTTGAAGGAGTGAAGAAAAGGCATTGTATCGATAGGTTTTCTATTACAGTATATATGCAGTGGCATCAGAATGAAAATGGCTCAAACATTCTAACCACTGAAGCCCCCCCCCCAAAAGAAGATAATAACTGCATGTTCCCTTCTCACATTATTCCAACCACTAAGTGTACAATGATGTTGTCACCTTCTGGCAATATTTTCTTGATGTAGTTTTAATTCTTTGCCTATTCCTCTCCCAATGTGAACTGAATTGATCTCAGCAGGTTGTATGACTCTCAGATTAAACATGACCCACATCTAGAGTAAACTACAGGAATGATAGTTTGGATTGATCCAGACTACAGTCATGTGAAAAAGAAAGTACACGCTCTTAGAGTCCTATGGTTTTACCTGTCAAAACATAGTAAAAAATAATCTGGTCTTTAGCAGTTCTTAAAAGTAGGTAAATACAACCTCAGGTGAACAACAACGCATAAGGTATTACACCATGTCATCATTTATTTTTACAAAAAGAAAGCCAAAATGGAGAAGCCATGTGTGAAAATCTAAGTAGGCTTTTCACATTTACAACCATTGTAGACATGGGTCGTGTTATCAAAATTCAGATGCTTGGCAACTGACTCATATTTATGACAGTTGCAATGTCCGGGGGTCATGTACAACTCTGATATCTTGCCGGTTTGTACTTCCAACTTGTGCACACAGTCTTTCCCTGGCAAATGAATGCTTTATTATTTTTCCAGGGACTCAAGAAGGGATCCCCGAAGCTACTCAGGATGCAGCAGCTGCTAAACAAAAAGAGTTATCTGTAGTTCCTCACTTCCTCTATGAACTTTCTGATCCAAATAAATTGCACACTGGTAGGTGAGTGACCACCCTGTTGGCCGTCACCACTGTTATAATGTTGAGGCCTGATGCAGAACTGTTAAGGCATTCTGAAGATTTTGTTAATGATCAGGCTCCCACAGAAATGGGTGCTGTACATCCTTGAAATCTGCAATCACGTTGCTTATGGGTCAGTCAGGTGCCAAAATCAACAGGATTCGTATACGACACATTGATTCCTCCAGGGACAGAGAGACAAAGTCACAGAGGAGGAGAAATGTAACAGGAAGCCTGCCTAGAAAACAGGAAAAAAACAGTAAAACCAGTAACAGACATGATGGCCCTTTTTGAATGCTTGCCTTTCCAAAGGCAGAATATTAGAGAAAATGGGATGTGGAATACAATAATGCTAAAACAAATCTGATTAGCAGTTTCAAGCACTGTAATACAGAATCAGTACGTTTTGTAGACTGATTGCAAATTTCGCAAAGTGAAAGATTATCCATTAGCAAAGACCATGATACAGAATTACATGTCCTCGTTTCATTTTAATTTTTATTTTTTGCCTATCCAAAGCTTAGTTAGTATGGCCTGTGGGGCAAACCTATTTTAGGTTTCTCATTTTTTTTGTAGACTTTAGGACTAAGACCAAGTAGGTTTTAGTAAGAGAAGGAGAAAGCTGGAGCAGAAGAGGTTGTGTCAAACTTCAAACACAATCTGGGCATTTGGCTTTGTGATTCCTCTAGGAACAAAATTGCTTAATAACAGTATTGTGCTAAATTTGTAGATGGTGAAGTTTCCTGGCAGTTAGAACAATTAACCAGTGGAACAACTTGCCGCCAGAATTTGTGGATGTTCCAACGTGGGGAGTTTTTAAGAAGAGATCAGATAACCATTTGTCTGAAATGGTATAGGGCAGGGGTAGGCAACCTTGGCTCTTTTATGACTCGTGGCTCAGGAATTCTGGAAGTTGAAGTCCACAAGTCATAAAAGAGCCAAGCTTGCCTTCCCCTGGTATAGGGTCTCCTGCCTGAGCATGGGTTAGATTAGAACAGGGGTCTGCCACCTTGACAAATTTAAGACTTGTGGACTTCAGTTCCCAGAATTCCTCTGTGCTGGCTGAGGAATTCTGGGAGTTGAAGTCCACAAGTCTTAAAGCTGTCAAGGTGGTAGACCCCTGGACTAGAAGACTTCCAATATCCCTTCCAACTGTACTATTCTATTCTGTTATAAGTGGGGAAAGACTATCTGAAACTCCCATTTCATAAAAATGGAATATTTGCATCTTATTCTTTATTGCTTTATAATACATGAGACACTGGAAATGCTTTCCCATCATCATGGGTCGCATTTTTTAAAAAAGCAATATGGTAACCAAAAATAGAATTCTGCACTTTCATAGAGAAAAATGGAATCAATTCATGAGTCTGCATTTTTACAGAAACAGAATTATCAGGGTAAGCCGCTATCCTTTCTGGGAACAGTTCACACTTGTCTGGCTGGCCAGTTTTGGACTAAAAAGTGGGGAAAGATGACCTCTTTATGACCTGTGGACTTCAACTCCTAGAATTCCTGAGCCAGCAAGTCATAAAAGGGCCATCGTGTCCCACTTCTGGACTTAATAGATAAACTAACAGTTTAATTTTCTGTTCTCATCTCTTTGATTTTGTTCTTTTTGCCTTTCCCCTTTTCCAGGCTTGAGCCCGGCTTCAGACTTTCCTCCTTGAATAGTTCCAATGTTGATCTAGTGAATGAAAACTGGGCCTATGGGGGCAATGAACAAAGCCGCAGGTATCTGGCCAAAATGATACAGCATTTCCCCAGTACTGGCATTCTGAACCAGGAGGGTCACCTTGTCAGCTGGTCGATGATGAATCTTTTTGGCACACAAACAAATGGGTACACCCTCCCATCATTCCGTGGAAAGGGATATTTTACTATAACAGCTAAGGCGCTTTCTATGCAGGCCTATAATGCTGGTTATCCTATATATGGTTTTGTTGTATTAGATAATAACAATATGCAGACTGTGATGGAAAAGGGAGGATATCAGAAATTATCTGAGCTGAGCTACCTGTGCTTTCATTACACCAGTTAGCAGAACAGAGTGAGGAGAGAGGCTATTTTCCTTGGTTTAACCAGATTTTTGTCACCTGCTCCCTGAACTCTGAGAGATACTTACATGCTATTTGTAACTATTGGACATCTCCCAGATCCCCGGGGAGGATCAGGCTTATGAAGAATATTTCTCTGAAATTTCTTTGATTGTCTTCAGCCAATGTTGGTTTGGTGGCCAGGCCTATTCTTTAATGTCTCATTCGTTGATTTAAGATAATATTTAGGATTTGAATTCTATCTCATTCCCAAGTTCTCTATAGGCTTCCTATAGCTGTTGGAGGCCCTTTGGGAAGGTATCAACTGCTGGCCAGATTCAGTTCTTTTCCTGTTTGTACTCCTGAGCAGGTAGTCAATACCTTGGTGTGCTATATTGGTTATAATATTCTGCACGAAGAGGCGCAAACTAAAATAAAATTCTTACAAAAAAAAGCTGCTTTGGATCAATATAAAGTTCGGGCTTTAAATTTATTTCTGTGTTTCATAAGAGATTGCATTCCACACAAAGAGCAGGATCATGATCTAGGAATATTCCCTGACTTTATTTGCTCTCTGGATTTCATGTTATGACTTACACAAATCCATTCAGTGCAACAGCTGCTACCTTTCCCAAATTAACTCTATTTGTCCATAGCTCTTTAGGCCCTGTTTCATCAGGTGTTAACTCCTGAAAGAGGCTGTAGTGCAGGGGTATCAAACTCGCAATGTCATGTAATGTGTCGCAATGTATCGCGACTTTTTCCATTGCCGGCAATGGGGTGGGTGCGGTTTCGGCATGATGTATCTGGCCTGTGGGCCGGCAGTTTGACACCCCTGCTCTAGTGGGACTGACCTTCAGGAAATTCTCTTGACATTGCCAATGCTATTCCCACTGTCACATTTGAAAAATGCAATGCTTCAGGACTCGATTCCAAACCCTGATCTTTGCTTGTTATCTGCCTGTCTTTTGGTAGGGAAGAAGATACTGGACTTTGTTATTAAGATCTACAGTACAGGCTCTTTGAAATATATGCAGATCTGACAAATAGCAATAGCACTTAGATTTATATACTGCCCTGTGGTGCTTTACAGAACTCTGTGTGTGGTTTACAATGTCAGCATATTGCCCCCAACAATCTGGGTCCTCATTTAACCAACTTCAGAAGGATGGAAGGATGAGTCAACCTTGAGTGGGTCAGAATCAAACTCCTGGCAGTGAATAGAGTTAGCCTGCAATACTGCATTCTAATGACTGCACCACCAAAGCTCCTAAAAATGATACTTAGTGCTGTCATTTAAAAAAGAATTATCTTCTCAGCCAACCAAAGGTAATTTCTAAGCAGCTCATCTTTTGGTAGATAAATACAGTAAAGTAGGGGTTGCTACCACCTGGGGACCTATGAGCATAGGGAACAAAATCAGACCCACATTTTTTCAAAAGGCCACTTCTGTGAGGAATCTAGACATTAGGCGGTGGATGAACACACCAGTCAGCATATGAAGCATGGTGCAAACCTATATCAAAAAGGCCTTTGCTGTTCCCAGTGGTCACTTAGAGTTTGTACCTAGATTTGATAGCCCAAATGTTGTACATGTCAGCTCTGCTCCAACCCTCAGAATGTGCGCTGCTGTTGCCATTTCTCTCTGAGTCTGACTTGTTCTGGCTAATTACCAAATTCAGCTGCAGAAGAGAGATAAGAAAGAGTGGATTGTCTTTCTGACTGGTTCATCCTTCTTCACCAAAGGCCTGAGTTTTTTTTTGCTAAAACAGAATTAGAAGTGCATGGCTTTCATTGACTACGGAAAGGTATTTGACTCAGTATTCCAGCAAGCAATAATCAATGCATTGCTCAACCAAGGCATAGACACTGCTTACATAAACTTACCACAGTCAAAATATAAAAAAACAATAGTGACAATTTGCCTTAATGATCTTAAAGTGGAAATCAACATAGAATGAGGTATACGACAAGCTGATACAATAACATCTATCCTTTTCTCAGCCTGCTTTGAAGAAGTATTTTGCAAATTAGGCTGGATAAAAGATGGAATAAAAATCAATGGCGCATATTTAAATCACTTAAGATTTGCAGATGATGTTGTTCTCTTCTCACAAGATCCATAAGAGTTACAAAGACATATAGAAGAATTGAACAAAGCAGAAGAACCATTTGGCTTAAAAATAAACCTGAAAAAGAGCCAAGTTATGTTTAATAAATTCACAATTTATTTATAATTTTTTATATATCTGGAGAAGAACTAGGCATAATAGACCACTGCACATACCTTGGCCAACGGATCTCAATGGAAGGCGATACAAAAAACAAAATTGAATGGCATGTTAAATGTGGTTGGCAGGCATTCGACAAGTTAAGTGTAATTTTCAAGAACAACGTCCTCCTATGCCTGAAAAGAAAAGTTTTCGATCAGTCGTGTTACCTGTCCTAACATATGCCAGCAAAACATGGACACTAACCTCACAATAAATATAAAAGCTATGAGTAGTGCAAAGAGCCATGGAAAGATACATGCTCGGCATCACAAGACAAGATAGAAGGACCCGCACATGGATTAGGGGACAAACGAAAGTATACTATATCATCAAGAGAGTAAGACAATTGAAATAGAAATGGGCTGGTCACATAATAAGAAGAACTGATGGCAGATGGACCATGGCAGTCATAGAATGGATCTTACTTGATAAAAAGCATCCACAAAAGAGACTTAAAACAAGATGGAGCAACGACATCTGCAAGTATTGCGGGCCCAATTGGCAAAGGAAAGCTCAGGACCGTACTGGTTGGAAACATGTAGAAGAAGCCTTCATTCTGCAATGGATAGACAATGGCTAAAATGATAACAAGAGTTGTTGCTTTGGAATTGCTTCCTCTGTAGTTTACACATTTAACTAATATAATACTTCTTTGTCACACTATGAATGGGGAAAATACTAAATTTTGTAATCCTAGACCAAAATCCCCTGCTGCACAAGGCAATGTACATGTATTGAGGGAATATACTTAAATCAAACTTCTTTAGTTGAAAAATAGACATTATCACAAGGAATGATTCACATTTGTCCTAAATACGGGGGGGGGGAGGGGGTTAACCTTGAAAACTGGTCCAAGAGGTTTTCCTGATCCCCAAAATACGGTGAAAGGAATGACCAAATCACCTCTATTCCAATCATAATATATTCTGTACAAAAAGAACATCTGAGAACTAAGGAGTGCATCTTGGATGCCACATACAGTATTCTAAGAAGTAATTGGGGACAAATTCATTAGCAGATATGATTACTTATTATTAAACATTGCTATTCAAAATGGCTTTCTGTCTTTCTATTCAGTCACAGCCACTCTAGCTTGTGAAAAACATTATAGTAAAAAAAAAATATATAGATCATCCTTGACTTACAACCATCCATTTAGTGATCGTTCGAAGTTACAACAGCACAGGAAAAAGTGACTTACGATTGTTTTTCATATTTATGACAATTGCACCTGGGGTCACGTGATCAAAATTCAGCTGCTTGACAACTGAGTCATATTTATGATGTTGCAGTGTCCAGGGGTCAGGTGATCCCTTTTGCAAACTTCTCCCAAGCAAAGTCAAGGGAGAAGCCAGTTACACTGAACAACCATGTTACTAACTTAGTAACTGCAGTGATTCGTTTAACAACTGTGGCAGGAAATGTTATAAAATGGGGCAAAACTCACTTAACAAATGTCTTGCTTGGCAACATAAATTTTGGACTCAATTGTGGTTGTACGTTAAGAACTCTCTGTATAGTAGAAGCTAAGTGAAAAGATGGGTTGTGATCATTGGTCATAGAAAAATAAGCCAAAGTGTTTGAGCTCTATTTTCCTCTGGTTTATAACCAGATTGAAACAAGGCAAAATTATTTGCCAGCTCAATTATGCCCATTCTTTTTTCCAGGCCTCCAGTACAGAGGACAAAGGTACTATCTTATTAATGATTCATTTTTCAGGAATAAAAGATGGATTGACTGGATAGCCAAGCAGTAATGGTGTCATCCGCACTCTGAATCTCTTCATAATTGAAGTCGGCCTTCTCCTCTGCATCAACATTAAAGGAAATTTCAAATGGATTCTCAGAGCCAGCCCTAGTTAACAAATTGATCAATGATTGAGAGGGTGCAAGGTGAGGGGAGGAGGAAGATATTGGTCAGATTTTTTTTTTTAAGGACATGAACTAGGAGGTGGTTCAATAGCGAATCACAGGACAAAAATCACAGTTCAATATTACATGGAAAAAAAAGCTGAAACCCTGTCAAATCTAAGAGGATTGTTATTCATCCATGACAAATGTAAGGTCCTATCTCTGATGGGAAAAATGAAACACATGGGCAGAGGACAGGGAAAGCCTGGCACAGCAGCACAGCTTGTGACAAGGATCTAGGGCAGAGGTCCTCAAATTTTTGGGCACCAGGGACCAGTACCATGGAGAAAAGTTTTTCTGTGAACCGGAGAGTGCCCGGTACTGGTCCACAGAGCAGGGGTTGGGCACCCCTGATCTAGGGGACCAAACAGACAACTGGCTGGACATAAGCAAATGCTGGGATGCAACACCCAGACAAGCCAATGGAGGTTTGGACTCCTAAAAAGGAATCAATGTGCCCAACGCATAGAAGAAAACCATTCCATTATATCCTGCAATGACAAGGCTGCACTTGAGGTTCTGGACACTGTTTTTTTTTAAAAGGAGGAGGGAGAAATGGGAGAGAGTTCAGAGAAGACCTCCTGGACTGGGGAGGGGTCTGGAAAACATTAACCCTGAGAAATGATTAAAGGAGCTAAGCTATAAATATTGCAAGGCTTTCACATAGAGTATGATCTTTTTTTAATCAAAGCTAGGGCAGAGTTCTTTCCAGTTCACACACTATATAATTATATGTCTCATGATCCGTTCAACCATTATTTGACCACAAAGGCATTTTCTGAGTTCAGAATCTGCATCACTGACAGAGACCTTTTGAGCACATCTTCTTGGTCTCCAGCAGGCAGGCAAGTTGGTTCATAAACAATTGATGCAATTCTGCCTCTTTGCTCTCTTCAGGTTTGCTCACCAGAAGACATTTTTCTGGGACCTGCGGGGCACCTTCTACCTGGCCAGCCATGCTGATCCTGACCTGCTCTTCCAAGTTGCAGCTGCTGGAGAGTGTATTACGAAAGGGCCTCCCTGAAACGCTGCTGGTAATCACCTATTTAGTTGCTCCTCTTCTCTCAATGTGAATATACAGTAAGAGCCGATTGTTTCCCTGTTTACTGTGAATTTGGAAAAAACCGCATCTGTTAAATTTCTAAATTTGATACCAGCCATGCAGTTATTTCACGTTCAAGTCTACTTTTCCTTTAGTCACATTTGCAAATGCAAAGCCAATAATGTCCAAAATATAAGTGCACCAGCAACAGCAGAAGCAGGAGAATCTCTCTTTGCTAATTTTTCCCGTTACAGAAAATCCAAAAACCACTTGGCCTTTCAGTAAGACAGTGAATTCCTACAACTCGCCCATCTTAGCATTTGGCCCTCAAAAGGCTTTGGGTGGCTTCTGATTCAGCCAATCAGAGACAGCTCACTTCTGTACCCAGATCCACTCCTATCCAAACCTTTTCATGCATTACATAAGAGAAAAAGCAGAATATCTCCTGGACTAGATCTTCCTGTCCCTCTTTTTAATTTAAGGTCTGTGGGGCAGTGATGCACATCAACCGTGGAAACCCAGCTCAGCACGAAGTCGTGGTGGACTCTTGGCCAGAATTTAAAGTTGTTCTTACCCGACCACAGAAGGAGGTAAGAAATTACAACACAATGGGGTTTTCCCACAGCGTCCTATCAAAAAATTGGAGGAAAAAAAAAAGAAACATAGATATCTCTAGGGCACAAAAACCATTTAGGAGGTGCTGTAGCACTTTTCCTTTTCCTTGTTTTTTTTATATCCCTCTTTCAAGTTAGCCTGACCTCACCAACTCCTCTGCATGATCTCTGCCATCTGCTCTATCCCCAGTGCCCTGAGTGTCTCTGTGCCACTTCCTGCAGGTGGTGAAGGACAACAGGGATTATTATGCCAACCTCCATGCTGCTTTCTATCGGGAGGAAGATGCCTGTAGGAGGCTCCTGGAAAACAAAGATGCCGTAGATTGGGACAAAGCCTTCCAGCTGCAAGGCAAGGCCTGGGCTCTGGCAATTTCTTCTCCATCCTTAGGAGATTGTGAAAAGTGTTAAAAACCTGGTTGTTCCCCCAACTGTAACCAAAGACAGGAAATTCAGTGCTTTTTTTGTTAAAAAAAAAAAGGTGCCACATGAAGTATTAATTCACGTGAAGTATTAATACCACTCTACAATGCCTTGGTAAGGCCACATTTGGAATATTGCATCCAGTTTTGGTCACCACGATGTAAAAAAGATGTTGAGACTCTAGAAAGAGTACAGAGAAGAGCAACAAAGATGATTAGGGGACTGGAGGCTAAAACATATAAGGAACGGTTGCTAGAATTGGGTATGTCTAGTTTAACGAAGAGAAGGACAAGGGGGGACATGATAGCAGTATTCCAATATCTCAGGGGCTGCCATAAAGAAGAGGGAATTAAGCTATTTTCCAAAGCACCTGAAGGCAGGACAAGAAGCAACGGGTGGAAACTAATCAAGGAGAGAAGCAACCTAGAACTAAGGAGAAACTTCCTGACAGTGAGAACAATTAATCAGTGGAACAACCTGCCTCCAGAAGCAGTAAATGCTCCAACACTGGAAGTTTTTAAGAAGAGACTGGACAGCCATTTGTCCGAAATGGTGTAGGGTTTCCTGCTTGAGCAGGAGGTTGGACTAGATGACCTCCAAGGTCCCTTCCAACTTTATTACTATTATTATTATTAACTCACACATGTCATACAACCCGCCTTCCATGCAAAAAAGGTGCCGGAACTCCGTACTGGGCATTCTATGACAAAAAAAACCCTGAAGAAATTTATAGCCTTATGCCACACCCCATTCCAGCCACCACCAACATTTCTTTGTGTCTGGGGAAATGTCTCTGTGCCACCCAGTTGCAGAGAATTAGGAGCAGAGAAAAGATAATATTACACTCTGAACCTCAGGCTGTTTTCCTGTCATATTTCTATTCTATGCAGGTCTTCAGGATGGTCTTTATCATGCTGTGAAAGTCATGGCAGAGGCTAGACGTGTCCACATGGAGCCCTATTTCTACCAGGCAACACTGCACCCAGACGCAGCCTCGTTTTGTCAGAACCAGTGAGTGATCGTGCTCTTTCTGAGGGAACTGTTTGGAAATCTGTTAAATGGATTCGATTCCATTCAATTACTTGGAATTCAATAATGAAACCAAGGACTTCTGGCAGCTTTAAATTATAACTAATCATATCCTCTGTAGAAAACTAGGAGTATGTTTTATTTTGTTTGTTTGTTTGTTTTCAATTTCTATGGCAGCCCATCTCAGTCAATGACTCTGAGTGGCTTATGGTTTACAAAATATATTACAATTAAAAATGTAAAAACATTTTAAAACAGTAAAAAGAGTAAAAACAGTTACGAACATTAAAAAACATCCAAGTCAAGACAACCAAGAGCAAGATGTTGTTTCTGCTATATGTAAAAGAGAGATAGATTTACATATACGGCCCCAGTGGTTATAGTGCGGAATTTATTATTTTTTGCCAAATTGGAAGACGTGGAAAGGACAATATTATTAGACTTGGAAAAATTCACTGAATACAACTGCTCCATTGGGTTCTCCAAAAGCATAAATTATGATTTAAACCAAAAAACAGGATCCCCAATAGATGGCTGCACTTTCAGGAAACTGTTACGGGGATATTTCAGAATAAGTGAGATTCTCTTGAAATATCCAATTAGACTTTTAGTCTTCCTGGGAATGAGCAAAGATTTTTTTCCATTATGGTGGGATGTTCTCCTTTTGCTCCACCTTCACGACTACCTTCTCTTTCCTTTCAGGCTCAGAAGTGAGCCCCTCCACCTGGGGACCCTCAGCCCATCTCATGCAGCCCTGCTCAATGACACCTGGGCTTTTGCAAGCAACGATTGGAGCCTGCGCTATCTCAGAAGCCTGACCGAGAACTTCCCAAATGCTTGTCTCTTAGATGAGGAAAGCCAGCCAGTTGCCTGGTGCCTAAGTGATGCCATTGGGAGTATGACACATGCCTATACCCTTCCCAAATATCGGGAAAAGGGTCATATGAAAACAGTATTTCAGGCACTAGCCAGAAAGTTGCATGCTAAGGACTTTGTCGCATATGGGGGAGTTCTGCCAGAGAACAAGGCCTCCAAGAAATTTTTATTTAGTCAGGGCTTTGAGCTCTTGCCTTTGATAAAACACGTTCTTTTATTCACTCCAAATCACATGAAATAGCCTAGTGCATTTTTCCTCCTTGAATCAGTAGCACCACTGCTGGCTTCATTAGACTAAGAGGTTGGGAGTAAATTTGAACCTTAGATTTAAGGGACTGCCTCTTTGTATATATTCAAGATTAAATCTGAAAAGAATCACAAGAACCAAGAACGGATCTCAGTGAATGTGCATTCTAAAACAGAACTCTTGGAAACAGTGATGGCGAACCTTTTGAGCTCAGTATGTCAAACATTTGGAAAGTGCCTAACTTGATTCTGCTGGTGTGTCACCTTCCCACCAACAAAAGAGGAACAATTCTGTATTCCCTCCTCCATCTAGGCCACCCTGAACGGCAGCACTCAATGGCAGCCAATGCTGGCTGGAAGTAGAGCCTGAACCTCAGCCTCAACCCTATCACCATTGCTGCCAGTGAAAATGGTCACCTTGCACCATTCCCCAAAGTATTTCAAGCCTTAGAGAACGGTGTGCTTGCCCCAGTGACCCAGGACTTACCTGGGCCTGCCATATTCCGTTTACCTTCAGATGCTGCTCTCTTTCTTTTGACAGGCCCATGCAGCTAACCTGAGGCCTTTGTTCTTGAAGAGGCTTCAGAGAATAAACCTCTGTGGCTTCTGCCACCTCTGAAAACAATGCAAAACTACTGTCATGGCTGAAGCACAGCTCGCAGTGCAAACCTCGCTCACAGCCAGATAGGAAGCAACAGAGGGAGTGAATGATTGGAATGTAAGGGAGGTATTGGGATGGGACCAAAGGAATGCAAGAGAGCCAACTGGAAGCTTCCAGCTATGCCAACACCTCAAATTGAATCAGCTGGGAAAGCCAAGTCCATTATCCAAACAAAATGAACATAATAGATTGGAGGAAATAAAGTGACTGTGGGACAACGGGGGGGGGGGGAAGAGGATGTTTAATTATGCTGTTTGCACGGGAACCTGCTAGAAATTAGCATTGCTACTTCTGTATCCATGACAGCTCAGTAAATTGTACTCTTGGAAAATGAAACTGGTCCAGGAGTCTTTATTTGGTGAATGAACTCTGTAGGATGGTTGACAAGTACGCCCCATTCTCATTAAATGTTTGTAGGCCTCACAAAAGCATACCCTGTTCTCATGAGGCGTCCACGGCTTCCAAAAATCATACAAGAATGGGACATGCTTTCAAGAATAGTAGTCAGGTATTGGTGAATGAACGTCTCCCAAAATGGTATGTCGTAGGTTTGCCATCACTGCTTTAAATAATACATTTCCCATAGCTTCCTCTAAGCATACATTTTACTGTATCAGTCTCTAGCACTTTGGCACTGAATCTTTTTTATATGCGGGAGCATACCCCATCACTACTCTGAGTCTTCCATCCTACAATCATCTTCACTTCTGCCTGCTTCAAAGACAGAGAATAAAATAGGTCAGTGAATCTCTAAAGCCATTATTGCTCCCACCAGCTTCTGAAAGTGCAACTATCAGTGTTGACCGTAATCTACACATTTACTAGGATATTGTCTCATATTAAAGATTTTGTTATCATGTCTCATGTCATGGTGCAAGATGCAATTATTGTATCTACAGACTGGTTAACAGCAAGTTTTATTCCCATTAATAAATTCAACTAATTGTCTGGAATTTTGCATAAATTTACCCATGACTTTAAAATTACTCCGGCTGAATGAACATGCAGGAATACTTGAATTCCAGCATTCAGATACAAATTATTGTGAGGGCAAAACATAACAAAAATGGTATAACAATTTTACTATATTGAAAAATTATCATTAAAATATTAAATATTAAAATATTTTTTAAAATCTCCTTAATAACAAAAGAATAATGTTCCTAGAATCACTATGATCTCATTTTGTGAAACTCCTGAATTTTTCATCATTATTTGAAAAGATCGCTGCCTTATAGGTTTTTAAATTGAAATGTTTCATTTGCCTTTTCAAGTGCTTAAAAAAAGTTGAGTTAGTAGTGAGTAAACATTGTTATTGGTAATTTTATTGCAGGGAAGCAACATCATATTCTAATTTAATTATTTATTTCACTTGCACAGAATTCTAGTATCTAGACATTCCCAAAAGTCTTCCAAAAATGGTTGGTAGGAGAAATCTATGTGGTGATACAATTTTGCATCACAACAACTTGTCTCTTAGATGAAGCTAGCAATTCCTGCAGATATCTAGCTTAGTCCTTAGATGCAACAAAACCTCTCAGATTTTATGCCCGACTAACTTCGGAAGGAAAAGGGAAAAATGCAACACTGATAAAATGACAAAAAACTGACAGAGATACCTAGTTTGTGCATAGAAATTTCAGTCTCCCAAATACCCAATCTCTGTCAAGGTAATCTACCCTATTCTGCATATATTTTCAATGTTGAAAAAAAAAAGATACATCTGATCAAAGCGGCAGTATAGCATGCGAATCAGCTAAAACACAAGCACAAGTCTGTTCAGAAGTTCTGGTTCTAAGATGTCAGCACATCTTGTTTGGAATGTTATATACATATATGGATCAGTGGGAGATCCATCAGTGAGAGAGGATTTATGATTTGTATAGTCTTAAAAGATTTTTTTGATAAAGATGATGTATAATTTTATACCTTTTTGATACAGATCACCAGAAAAATTGGCTAATTTGTATAAACGTTCTTCAAACATAGGTTGGAAATGTAAATGAGATATTTTATCATGTTTGGTGGTCATGTAAAAAACCCAGAAAATTTTAGACTCAATTACACACAGAAGATTTAAAAAACTCATCTACAATTAAAATCAAAGAATTTTCTTTTGAAATTGATGGATAAGCAGCTAGAAAAAAAATTATGGAACCTTGTTTTTATATACGACTGCAGCAAGACTATTATAAGCACAAAGATGAAAAGTTTTAACTTTACCCACAATGGAGGAATGGATGATGAAGCTGATGGAATTTGCTGAGATGGCCAAATTGACTGCATTAACTAGAGAAACAGCATTAATTGGAAGCTTTCTTTCTTTCTTTCTTTCTTTCTTTCTTTCTTTCTTTCTTTCTTTCTTTCTTTCTTTTTCTTCCTTCCTTCCTCCTTTCCTTTCCTTTTCTTTCCTTCTTTTATTTTTCCCTTTCCTGCACTTTTAGCTTTCTCTTTAATTTTTTTATTTTTTTCTTATTTTATATAAACTTGTATTGGTTGATATTTTCTTAATATCCTGTTTGTCTATCTCTATTTCTATCTCTATCTCTCTCACTATCTTGCTATCTATCTGTCTGTCTGTCTGTCTGTCTGTCTATCTATCTATCTATCTACTATTCTCTCTCTCTCTCTCTCTCTCTCTCTCTCTCTCTCTCTCTCTCTCTCTCTCTCTCTCTCTCTCTCTCTCTCTCTCAATCTAACCTTGCCAAATCTAACAAGATGGTTATTCATCTGGGACAAATGTAAGGTCCTATCTCTAGTGGGAAAAATGAAACACACGGACAGAGGATTGGGAAAGTTTGGCATGACAGCAGAGATCATGAAAAAGATCTAGGAGGCCAAGCAGGTAATGGGATAGATAAGAGCAAACACTGGGATGCAGCACCCAGAAAGCCAGTAGAGGACTGGGCTGCCTAAAAGGGAACCAATGTATCCAGCATATAGGAGAAAAGAGTCCTGTTATATCCTACACAGACTAGGGTGCCCTTGAAGGTCCGTGACAGATTCAGGGCATTGCTTTTTAAAAGAAGGAGGAGAACCAGGGTCAGAGGAGAACTCCTAGGCTGGGGAGGGATCTGGAAACCATTTCCTATGAAGAATGATTAAAGGAGCTAAGCTATAAATATCTTCAAGGATATCACATACTCTGACTGAAGGTTGGGCAGGGTGCGTTCCAGCTCACATACTGTCTAACTCGGGATTTGTTCAGTCCATATTTGATCAAGAAGACTTTTTTTCCCCCTGAAAGTTCACAGTCTGCATCACCCTTTCAGCACATTTGCTAAGTCTCCAGCAAGCAGGCAAGTTGGTTCATAAACAATTGATGCAATTCTGCCTCTTTGCTCCCTTCAGATTTGCTCACCAAAGGACATTTTACCGGGACCTACCTGACCAGCCATGCTGATCCTGACCTGCTCTTCCAAGCTGCAGCTGCTGGAGAGTGTGTTGCGAAAGGGCCTCCCCGAAACGCTGCTGGTAATCACCTATTTAGTACTCTCTTCTCTCAAAGTGAATATACAGTAAGAGCTGATTGTTTCCCCATTTACTGTGAATTTGGAAAAAAAAACTGCATGTTTTTTTCTAAATGCGTAATAACATCTGATACCAGCCATGCAGTTATTTCACGTTCAAGTCTACTTTTCCTTTAGTCACATCTGCAAATGCAAAGCCAATAATGTCCAAAATATAAGTGCACCTGCAACAGCAGAAGCAAGAGAATCTCTCTTTGCTGATTTCTCCTGCTACGGAAAATCTTTGCTATGACAGGAACGGCAGAATCTCTTCCAGACTGGATCTTCCCGGTCCTCTTTTTAATTTAAGGTCTGTGGGGCAGTGATGCACATCAACCGTGGAAACCCAGCTCAGCACGAAGTCGTGGTGGACTCTTGGCCAGAATTTAAAGTTGTTCTTACCCGACCACGGAAAGAGGTAAGAAATTACAACACAACGGGTTTTTCCCACAGCGTCCTATCAAAAAATTGGAGGGGAAAAAAAAAAGAAACATAGATATCTCTAGGGCACAAAAACCATTTAGGAGGTGCTGTAGCACTTTTCCTTTTCCTTGTTTTTTTTATATCCCTCTTTCAAGTTAACCTGACCTCACCAACTCCTCTGCATGATCTCTGCCATCTGCTCTATCCCCAGTGCCCTGAGTGTCTCTGTGCCACTTCCTGCAGGTGGTGAAGGACAACAGGGATTATTATGCCAACCTCCATGCTGCTTTCTACCGGGAGGAAGATGCCTGTAGGAGGCTCCTAGAAAACAAAGATGCTGTAGATTGGGACAAAGCTTTCCAGCTACAAGGCAAGGCCTGGGCTCTGGCAATTTCTTCTCCACCTTCAGAGATTTTGGAAAGTGCTAAAAGCCTGGCTGTTCTCCCAACTCTCAGGATAACATAGTTGTGGAACTCCGTTTAGTTTAGCTTAGTTTTGTTTAGTTTAAGACAGAGTGCTTGTTTTTCTGGTCAGCTATCCTGTTTTTTTTATTTATTTGCAAGCCACCCAGAGTTATTTAGGAATTGGGCAGTCCCAAAATTGGATTAAATAAATATCTACAAATCTCTCTATTTCTCTCTCACTGTTTCTCTCTGTCTTTCTCTCTCTGTGTGTCTCTCTCTCTCGCTCTCTCTCTCGCTCTCTCTCTCTCTCTGTGTATGTGTTTATACATACATTCATGCATACACACACGTAGAGAAACATTCACAGTATGAAAAATTAAACATATGGCTTAGAAAATAGTCTCAGTTATCATTTAAAATAATTATAAATTGAGTAACTTTGCAATTAATGTTTTCAACAGGAGAATCACAGAAGGGAAAAACTTCTTTATATTTTGCTTTACATGCTATGGAACCTTGGAGCTATCCACCAGAATTATGGGATCCACTGAGTTTAATGGTGTCAATGCAAGCAGATGAACAGATTAAATCATTAAGAAATTTGTCTTAATTTTTGCAAAAATCAATATAAATGCATTTTACCTCTATAATTGAAGTGAAATTACCAGTCAAAGCATCAGTCACATTGCCTTATGAGAGATACAAACCCTATTCTCAATGTTCTTTAGACCAATGTCTTTTTTAATAGCTAACTACATAACATAGAAGAAAATCAAATGATGCATAGAATTAATAATCCTGAATATGTCACCTTCCTTTTGGCCTGATACATAAAATCTACAGAGGAACCAGTAGAACTGCTATTTGGCCTTTAAACTCAGAAGTTCTGCATCATGCAAAATCCTTGTGCTCTTTTATTTTATAATTCCAGATAATTCAATCTAGAGTTTGCCATGATAGAAGACATTTGTCCTAGTGGGCCATTCCTTGCTACATATTATGAAGAACGGTTACAGGAACTGGGCATGGCTAGTCTAATGAAGAGAAAGACCAGGGGAGACATGAAAGCAGTGTTCCAATATTTGAGGGGCTGTCACAGAGAGGAGGGGGTCAACCCATTTTCCAAAGCACCTGAAGGCCAGACAAGGAATAACGAATGGAAACTGACCAAGGAGAAATTCAACCTGGAAATAAGAAGAAATTTTCTGACACTGAGAACAATCAACCAGTGGAGCAGACTGCCTCAGATGTTATTGGTGCTTCATCACTGGACGCTTTCAAGAAGAGACAGGACTGCCACTTGTCAGAAATGGAGTAGTGTCTCCTGCTTAGACAGGGGGTTGGACTAGATGACCTACAGGGTTCCTTCCAACTCTGATTCTATTCTATTCTATTCTATTCAGCCCCACCATTTTCCTCTGACTGGGAAATGTCTCTGTGCCACCCAGTTTTAGAGATTAGGAGGAGAGAGAAGTTAACATTTCATTCTGACTCTCAGGCTGTTTTCCTATGATATTTCTATTCTATGCAGGTCTTCAGGATGGTCTCTATCATGCTGTGAAAGTCATGGCAGAGGCTAGACCTGTCCACATGGAGCCCTATTTCTACCAGGCAGCACTGCACCCAGATGCAGCCACGTTATGTCAGAACGAGTGAGTGATCGTGCTCTCTTTCTGAGGGACAGTTTCGGGGATCTGTTAAATGGATTTGATTCCATGCAATGTTCTGCAATTCAGTAATGAAACCAAGGACCTCTGGTATTTCCATAACTAATTCCTATCTGCTGTAGTAAGCTAGGAATATGTTGTTTGTCCTATTTGTAAAAAAGAGACAGGTTTACAAATAAGCTCCCTGTTTTGCTGCCAACTTGGAAGATGTGGAATGGACAACAGTTAACAGAGAGTTGGAAGAATTCCCTAAATGTAACTGCTCAATTGGCTTCTCCAAAAGAAAATGGCTTTGGAAATATTAATGATATTTAAAGTAAAACAAAACACAAAAGGATCCTAAAATTGATTATTGCATTTCAAGAGACTGTTAAGGGGATATTTCAGAGTAACTGGGGTTTTCATTCTTCCGCTACTGAGTAACTCTGAGACCATGATTCTCCTTGAAATATCCTATCAGTGTTTTAGCTTTGGGTGTGAGCAAAGCTTTTTTCCAACATGGTGGGATGCCCTCCTTTTGTTCTGTCTTCACTGCCACCTGCTCTTTCCTTTCAGGTTGAAAAGTGACCCCTTCCACTTGGGAATGCTCAACCCATCCCATGCAGCCCAACTCAATGACACCTATGAATTTGGAGGCAACGATCAGAGCCTGCGCTACCTAAGGAGTCTGGTTGAGAACTTCCCAAATGCTTGTCTCCTAGATCAGAAAGGGCAGCTGGTTGCCTGGAGCCTAAGTGATGCTCTTGGATGCCTGACACACGGCTATATTCTTCCTGAGTACCGGGGAAAGAGACATATGAAAACAGTGGTGCAGGCAGTAGCCAGAAAGTTGCACACTAAAGATTTTGCCTTGTACGCTAGAGTTCGGCCAGAGAATGAGATCTCCAAGAAACATTTAAGGGGCCAAGGCTTTCATCTCTTGCCTTGGACAAAGTATATTCTTTTTTTCATTCCAAATCACATGAAATAGCAGAGGCAGCATTCAGGCTTCATTAGATGGTGAGGTTGGAAGTAACATTCACACAGAGATGTAAGGGACTGTGTCTGGATATATTCAAGTTTAAGTCAAAAAAGGATCACAAAAACCAGAAATAGCTATGAAGGAATAACTGTACATTCTAAAATAAAATTCTTGCAGCCTTTAAATGGTGCATAGCCCATAGATATCCCTTGACATTCATTTTACACCTTATCTGGATCCAGTATTTTGGCCCTAAATCGCTTTTTATTTCAAAAGAGCTCTTCCACCCTACCACTGCTTGGAGCCCCCCCCCCGTCCTGTGATCATATTCACCTCTGCCAATTTCAAAGGGCTGAGGATAGACCAATGATTCCCTGCAACAATTACTGCTCCGACAACTAACCGGTAGGATAGTGTAAAGTATGTCTTTCACTCGGTTCCATATGCCAAGCGCCATCTTTTAGGATTCTGCCACTCTTAGAGGAAGAAAGATGATTGCTAGTGAGGGCCACTGTGAGAGACAGTTTGGTCTATTGGTTAAGGCAGCAGGCTAGAAAGTGGGAGATTGTGAGTTCAAGTTCCATCTTAGCCATGAAAGCCAGCTGGGTGACTTTGGGGCAGTCACTGTCTCTCAGGTTAATCCATCTCACAGGGTTGTTATTGTGCGGAAAATAGGAAGAGAAAGGTGTGTTGGATAAATACACCACCTTAAGTTATTTGTAAAAATAATAAAGGCGGGATACAAATAAATAAATATTCTGCTGTCCTTCCCAATGTCTAGGAATCATATATAAAAATGTCTACATATTTGGGGTTTCTTCTGCTTTATGACTAGTTTATTAAAAACAAATCCAGGTATAAGTTTTTGTCAACTGGGGAATTTCTCTGAAAGCTTCATAACACTGGACTAATCAAGCGTAAGTTGGGACAATAATACTTGGTTTTTGCTAGTTATCATAAGGAAACATCTGGGAAGTAGTATGCCTCTCTGAATTTTTATTTCAGTGCTTCTGTTGGAACCAGTGTATTGCACACCACCTCAGAATTTCTGTCTATTCTGTGAGTGGATGTTGTTGGATGTTGTCTCTTCAAACTGGTTAACGATAAGCTTCAGTCTTACACAAACACAAAATATTGTATGGTACCAACCAAGAATTTCCTTATCATTTAGAAGTCAAACATGTTGATGACTTGCATGTACTTCTGGAGACTGAATAAAGCATTACAAAACAAGAGCAATTTACCACAGTTATTTACAATACCTGCTATAGTCCATGTTAGCTTGTCAACCTGAAGCAGCAATAGATTAGCATAAGCTGCTAGATACCATAAGAAGAGGTCTCCTATACCCGTGAAAGAAGTTAGGAAGAATAAAATAGCTATTGATACTGTGTTCCTCCTCTTGCAAAATTTACTTTCTCCAGACAAATAGCAATAGAAGCTGAACATCTATTGATAAAGGAAAAATAGAAACGCTAACCCCAGATACATTTGAACTCCATGAGCTGTTGCCTCTCAGCTTTATTCCAGAGTCACATAGTTAAAAAATAATCCTCAGCTCTAATGTATTACTTGCAAGGCCAGTTCCAGCAGGCCATCAGTATGTAGAGAAAAGTCAAGAGTTATGATAGATGCAATGGTTGACTCCAGAAACAGGAAAAGTAAATAAAGTTGTAGTTGGATCTATAGACAAACTTTTATCTGTGAACTTTTCAATTTATTTATTAGACTTATTTGCCATCATCTCACCTCAAGGCATCTCTGGGCAGCTTGGAAACATTAAAAGCCATAAAGCATTGCAACAATAAATATAATAACATGTCAAGGTATTGATTTAACAGCTAACCAGCTTATGAAATGTAAGATTTAAGATGTAATGATGGGAATGACTCAGCAAGGTCTGTATCATTTTAAGAGCCTTTGTATAAAGGGAAGGCTCTGCTGATGTGTTCTCTCTCTTCCATTTCCTGCTGTAACTGTGGTTTGTTGGATCCTGCTGTATTAGCACCTGTATGTATATTGTTCCTGGTGTATGATATTTAGATAGTGTAAGATAAACCACCATTTAATATAGACCACTGTTTACTGTGTTTACTCCTGGGTTACCTTGCACAATAAGATTGTGCACGCTCTAACATAACAGTAATAAATTAAATTTGAAATGGTGGGGAGGAAGATAGCAAGAAGTATTTTAGTTTTCATTATTTGGGAATGCAGGCAGTTAATAGTTCATTAGTATTTTTTCTCTACAGTCAATTGTCAGTGTACCAAATTAATAAAATTCCTTCAATACACGACAAAGCAAACAACTTTTGGAAGGGGCAGACAAAAGGCATCTGTTTGCTACATTCACCATCTTCAATCACAATCACATCATACACTATGAAAACCAGGCAAATCCACTTTTAGTATCTCAGAATGAGGTGCAGTACCGAAATATTATTTCGGAAAGTGGTACTCTTGCTGCCATCTAGTGATGGAGCACAAAAGATAATCAGTTTTTATGCTTCTGCCCATTTATGTACACTGATTTGATTTCCAGTCAAGAACTCCTAAACAGTCTTCCTTGGATTTTTTTTTTTTCTGGAGATGGCAAAGTTTGTAAATCCTACATGGCATTACTAACTAGCATCTAATCAACAAAACCATATAAAAAATTCACATAATTCCATTCAAACCATACAAGAATCTCACACAATTTCAACATCTGTTTATATTGGTCAGATACCTCTTCAATTCTTTTAGATAGGATTACCAAATCTGGGCTATTAGAATCCAGAGAGCAAAGACATATAGAAAATAACTTTGTGGCATTATCTAATGATTGTCAGAATTGCTGTAACCTAGCTGTTAGCCTTAACTACGGACACTAGAAGGAATGACTTACTATTGGACTAAAGGCAGCAAAACAACTGCAAATTGCTACTGAATGCACATTAACCTGCCTTTTCGGCCAGGTAAGGGGTTGCCCACAATACTAGGGATGGGATTCAGTTTAAGTGCCTGCTGCTTTATTAATATATAACCACAAGCATAAACATATTAACTGAGGCAGTACTGGTAAATAAATACACCTGTTGCTGAGTAATCAATTTACTGTTGTGTTTGAAGAAAGGCTGGAGGAGGACCTCTCTTAGAATTACACACTTAGATCTAACATGCTCAGTAGCTCTGCTGAATGCACCACGGCTTTAGATGACGCAAGATTTCTAAATCAGCCCCTTGCCCCTTCACAGATTTGGCTGGAAAGCCGAACTAAGAACTGGTGCCCTTCTCCAACAGGGAGAGGAATGAAAATTCTTTGTCCTGGCCAGGAAGGAATAGGGAAGAAGCTGGTGGATATGGAAGATGATAGCACTGGCACATCTACCAAATATTACAATTTTCCCAAGACTACCACACATTTTTGGATTATAGTCCCACAAGAGAACACTGCCCTCAAAACAACTGAAAACAATAATTGTGCTGTATTCGAAGAGCTCCATCTTGTTTTTGCTTTTACTTTGCTTGGTTGTCTCCTCTACAGGGCTTCTTCTGAGTAATGCTTGGTTCGTGGTTGCAATTTGGCCAGGAGTCTGCTCCTTCTTGCAGCCAATTAAGGACAAAGACAAGTTGCTCATGGTTAATTGCAGTTTATGGCCCAATAACTTCTTTGCCTCTTGGACTTTGCAGCCCAGATTTATTGCTGGAACAATTTTGAGTGATTATTTTAAAAAAAAAAAATTATTCACTTATACGCAGATTTAGATCTTTGGTAAAAACGTGCATGCAACACAGGATGCAACTTATAAACATGATTTTCCTGATCAGAGTTTGATTATATGATTATTAATTATATGGTTAAGATTATGGGAAAAATGTTGCTCTTGTAAAGCTGCTTCTGCTTGTATTATTCTGCTTAAGAATGCAACAAAGTGTAGGACCGCATTGTGCAAATAGCAATTCAAAGAGTTTCAAATATGGTTTTTTACTGGCCAGTAAAAAGACCAGCAAGGACCTAGTGCTGTGTTTTTTGTGGGGAAAGTTGTATTATTTAATTCTTTTTAAAGAGGCTGCAATAATGGATGTGCATACTGAGCATAAGCCACACTGACTGCTTCAGTTGAGACTGTCAAGTCAGCAACATGCTTCTTCAATTGCTGCCCAGGCTAAGTTAGGTCAATGCAACTGATGCCTTGCTTTTTTTGGAGTGTTGTGATTGTAATGATTTTGACTGCATCAAAATTGTAATGTGACTTTGAAGCCTTTCATGGAAATGGAGTGCAAATCATTCTTTACCTCTTTTATAAATAAAATGAGCTGAACAAAAATCATCATGTAAATTTCTGATTTGGTTTGGGCGTATATAAGACTGCCTCTCTAGGGCAGTCTTCCCAAACTGCTGCAACAACCATATTATGGACTTCCAACTCCCAGAATGCTCAGCAAAGGTTATGCTGGCAGGGGAATTCTGAGAGTTGAAATTCACATAGTTAGAAATTGGCAGATAAGAAAACTTTTGGTTTGTTAAATAGTAAAGGTGTCCAGAAAGTACGGAGTGGAGGGTCATGTTTGCTTGGTGAGGCACATTAAAATAATCTATTTTTGATTGTGATTTGGTGACAAGTATGTGTGAGGGTTAATAAAGTTCTGCACTGCAAGAGATTTCAATAGTGCCACTTATTGTAGCAGAGTTCCTGGTCATCTAAAAATAATCTAAGTTTAAATTATATTTGAATTAAAATATGGACTAATCTGCTGTTTAGGCATAATCCCTGAATACCAGATGAGAATAAAATTCAGAACTCGTGTTTGTCCCCATAAGCTACAAACTCAAAAGGATACAATAAAAAAATAAAGATATCCTGGTTCACCTTGGTTCACCTTCATAATGAAAACAGATGGCAGCATCCCATCAAGGAAGAATTCTGTACTATTCCTAAAAAATACTTCTGAGTTACTCTTGATAGGAAAAAAGCTGTGAAATGCTAAGTAGCCAAGAAAAAGAGTAGCTGTGTGAGCAAAGAGCTTATTCCATCCACTAGGACAGGATTTACTTGGGAGGAAGGACCAGAGTAATAGGAAGTCATGGCAACGTCTCTAAAGATGGGAGAAACCTACCATTTCCAAACCCATTATGAAAGCAAAACCAAATTCTATAAGAACATAAAAGATGGAAATAAAAAGAAGTATGCAAGACCACAGAAGCTTTTGTGTAGGAATTCTGTCTTGGTTTGTTTGCTTTCTCTTAGTAGAGCAAATTGGCAAAATCATCCACTACCTTATTTAGCCTAGACCACCTCAGTGCTGACTATAATAATCCTTTATCCTTCTGCTCAAACGGCAGAAGCCATTTCTGGTCAGAGCCCTGGGCTGGCTGCAGACAGACCGAGTCCCAAACCACCAACCGAGGAAACTGGGAGGCCTCGGCATCTTTCCAGAGCCTTTGTTAAAGAGCAAGGCCCGCTACAGGAATGAAGGAACTGTTCAAATGATTATCCTATCAAAGCAGTAAGAGCTCTTTCTCATTCTGTGGTGATACCAATTGTTCTTTTCAGAGGACATATCCATGCCACAGGCTTCAAGGAGGAATTTGAAGCATGGTTACTCTCTGGGGAGGCCTGCCTTGGCATCTCACATGGCCTTTCCATCCTCTTGCCAAAC